TTGTATGGGCGCGGCCATTGAAATCGAGTCCATTTCATTGGGGTATATAGGATAGTATATTTTTAATATATAAAGTAAGATATATAGATATCTAAACTTTTTACTATTATTTAAGTTTTTAAAGTAATTTTCTTAAAATTTCACTATATTAGAGGTTTTCTAGCTAGTCTAGATTAGGCTAGTCTACTTTTTTAATACTAGCTATAAAATATAGAAGCTAGGGCACCTAGTAGTAGTTTTTTTATTGAATTAGCTCTTATATCAACTAAGCTATTTAAAATATAGAGAATAATATCGAGAATGAACATTTTAGTCTTGGCTATTTTTCATAGTAGTCCCTCATGCCAAAGACATCTCCAATATAGTCTCGACTAGCGTGCACAAAGGATGGGCGTACCTGGGAGCACCTGGCTATATATTTACACCAACCCTACGGCAAGGCCGACGTACGATAGGCCTTGTGAAAAGGCCTAAGTCCATGGCAATATAATGGAGACAAATACAGAGGCTGCGGTACTGATCAGGCAATCGCTACCAGATAGGAATGCTGAAGACCCTAACAAGCTACCGTTTCGGCAAGGGGTAGATCAACCAGATGCGCCTGGGCGATCCAGATCGTTCTTAAATTGGAACAAGCTTTGACTCTGGGGAATTCATGCTGCTAAACCCCTTAGTGCATCTGAGATTTCGGGCTCTCCACACAGGCGTCCACATGCGACGAATCTCTGCTTGTCTAAAAGAAGAGGTGTACGAGGTTCTCAAGGTACTGATTCCGTCTACGCCACAGGCCAGCCACACCATAACGGCGCCTTGAAGCATCACTTAGCTTACCAAGCGAAAGGCGCTTGAGACGGTGATCTGTCGCTGTACGTATAGGTGGAAGTCCTCACTGAGGACCTAACCTCTGGTGCAAACAGCTGTTCTGCTTTCCACCTATTCGACCATCGACTCAGTCACCGCTTTCTCGTTGGCCACATCTTCGTGCTCGAGTCCAGCTCCATGATGCAGCTTAGTCGCGATATCAGCAGTCATCCGATCGTCGACATTGCGGATAAAGAGTGCCAGTACAACAGCGATACCGCTAAACGCTATGCTCGTCAGAAACACTGTGTGATAGGCATCGCTGCTCGCATTTTTGTACGCCGCCGTTGCTGCCGCCAGAACAGTGTCACTAATGCCTGGAATTGCTTCGAATGCCTTCGGCGTGCCGATGGTGAATGCTGTCAGCAAATCCACCACGCTTGATTCTGGCAGACCAGCAGCCACAGCAGCAGGCACGACCTGTGATGGAATTGTCTCCGTCAAGCGGGTCGAGAGAACCACCAAGTATATGGTCTGACAGACTGTGGCTAATCCGGAACGAATCGAGGCGCCAATCCCACCGGCTGTGCCAATTTCCTGCTGATTGTCGATCGAAACAGTCAGCAACGTCAGACACACGGACTCGGTCCAGCCGACGAGGACACAAGCGACAGACAACAATCCTATGGCACGACCAAGCGTTCCAGCCGTGCAAGTCGCCATGCACGCGAGGAGTGTTCCACCAATGGCCATCGTGACCAGAACTTGATACTTGACCTTTCCAATCATCTTGCAGAAAACGCCTCCGGATACCTGCCCAACAATGAAGCAAGCGCCAACGATAGACGATAGCCACCCGTTTCGCAGCGCGTCACCGTTGGAATAAAGCACGGCAACCATCTGCGGCCACACCACGGCGAAGGCGTAGTAGACTGCAGCTCCAAGGCCGAGGACGATGGCAGAGGCGACAAAGCTGCCGTTGGTGATGATGTGGCGAGGGATAAGTGGTTCCTTCGGATTCGCAAACATTACCCATCCAGCTAAGGCAATGAGACAGACACCACCAGCGATGAGTGGTCCGAGCGTGGTCCCGGACTTCCAGGGGAAGACACCAAGGCCACCGACAGAAATACCCATCAAGAACAACGTCAGACCAGCTGTGTACAGCAAAGTCCCAACGTAGTCGAAGTTGCGGACAAACTCGGATAGGCGAGTGCCGGGATTCTTCTCTGAGAAGTGAGGTGGCCAGTAGAAGCATGTCCAGCAGGCAAGGGCCACGACATTGATGCCGATGAGGAGATAGTATACGCCTCGCCAGCCAACCGATGTATGTGAGACAAATGCTTGGGCGATAATCGGTCCGAAGCCTGAGCCAGGAATCGAGAAACAGTAAATGATTGCCACCGACCAGAAGCGCGCACGCATCGGAACCAGCTCCGCTGTTACGAAATGGAATGAGAGCTGTGTGGCAGCTCCCAATCCGATCAGTGTTGTCCCTCCGATGAGTGTGTTGATTGAGCCAGCAGTCGCGCAAACTATGCTTCCAGCGGTTCCAAGGATCGAGCCTCCAATGAAGAAGTAACGGCGACCGAAGAGATCGGTCAGTCGCCCAACAAGCGTAAGGCCGACCGCAACGCATAGCGTATAGACAATCGCGACCCATGTCAAGTATGGCGATGGACCAATGTCTGCGTCGATAACGCCAAGTATAGGCGCTGCGTAGCCAAAGCCAGCCACACCTGCAAGCAGTCCCATGCCAATGGCACAAAAGCTGCCGATGAAGTAAAGGCTGAAATAATATTGCTTGCTGGTATGATCGGCATCGCCGGTGAAGCCATGGAGGCCATTATTTTCATCAGGGCGTGCAGTGCCTTCGGTTTGCGTCTGGGATGCCATATTGATCATGGGCTTGACAAGTCAGAAGCGTTGGCAGGTAGTGTACTAGAAACAGAAAGCGAGGTCCCGACCTTCATATACGCCGGGTGATATTGTCTGGGGAAGACCTGGGAAAGCTCTGGGGATAAATGTGGGCACTTGGCATTGCTGGAACGCGTTCTGGCCATCAGGCCTGACATCGAGTCCCGGAAGTCAATGAATGGAGTTTGGTTTTCTGTCCACGTGGCTCAGAAGCAAACTGGCCAATATCTCGACGTGAGACGTGAATGAGTGGAACTTCGAATGAGACAAAGTTCGCGAAGCTGGAGGCTTGGCAAAATGTGGAAAACGATAGCCGAGCGCCTTCCGGGCGCAAGTTGCTTGAGTGCAATCCGTGCTTACTGGCTGCTATCTCGGAGTCACCTTGTGCTGTTGAGCATCTCTCGGGCGGTCGCAGTCAACTGAGCTAGTGAACAGAGCACGTCTTGATCTGGAACCACAAGGACCCGGAAATTGGATATTCGTGTGGGAGCGTAGTCATGTCCACTCAAGCCACAGAGGACAAGCCTAATGCTCTCCTCGAAACATCAATCGAGATGCACTTGTCTGGATAGATCTGGCACACCATCATACTCGACAACCGACGCCTGAACGATCTCAAAGATTGGAAGCTCTGCTAGTCGGCTCACGATTGGATGAAGCGTTGGTAGTGAATCTGGGCCCAGATCTCGGATCTCCAGGCGCACGCTTCCTCGGTCACTTGCAAGTGACGAAGTTGCCGCAATACTTTCGTCAGCCGAATGCATAATATCGTAGTCGGCGTCAGGCTTGGCCGGATTACTCGACGGGATGTACTTATGCACAAGCAGACCGCCACTGAGATGGTCTGATGGCGACTTCTCTGTCGGTACCAGATCTTTGAGCTCCAGGGTGGCCCACTCGGCGCCTCTCCAAGAGATCTCTGCACGAAATGATGAGCCATTGCTGTGGATCTTGATGTCGGAGAACACCTTAGGAATTCCCAACTCTTCACGACCTGTTATGATCGGGTCGGCGAGGTTCTCAAACATGACCGGACAGTATGATGCTTGCTGAACGCGACCACTGGACCATCTATAGCACACGTCCTCGACATAAAGAGCTGCGAGATCGTATCCACCACCAGCGAGCCAGCTGAGGTTGCGTAATGATTCGACTGCGAAGGTTACATGCGTAACAGTGTCTGCCTTGCTGAATCGATAACACGCGTTCGGAAACATGTTGCGGAGCAGTGTAGCACTTGTCGTAAAAGAAACACTAGCGCAAGTCCTGCTCGCCTTGACCGAATGTCTGATCGGCCATGTGCTCAAAGACCATTGTCGTGGGCCGGGAAGCGGGCCGAAGCTTATGGGCTGCCGCCATTTTGCGTTCTGTTCTTGCCACTCAAGCTGTCGAAGCAAATGAGTAGACGCATGAACTTCGTCGTGACTCAGACCGTAGTTGATGTAGTCATAGACTGACGGATACTCAGCACTCGCTCTCCAAGGCATCAGGGTCTACTCACCTTTGAGACCATCAAGCTTCGTCGTTTTCTTGTTAGGATCTGATCCATCGCCACCAACCTGCCGACTGTATTCTTGAATCGTCGAAGCCCGCTCGAATCGTGCTTGATTGTACCACTGTAAGCGCTGCGGCACCTGTGGAGGCGTTACCGACCGATCGAGCATGATTGCTAATGAGACCGCGTCTTCAATAGCCATAGCGCCGCCCTGAGCAAGGTGTGGTGTGAACGGGTGTGCTGCGTCTCCAACGACCGCTAGACGATCTCTCGCGAAAGTTGGCAGCTGGGCCATATCGAAGAATGGATACACCTTGACTCCTGCAGGATCAGCCTTCTCCAGTAATGCGATCACACTCGGATGGAAGTCCTTGTATGTCTCCAACAGGGCGGACTTGGAGGCCGATTTATTGTAGTCATTGCTCGCGTCTGATAGTCTGGCCGGGTGAACACATACGAAGTTGAGAAGCTGGTTGTGATAAGTTGGATAGAGGACAATCTTTCGATCGGGCCCGTACCACATATCCATCGAGCCATGTGTCTGGACCAGTGGCCGTGTGACGGGATCAGCTTCGACAGACTCTCGGGATATGATGAACCGGAAGGCGCTGCTGTCAGTGCGAAAAGTCGTGGGCGGAACATGCATAAGAGCCCCGCGCGTTCTAGAGTGAACACCGTCCGCTCCAATCACTAAGTCTGCAGAATGCGTTGTTTCGTCGGCTAGAGTGACGGTAGCGGACTCTGAGTCTGCCAGCACTACCGATGAAGCAGTCTGGATCTTCACGGGTATGCCTGATCGAGCTGGACTGGTCGCGGCTTCTCGCAGCTGTGTATGAAGATGTGCTCGGTGCGCTTGCAACCATGGCTCAAGGATCTTAGTTCTGTGGTACGATATTGGGAGGACGACTTACGTTCTGCCATCGTACAGAATCTTTCGCGTTGTCGGTGACACGCACCACCACGTTGTCTGACGAGATGAACCTGGTCTGCGATGCTATTACTTTCATGTCAAGCCTCAATAAGTGGAATAAGACGTACTTGAACCAGAGGCACTGCTCCGCTGTCCCGCGGATCGATACCGATGTAACTCAACGCACCCATCGCATTGGGTGTGATGTGAATAGCGGCCCCGACTTCGTTGTTGAAACGTGATTGCTCGAAGACCTCGACGCGATGACCTTGCTTCCGCAAAGCGATTGCTGCTACAAGACCTCCAATACCGGCGCCAGCGATGATTATGCGGAGACATGGCTGCTCGTGCTCCTCACCGTTGCGAAGGCAGTGAGCTTCCGCTGACGTCGTACCATTGGTAGAATCTACCATCATGACCTAGCACGGAAATCTAGGTTCTCTTTGATGCGGAGTTGATAGTGCGGCTGTGAACTTCCCATGTTTTGGGTGATTGCAACACATTGTATATATTCCGCGGAACATAGTAATTACGTGGGATGATTGAACTGTGTCGAGACCGAGAGAATCGCCATCCAGGTCGGTTCGGCAGCACATGCTCGATTTGAGTGGACTCGATGGTGTAGGCACACGGATTTCTGTGGTCAAGAAGCGCGTGAACCAAGTTCGTACCCGTCATTCTTGGCAGCGTGGTGTCACTTGGCGGAGGATCGTTGCGGAATGCGGAGGAAGAAGATCCGCCGTGGGGTACCGAAACCCTGGGGTAGTTCGGCCTTCGCGTAGCTTTTAGGCCGAGCGTTTGTCAGCAGAATCCGCCTTGGCTGAGCAAGGTACGATCTGGATGACTCCGCGACCACTGTTGGTGCCCGCACTTTTGCATGGGAGGAATCGTGGGGTAGTCGGTGGGTCTGGGGTAGCCCGCGAGCCCGCCCCAGGTGTCCCAGGTGTCCCGCGTGATGGCAACATTCATGAGGCCATCAATCGCGACTTGTCATCAACCAAGAATCGACAAAATCGCTGCCGGAACATCTGGCACGGTGTGAGCGATGTTAGTCCACGTCCTGGCGCCTGCGTGCGTCGCTATTCTGTTGCTGTTATGGAAGGTAAGTTCGATCGTCTTGCGACTATGCAATGTTCGATCCTGAACTTGTGCACAGATCATCGAGCGTCTATTCTTTAGCCCTCTCCGCGGCATTCCAGGGCCTTTGCTCGCAAAGATCACACCTTACTGGCTCATTTTCGTTGATCTGGCGGGAAATCGAACAAACACGATTCATCGTCTTCATAGACAGTATGGATCGACTCTACGCATCGGGCCAAATGAGGTATCCTTCTCAAGTTCGGACGCAGTGAAGGAAATCTACAGCCAGCAGACAGACTTCATGAAAAGTGGTTTCTACGATGCTATCGCAAAGCCCGTGCCTGGAATCTTCAGCATGAGGAGCAAAGCAGAGCACGCGCAACGACGACGATTGCTTAGCCATGCATTCTCTCAATCGAATCTTCTCAACACCGAGCCCTTGATCAGACAGCAGATACAGAAGTTAGTGGCACGAGTAGATGGAGCAGCTGGTGGGACACTGGACATGTTGCTCTTGTTTCGTCTGCTCGCTTTTGACATTATCGGTTAGTAATTTATGTGCTGAGGGAGCAATACACTAACGGCATGCAGGAGAGTTGTTTCTTGGGCAATCATTTGGAGGACTTGACTCAGTCTCTACCCCAGATTTCCTTGCTGACATGGATAACACATTCATGCTAGCTGGCGTTCAAGGTAGCTTTCCACTAGTACATTCACTGCTGCGGTACATACCTCTACCAACATTGAAGGATTTCCTCGCATCACGCGTGCGGCTCACTGAGGTATATACTTTCCCTGCCTATGTGCTCCGATAGCCTGCTAAGAGATCGCAGTATGGAAGAAATGCTTTCGATAGCTATATCGCGCAGCACGGGCGCGACTCAGGGCGTAAAGACCTTCTGACGAAGATTTTGACACCAGTCAGTCAGAAGGAAAAGCTGTCCGACTTCGAGGTACACACGGAGATCGGAAACCTGGTATTCGCAGGCACTGGTTGGTCCCGCATTCCAGTCTCGGTCACGCAGCTGATAGCATCAGACACAACAAGCACCACGTTGACATACCTTTTCTGGGAGCTTGCCGTTCATCCCGAATGGCAAGAACGCTTACATGCAGAGCTATCTGTCCAGCCACAATGGCAAGAAGGCATTCCTCGACAACAGGAAGTTTCAGACTTGCCTGTTCTATCAGCTGTCATCAATGAAGCGTTACGACTTCACCCAGCTGCCCCGGCGAGCCTGCAACGAGAGACGCCTGCAGGAGGAAGGCTTCTAGGCGGCTTCAAGATTCCACCTGGGGTACGTCCACGCCCAGTATGTCTGCTCAGCCCAATGCTAACGGAGTGACAGACTGTTGTTTCTGCGCAATGCTACACAACTCAACGTGATCCAAACGTCTTCAGAAACCCTGACACCTTCATACCAGAGCGCTGGCTGGATGGCAAAGAGCAGACGAGTGAAATGAAAACTCTCTTTATGCCTTTCTCACTAGGTCCTCGAGCTTGCCTGGGCAAGAATCTGGCGATGATGGAACTGAAGCTAATCACTGCGACTTTAGTCCGGTCTTTCAGTGTCGGAGTAGCTTCGACAACTACCGCGAAAAGCATGTCTATGAAAGACCACTTCTTGGTCTTACCGAAGGCAGGGACTTGTGATCTGATTTTCGAAAGGCGCTTTTGAAGTTCGACGTAGCCAGATATATAGATTGTATACTATCCATCTAGACACAAATGCTACAGAGTGTACTCTACGGTCGACTCGAGCACGAAAGACCTGCGACCAACTTCTAGCTTAGGCCTTAATGCCTTATAGCGCCAATGTGCTGTATACAGCACCCATCTAAGTGCCCGCGATAGACACAAGTAATGCTACAACAAGTCGTTGCTTCTCAGCTTTGGAAGATTCGTTGTGGGATAGTACAAGTCTTCTAATAGTGGAAACTCGTTCTTATACCTACCAAGCCGCCTCTCTTAGCTTAATAGCATCCAATCATTCGGTCTTGCGGGCTTGCACAATGATCTTGAGAGGAGGTTTCTCCCAGAAAACGTATATCTGCTGCGAGGTACCCCAATGCAGGCTTTCTGGATGCAGCTCCAAGTCAAAGTTCCATAAGATCCTCGCAAGCGTCATGCGCATTTCAGCGTTTGCCAGACTTGCACGAGTCAGATTCAACGGGTGTAGTGCATCTGGGATCAACTTACTTCATGCCCAAACAGTTGCGAGGTCCGTATGAGAACGGCTCGACTACGTCTCTTGCATCTTGCGTATACAAGGCATCGTTCATCCATCTCTCCGGAATATATTCCGATGAATCCGCAAAGTTGTGAGGCGAGTGATATGCTGCGTAGTGGGGAATCGAAACGACCGCCTGGTCCCCATTATTAGTAGTCAAGGCCAGGTGACTTCTTGCGGCGACTTACCTTTCCAGCAACCCAAGACCCATCTATAAATGCTCCACTGTCTGGTACGATACGCCCTAGACCAGATGGAATGGGCGGATACATTCGCAGCGCCTCTTTGAGTGATGCCAGAAGGTAAGGCAGTCGTGAGACCGCTTCGAGGGTGATCTCCTCCTCGCGTGCGAAAGAACCACGAATCTCTGCGAGAAGCTTGTGATACTTCTCTGGATTCTTCAAGAGCCAGAAAGTCACGCCGCTCAGCAAAGTAGCTGTGGTCTCGCTGCCGGCTACGATTAGGATGTTAGCGTTCTCCCCAATCTCGTCTAGCGTCAATCCCTTGCCGTCTGTGTGTCGCAAGATGTGGGACATAAAGTCAGGGTGATCCGTTGGGCCTTGCTGGACGCGCTGCTTCGCCGTCTCAAAGCTTAGCTGTTGATGTTGCAGCTGATTTCGTATAAGCTTCTTTGGAAGAAACCACTGCATGATTGGGAAGAGGCTGGGATGTCGCTTGAGAGACTGCATGAGTGTGGACAGCTTGAAACCGTCGAAGATCGACGCTACCCAAGGATGGTAGCCACCGCTGTCCAGGCAGCCAAATGTTTGGCCGAAGGACAAGTCGCCCAGGATGTCGAATGTCATGAAGTTGAACCACTTCACCATGTCTATGCTGTTGTCTGTCTGCTGACTTTGCTTTCGCATCGCATCGATCAACTTGTTCACGTAGCTCTCTATCAACTTTTCTTGCGCTCGAAGCGCTTTTTCTGAGAACGCGTGCGACAACAAGCGCCGCATTCGACTATGGTCGGCATCGTCGGCGATCAGGATATTACTACTGTCGGTCATTGTGGGCCTGTACTGTCGCAAATCCTTCGACATTGCCTCGCGCGACGATGTCCGATAGCCATAGATGTCCTTCCATGCTCCCGCGCCAATGAAAGAGACGTCATTTGGAGCGTAGCGTACAATAGGTCCATACTTTTCGTGGAGTTCAGCTAGAGCAAATGGCCACTTGCCGGCTATAAGCTTTCGCAGATAGAATAGGTCGGTTATTGCGTAGAGTTTGGGTCCAGGCAGGCTAGCAAGTGAATGGAAGAAGCAGTTGTAGGTGGCCACAGCGATGCATCCGATACATAGCTAGTTGTGTGTCAGTAAGTCACAATCTCGCATCCATGATGTAACACGGATTCAAATGCGTCATCTTTCATACCAGTAACAAGAAGAAACCTAGATAAGTGAGCAGCGAAATGTTGGGCGCTGTCACAAAGGATAATGTATTGAGTGCAGCCATTTGTGGTGTTGCCGAAGGCTAAAGGGAACTTCGCTTGAGACACACCGTAGTCCTATGCAACAGCAACGTCTTTCTACGGCGGAATAGATACTCGGCAAAGGTCTGGGGTAACGGCTCCAGATACTGGGGTAAGGGGGAGCCCGGGCATTGGCAAAGCGGAGGCCGATTTCCGGTGGAAATAGCTGACAAAGCCGGAATACGGGAGACGTCCGGGTTCAAAGGCTGGACCGCTCGGTAAAGAGGCTTAGAAGCGGAACAGACTATACTTGTAACGGCCACATAAGCTACATCGAATCCCGAAAGCATTGTCGTTAGGGTGGGACTGAACGGCGTCCGCTTGGCAGCGTGCTATGGGCCATTGTTGGCGGCCAACGCCGGAGGAATTGCATACGCCCGAGCTAGCTTGAAGCCGTCATCCTGATAGAAATACGCCTCGCACCTGTTTTGAGCCTCAGGATAGCAGCAGAGTTTGGTAAGCATTGAGTCGAACATAGTCCGCGAATTGTACGGGGCGAACGTCCATCAATCTAAGCAGCAATGACTAAATTGGACCTCTACTATCACCCATACTCGATCTGCTCCCTGCAAGTACTGTACACCTTGGCGATCGCTGCAGCATATACGGACGCAGGAAAGGGCGTTCCAGAGATAGAACAGCATTTCGTTGACATCTTCAAAGATGACCAGCTCGAGGAAACCTTCCTCACGAGGATCAATCCCAAAGGCCAGGTAGGCAACGGACCAGCATTCTACAATAACATGAGCTCATGCAGCACAGGTCCCGGTCCTAACATCCACAGAACTGCCATCGCCAATAGCCGATAGTCTGTTGATCACCAAGTATCTCATGGACCGTTGGCCATGCTTGAGCCCGCCTGAACACGCTGCTATGATAGAAAACCTGCTGGACGAGATCCACACTTTGAACTACTTCGCACTATCATTCCCAGACCGTCCACAGATCGCCGATAAGCTCGTCAGTACCGTGGAAGAACGACTGGCAAGATCTAACCTTAGCCTCAAATACGGAGAAGCACTTGCGTACAAGCTATCTGTGTAAGTAAGAGACCATCAAATACGTTAGTTCCGTGACTAATGAGTGAAGCACAATCGAAGAGAAGTTCAACGGCATCAAACCTGAAAATACAGAGATCAACGAAGGGAAAGCCAAGCGACTGTTTGCTAAGCTAGAATCTCTGCTGCACGAGAGCCCGTGGCTGCTTGGCCTGAAGCAGCCCACAGCATTGGACGCTCACGCAGTCATTCTGATCGCAAGATTATCCGACGTTGGTCGTACAGCTATCGTCCCGAAAAGGTTGCAGATGTACGCGGGAGCGGCTTTCGAGACACCTGTGCTTCAGAGCGTTATGCAGGGACGACGTACGATGATCTCGAAGGCTTAGCAGTGCTAGTTGCTGTCCGTGTGCTCAGAGTTAGTGCTCGGGTCAAGGCCCTGCTAGGAAGGATTAGGGTATGTAGTTATGCTAGGTGTTCGGTCGGTGTGCTCAGGGCTAGCTTCTGCTGGTGCTGCATGAGAAGGTTCATGTTCTAGCCCAACAACATAAGTGGATCTGTTACCAGGCTCCGAAGAGATGCTGCATACAAGGCCCGTTCGGGTAGTCGAGATCTGTTGTGGATCTGCGCAGTGGTGCAAGGGAAGCTGACTCTCACGCAGCAAGACATGCTTTGTATGAGTCATGTTGATCTCTTCATACTCGTCCTCACCGATCAGCATTCTATGGCATAGTGAATTGTCGGAATTACGTGGGGAAGCTTGATGATGCAGACTGTTTGGCCCGTGCAAAGCATCCTCTGCTCCTGTTCCTCTGATTTGTATCATGCGCATTCCGGAAGCAACCGATGCACAGCTGATATAGTGCTTCTAGACTTTGTACCACTGTCGAGGTGTTCAGCGATAGCACACTCAACTCGCGCTGGGGGGTCGTTGCCATCCCTTCTGTCTTAGCGCCGGGCCAACCCACTTCAGGGCGATGGTGGGAACGAAGAAGACGATGTTGACCAGCGCAAACACCAACCATGCGTACTGGAAACCAATGCTCTCGCCGAGTGGTATCCTATGCAAGCATCGTCAGCACGGAAGATGATTAAATCCGAGAACTCAGGTTCTCGGACAGAGCCGGACTTACGCATAGAATGATATGACCATACTGAATATCGATCGAAAAGCATTCAGCAGGAAGCTAATCTCGGCGGACTGTGGCTTGTAGCACTGCATTTCAAGCACGAGCCGTTAGCGAAAAGCTCTTCGCTCGACCTCCGCCGCTTGCGTATTCTCGAAGGAGTACTCACATCAGTCGTGTAAGCGTAAACAACCGTCGTTGCAACCTGCAGACCCAGATTCGCAATACCCATTCCAAACGCACTTCCAACCCAATGCACAGTCTTGTGCTTGCTCAAGCAGACTCCTTCGATGATCAAGCCTACTGGGACCAGCAATCCGAGCCAGAGAAGGTTGAGCCTCGCTTCTGGCAACTTCTCTCCATTATGGTGTTTTGCGTGCCTGACCACCATGTAATCAACAATCCAGCCAGCGTTGGCTTCGCCAATCAAGCAGCCGATCAGCAGTGGTATCGAAAGCATCAGCCCTGTCTGAGAAGTGGTAAAGCCATAGAACTCGCGGAAGAGCTGAGAACCCGTGGTCGCAAAGATGACCGAGCCGTAGCCAAACGCCGTCATGTAGTAGAGGCCAGGTAGGGTGATGGGCAAGTAGCGAAGCATAGTGATCGGGCGGATGAAGTCGCCAAAGCGAAGAGATCGATTCGAATCCAGGCGCCTGAACGTAAACAATCTGGCCATGATGGAGCTGTCCTGACGCGGCTCTTCAGACGTGCTTCTCGCAAACAGAGTCTCGGGCAGGCAGAAGAGAATCAACACGAAAGTGCCGAGTTGCATGAAGCCCTCGAAGCATGATCAGCACTGAGCACCACACCGCTGTACCCTTCTAGGCCGCTAGACGGTCTACTTACCGGAATTCGATAACACCATTCCCAACCCACGTATTGTGCCACAAATCCACCCATCAGCGGCGCCACATGCGGACCATTCGTCAAGAACAACGTAAATATGCCCATGTAGAACCCACGCTCATGCATGAAGTATAGATCACAGATCGTCGCGGCACCCAAGGCACCCGGTGTACCTCCGAATATTCCATTGAATGCTCTCGTAGCCAGCAAGCCGGACCAGGTTGTACAGTATCCAGCCGCAATGTTTGTCACAGCGGCGACCGCACAGCTGATCAGGTAGACGGGCCGGCGACCGTACACATTGGCACAAGGCACAAGTAACAGTGGACCAATGCCCGCGAAGCATATGTACACTGTCAAAGAGTAAGACGCCTCGACTGTAGTGATCGAAAAGGCTCGACCGATGACCACGAACGCCGGATTGGCAACGGCGGCAGCCATGGGCCCGAGAAAGGCAAGCCAGCTGACCTGGAGGACGAGAGCGAGCTTGAGGACTGGACTCCAGTTGAGAGGATCGCCGGGAGAGTCGGACGGTTGTGGGAGGAGAGCAAAGCCATGCTTGTCGAGCTTAGGCTGCGCATCGTCGCCTTGAATCTTCTGCTCGGTTGATGTGATATCGATCGTAGAGTCCTCGACTTCATGGTGGCGAGCGTCTTTCTCCATCGTTATACAGCGACGCGCATCGACGACGTTATCTTGAGAGCGTGCAAAACAAAGACAAGAAAGCAGTGAAGGTGTCCCACCACCGCAAAGGCTAAGTTTTGTGTGACTGCTGATCCTGACGGACCTGCTTGCCCAAGCCATACGTGCGCCCTCACGCAGATTGGACAGGGGCAGCCAGTTCCCAGACCAATAAGCATTGCTGAAGCATGCCTAAGGCTGTCGATCTCGGGGTTGTGATGGGCACGGCAGTTACATTTGGCAAAGCAATGCGGGGAAAGTGTCGATCTTCTGGAGAAGTCTGCGGGACCAGAAACCAGAAGCTCGCAATGTTCGGCCGTGAGGGGAAACAGGCTGAATTGCAGTACCCACGGACATCTCGAAGCCTGCAGTGACAACGTGGCGAACAATGTATGACCAAGGCACGAGGTTGGCGAATATAATGTCCCTCCTAAGTTGTGGTGGCCGGAATGCTAAAACGGTGTAAAGCGAGCTCGACGACAAGTGATGCCTCCACCGAAAGCGACACCGACGACAGCTTGGACCCAGTGAGTAGGATACCCTTTCGCGCAAGCCCCCAATGATGGCCAGCCGCCGGCAGCTCGTTGTCGCCGTTGTCTCCCGAGACCCCTGCGCGAAGGGCCACGAACGAAAACATCCACAGCCGCGAACACTAAATTCCAGACCCGCGCAAAAACGCATACACCGATCCACTCTAGCAAGCTCCGACCTAGCTGCCATCCTGAGCACACCGACGAGCATAGAAGACGCACATTGGTGTAAAATGCATACCCTAATCCTTCTAGCAGGCCCTATCCTAGCACTAACTCTGAGCACACTGATTAGCATAGCAGACGCACGTTGGCGCTTTGCCTTGTCGGTGGACCACAGCGTGAGCACCTTGGCTTGACTTCGTAAAGCCGGCGGCCAGCGCCCTCCCGTCCACTCCTTCTGACGCCATCTGTTTGGCCGTCTAGTCCTGTACGGACCATGATTGCCGCTGGGGTCGACGTCCTTCCGTGATAGTGTTGTCGACTATGCCTTCATCGGCTCAGCAGGCTCATCCAGCGCGGTCGTGGAAAAGAAACCGCCGAAGCTAGTCGCGAAGTCAGCCGACGAAAGGGGTCGGAGGCAAGCCAGAGAGCGAAGGACGAAGGTGCAGAGGCCGCGAAAAGCATTGGGCCTGCGACTCGGTGGCTTTGGACCATTTGCTCATGAGACCTTTCTGGGCTGTGCTTCGGTGCGCGGTGCTTGCGGGTTTTTGGCGCTCGATAGGATATGACAGCGTAGGCTTCGCGATCAGGAGTCGCGCGTGTTGCAGTGACCTCATGCATAGGTATGGACAGCGTCTGACTCTAGCGAACCGCGGGAACGTGCGTGTTGCGCTTCAGGATGCCCAACAAACCCACCAAAGCAGCATTGTGCTTGTGAGCAGCTCCTTCTGAATTGGTGGGTGCTTGTCGGGCAGCCTCGACTTCGCGTCAGCCTGGCGTGCGTAATGTGTGAAATGCTCCTGGTAGACGTGATGTTTGCGACAGCTGCGGCTTTGCGGGCGGGCATGGCGTTTGTAGTGATGCGGATGTGGAAGCTGATGATGCACATGCCGCGGGTGTCGGAGCTAAGGGTGTCGGTGCTTTTGGATCCACTGTCGATGTCGGTCGCGGCCTAGACGGTAACGCGACGAAACTGTCTTGTGCAATCGCTGCGGGATGTCGATGGCTAAAGTCATGTGCGTAGTGTTGTCGACCTCAACGGAGGTATTCTCTTCCTTGGGGCGCTCAACCCCCCAAGGCCTCAGACTCGAGACTCGAGGGTGGTCAAGTGGTGAAGTAAGGCAGAGGAGGCTTTGAAGCGGCTCGCGTCAGTAGTCATGCCTCGAAGTCGCCGACGACATGGCTTCGCCGCATTCGGCTCGTTATTGAGCCCACCGTAACCTCCGGCGCTGCGTCGCGAGCTCGACAGCCCGAGTAATGGTTGCAGACCTTTGTCGTGAATACATCGCCATCACCTTTGCAGCCAACAACTCATGCAGTTTGGTGGTGCAAAAATGCTTCTGAGCCGGCTTCGTCCGCCCGTGGACAAAAGTTTGGAAACGGGACAGTGGGGAAGGAGCTTGGCAGAGGAGGTTGTGCAGGAGGGCGTTTGCGGGAGGGTTGTCTGCGGGAGAGTCATATTGTGGCATAAGGAGGCGTCGAAGGGAAACGTAGTGAATGCGTGTGTCGTGGATAGGAAGGTCGCAAACTTCAAAGCCCTCTGAGAGCAAGTCGTACGTGAGGGGCGCGAACGAAAAGGAAGTGGGCGAGAAGGGTGCGGTTGAAGAGGTTGTAGGCGAGAGAACCCTCGAAGGGGAGGTCTTCGCCGAGGAGGCCGGCGAAGCGTGGCTTGTGAAAATACCCGAGAAAGCTGTGGGCAAGAACAGTGGACAAGAGCAACGAAAGCGAGGCTCGTGGTCCGCGATCGCGGCCCAGGTAGCGTCCGTCGTGAGTCAAACCTTCGCTATGAGATCGGGTCGGCCGAAGATCTCGAGTACGCGGGCGGGATTGTAGCTCGTCAGGTCAGGATGACATTTTGTGGCGGCCGCGGCGTGGATGCCAGCTCTCGACACGGTTTGTGGTGGTGATTGTCTTTCTTGTTCTGGGTGAAGCGCCGAGGAGCGCTTCGATGGCCGGCGAAAAGAGAAGGCGCTTCTCCCCAATAGCGTAGAACGCGAGTAGGAGGATATGTAACGACGAGCCGTTGAGGAAGAGTTTCCTCGAGCGGTGCTGAGTTGGGCCGTGAGTATGTGCCGACAATGATGGAAGAGAACATGCGCAAGGCCTGCGATGTGCTCAGCCTGCAGTCCTCGTGAAGTCCGCGGGAGATGTGCCTGGCTGCTAATTCGATGGCTCGGGAAGGTGCTGACCAGGATGTCAATTTGGGATTGCTGAGTATGTGCCGCTGAGCCGCTTCGAGGCATATCAAGGATAAAGTGAGGAACTTTGAAGACCGAGGCCAAGCTGAAATCGAGGCAGACGACCAGCAGAGACGTGACAGCGGTCTTTCTCGACGGTTGCGTGCCGAGCATATGTTCTTCTTCAATGGCAGCTCCGCGCACGGTGGTGGATCGAGGACGAGTCCGAGGAGAAGGGGATCGAGGTCGAGGAAGGCGAGTCCGAGGAGGTCGCGTTCGAGGACATCGAGGTCGGGTCCGAGGAGGTCGAGCTTGAGGCAATCGATGCCAGGGACAAGTCTTTCGAAGAGGTTGGCCAACAATGGGTGAGGCACCATCGAAGCCGATGAAGAGGCCGTCCCTGTCGAATTTGACTTGCCGTGTGACCAGGGATATACCGTAGTAGAGATATGTAATTAGACGAGCATGTTGTAGCTTTATTGTTCGAGCCACGCTGAAGCCGAGCTGTACGTGTTTAAGAGCGCCCAAGCTGTCATTGTGGTTTTCCTGCCGGGTTTCAAGGGTGATGGTATGGTCTTCTTTCAGTGTCTTTTTGAGGTGGGCGGCGAACCAGAGCACGCTTCAAGGGGCGCCAATCAAGGCTCGCTGCGACGATTGCGGAAGTGGAGGCATGGTCACCATTGGCCGCGGAGAATCTGTGCATGACTTCGCGAGATAGATCAAGGCCGACGCAGAGTATCATATTTTGAGACGGCAGCCACGATGCGGCCACCTTCCTTGAAGACAATTTGCTGTGGATGTATGCTCTTCCTTAATGGCGCAGGATGGTGACACGGGACTGCTTGGTCGAGAACGTGAACTGCTTCGAGGAATTCACAGCTTTGAGTATGCCGTCGAAGTTGACATCAAGTAGGCGTGTTTGTTGATTGCGCAGGGCGAGTTCGAGAGCCTGATCCCAGCGGAAAAGACGTTGCCCGCGTTCGAGGGTCTTCTTTGTGGAGGCCTAGGGATGGGCCAGTACACGCCTCCACATTGGAGTGACGAAGTGACTGATTTCTCGAGGACTGTGAAGGCCGGGGCATGAGCAATAGCACGACGTGGCTTGATGGCTGGCGCGGAGGGCTTCGTATGGTCTTCTTCGGTGGCTGCTGAGCTTGATCCGCGCCTCGAACACGATGCAGTAGCAGATTGGGCGCGTGCCCGGAGCAGGTTAAGATCGAGTGGTGCAATCATCTTCGAGTCGCCAGATATGACGCGTAAGACTGACTTGAAAACGGTCTCTGGTATCAAAGCTGATGGGACTGCGGCATGGATGTTTCGAGGGTTGATGATAGTGTGGAATGCTCTGAGGACGTCAACGGAGCGGACAACTTCTGCGCAGCCGGCAGATTCTGTGACGTGGACCTGGCTGAATGACTGAGAGGACTAGTGTAGGTAGCTGCTCGGACTTTGGCGAAGGACGAAGTGGTCGACTTCCTCGATAGCTGCAGAGGATGCAACAGCAGCGTCAGAGCGATGAGTGGTGTGGATCGCTTCACAACTTTAACGACTCAGACAATGCCGTGAGTCAACTCGAGATCGATGACTTGAGCACGTTGTCGATGGAAACGATGCATAGGCGACGTTGACGTTGAACATGGCTAAGTCCAACAATTCTTGAGGAAGTCGCGACGCGTGTGCGGAAACAGCTCCAGGCGCGACGGCACAGGCAGTATGACGTATGCCCCATGTGTCAGAAATCACGTGAGCGAAGCAGTGCATCAAAATCCTGCTCCAGGCGCACACTCATCGGCGTTGCGCCCTCGCAGCACACGTAGCGTGAGTATCTTGCAGCGCGCGAGGTCAAGGGAAGTTGTATCATGATTGGGGAGCGCGGCACAATAAGATACGGACGTGGGCAAGGGACAATCAGAGTCATGGGAGCGTCTGGCCCAAGTATATTCTGGCGATCCTGCCACTGATGTGAACACATAAGGGATTCCCTGAAAGCGCAGCGCAGTGCTACCGGAAGACTTAGCAGCGATGTGGTAGCTGATAAAATCTCTCGAGACAGTCACTGTGGGCTCGTTGTCACTAATCCGATCACGAGACCGCCGCTGCGCACCTGCCGTCGATGATCGAGTATGCGCTAGTTAGCTTGCGGCTAACATGTAGATGAAAAAGAACCCACAGCTCAACTATACAACAGACTCGACCCACTTCGGCCAGTCGCCAATAGCAAACTGAGTTTCGGCTTGATTTCTCTGCAGGTTGTCAGATCATCAACAGCATCTTGCGAGGCTTCTACAGGACCACAGCCTGTAGACACATGGTCACTCACTAATTCCCACACCTCCGCTCCCAGAGTGACGGAGTCCTTTCGATCCTGCTCCTCGCCTGCAAGGCCTGCTGCAAAGCACGTCGGCATATAGTGATCGTCCGTTCCATGGGCATCACGGTAGTTGGGATGCTTCATGAGCCGTACCACTGCGCGTTTCAGTTCGGGACCACCTCCATTTTTGCACAGAGCGTCTTCCAACGCCTGACGAAACTCCAGGTGCGTGCCTTCAGGAGGGAGTTCCTGCGCAAAACTGTCCCGATACTTGATCTGGTATTTCCAATCCGTGCGGTATAAGTTGTGCACACCTCCACCTGATGCCACGAAGAGGTAGCCTTCCTGGCGCAGCGGCCGAAGCACTCGACCAATCTCAATGTGAAAGTGAGGCTCGAAGTACGAATTCTGCGAGACTATCGTCACTGGGGGACAGCCGTTAGGAAACATCCGGAAGAGCATGGGAAATGTGTCGATACGCCAGTCGAATGTCGGATCGGCTTCACATTCAAATCCGGCGTTCTTGAGCATGGAGATGCACCTCAGTGCGGTCGTAACGTCCGTGTTAGGGCTGTACTCGGCGTATTTGGCCCGCTCGACCAGTGGAATTGGCTGGGCTTTTGCATTTGAATTGGCGCAAACTTGAATCTTACGGCCAGGGACGTTCCAATGCGCACCCTTGGGAAGCAACATTAGTCTGGCATCATTCGGAAGACGTGTCGACTCACCATAATAATAACTCCTTTGATACCATATCTCAACGCCTGCTCGCCATGCTGGAGCCAGTACTCCCGAATGTGGTTCTCGTCGCCGGTGAGAAGGGTTGTCCCGTGGGACAAAAGGAGCACGGGTGGTTGTCCTTGAGTTCGATCCATCTGTACAAATATTTTGACGGACTTACACAAGAAGTCAGAGCACTATGGGGTTGCTTAAGCACCAAGTATACTGAAACGAGAAATGAAGTGGCATCCATGGATAACAAGCTCAAGTCGTGTGTCGTACTCTTTCGGCATAGTGGTCCCCCGGAATCGGTACCTTCCACTACCCGTAGTGCCTGACGCACAGGCTACGGACCATCTGAAGAGCATATGCTCAGTAACGACCTCATCATGGGTGTTGCTAGGACTCTTAATCAGACCGCTCTACACGCAGGCCAGCTTGTCAAGCCAACAAGCCGAGTAATCGGCTGCTTACAATCTTAAATTGACTAGGTAGAACAAGGAGGAATATTGATTTCAACGAGACCATGAGCATACGGTATTTACTACGGACAAACGCTTGATCGAAGCCTGGCTACTATGATCTTGAACCATTAGCCCGCGGCGGCAACCACATCTCCTCATCCTCAGTGGCAAAACTGCCCCTCACCGTTAGCATCATCCCGGAGCAATCTAAGTGAAACCTAGCATCTTCGTAGACGCCTTGACCACGAGCAAGAGCACGATTGAAAGTTCGAGAGGGTGTTATGCAGAGTGTATACAAAACATTTGTTATTTTGAATAACGCCTTCTATGCTGATGGACAGTCACCACTCTCCGGCGACTCGATAGTGCCAATAATTGTAGTCCAATCCCAACCACCTCGGCATGCCTTCCAGAAACTAAAGAGCACCAAGTCAGCCAGTGTCTTGCCATCTGACAGGTCTTTCAGCCCAAGACTCACCCGTAAAATCTCGCATCCTCGAAACATCATTGTCACCATGACGGCTTCTCGTGTGCTACTGGTGAGTCTGTCCCATTCAGGATGATAGCCTGCCGACCGATAATCTGGGATTCGCCGATGGTCCGTAGGCCACCAAGAGGGATTGTGTTCGCGTGTTGCGGCCGCTGCGGTCGACCTAGGCAAGCCCGGCGGATCAAGGGCTGCGCCGGTACGAGCCAAGTGTGCTGTGGCAGGTTCTTCTAGGATGGCTTCGACAATTCTGATTTCTGGAGGTGCGACCTCAGTAGTGATAGTCGCCGACATAGTGGGGGGCTGGGCGGTAGAGCGCAGTTGAACTGCGAAGTTGAGCCTCTCGCAAGCTGGCCTGCGTCGTGGTCGTCGATGTACGGAACAAAATCGTGATCGTGTTGGAGGAAACCTGATGACTCGGGTAGTGGTGGGTCGGATAGCCGCACCCGAGTCGGGATCGGTGCGACTGGAATGCAAGAGCCTGACCCGAGAGCCTCATTGCGCTCACACGCGGTCCTTGAATCATGATCGACAGTCTAAGTCCCGATAACGTACATTGGGAAACAGCCGACCTGCAACAGGATCGTGTGGTGAGTCGATATCCAAACGTCCTCCTAGTAATCTCGGCGGCACACAAATTCCCCCAGTTGATATCCCTTTGGCCGCTTCATACTGTCACCAGAGCATACAGTGCTCGCTCTACCCGACAATGGCTAGCAGCCCTGAGATCACAGCCATCCTTAGCACCGTGAGCGAGGGACGCACGAAGGACCTGAGATACCGACAAAGACAACTCCTATCGCTTCATAGTTGGATCGACACTCATGCAACCGAAATTGCTGGTGCTCTTGCCGCGGATGACGGTCGGTCGCCTCTCGAAGCTGAGTTTGTTCTGTCAGCCGTGTTGAACGAGCTTCGACATCATTACGAGAGTCTCGACCTCAAAAAGGAGCTAGCGGTCGAGTATAGCATCAAGAAGGGCAAAGAAAATCCTGATCGACGAGTTGCCGAAGATCTAGTGTACTTGGTCCCCGCGAGATCGTCGCTTGTCTTCAGTGTCCTCGTTGTATTATGTGCAAGTATCGCAGCCGGTTGCTGCTTCATAGTCGAAGTGAGATGCAACCGAATCTTCCTCTTTTTCCCATACTGACAACTACTAGCTACCAAATGATCTCAGGCTACCCCAGACGTTCTTCGTCGCTTGTTCTCCGAGTCACTGGACAGAAGGGCTTTCATAACTGTCAGCAATCGTCCAATAGAGTCGGTCCTTCGTTCATGCTTGGTAGTTGATCAGGCCAACAGTTCTTCGTCAGACGCCGGTGGCAGAATCCTCACCTGCGATAGCCAGCGCCGAGCTGTGGCAATTGTGGACAGAAGTGCCGATTTGGATCTGGCAGCCAAGGAGATTGCCGCATCGAGATATTTTGTGGGTGGAGAAGGCGACTATGCCCCGGACTTAGTTTTGGTGAATGAATTTGCACGAGCTGAATTTCTCGAGGCCTGGTCCAAGCACTGCACGGCGCTCAGTCATGCAAGATCGGCCATGGACGGATCTTGTTCTAGTGACGGCGCCCTCCATCCAACTCTTGACGTCGGCAAGAGTTTTGTCACAATACCTAGGTCTAGAACACAGGATCCCTGCCTCATGGGCCGAAAACAGCATTCGGAGATGAAAGGTGAAGGTCTTCGACTCGACGAGATCAGTACACGGTAAGTCTATTGGTCGTGCCTCCATTATTCATGATGCGACTAACAAAAGCACAGGCAGGACTTGAACTTTGACGAAGCACGACGAGCCGACACCGTGACTCTACTGGCATACACCAGTCTTGACGATGCTATCGATTCGTTAGCCACCGTGCAACAGAATGCGCTGCCAGCACTGTATGTGTTTGCCGATCTAGCGCCGGCCAAGTATCTGTCACATTTTATCAAGACACATGTTAGTTTTGTCAACCACATCCCAGCCAATCTTTTGAGTGAGTCATCCCAGTCCCAGTCGGCACTGCGATAGCTATTAGAGTTACGGATTTGAGCTAAGCAACATGGCAGTTGGTCCCGTCGCACCGTCTGGCTATCCCGTATCAACAGAATCACGATATCGCCGTGAGATGTTTGAGTCGCCCAGTCCGCAATTTGTCAACGTTGCTGCAAACGAGCTCGGGGTCGCAGATGCTGTCGAGGTGGAGACCAGAACATACAAGAGGTGGCACGAGGCGGCTAGGTCTCCTCTCAAACCGACAGGTCAGCCGCGTGAGGGCGACGTCAACTTCTTTGTGCAGGGTCTCCGCGCCGCGATCGTCGTCTACGTCCTACCGGTCGCGCTAATTGGGATCTTCGGTGCGGGTTTTATGGGAAAGAAAGCGCTTTCGTATCTTAAGGCGAGGTAGAGGATGTGTATTTGGATCGAGACATGGGTGTGCTCTGTGCCTGACTCGCATTCTGCCACTGATCGACGCATGCACCTCCAGTTATCCGTTTTCCGACAATGAGGTTGCTGACACCAGCACGGTCATCCGTGACTGATTCAATGCTACTCCACATCTGACCCTGATTGAGACGAACGTTGAGCGCGTTGAGATCAATTTGCCCGTCTTGACACGTAGAGACCCAGGATGGTCAGGTGTCGGCCCCAAACAAGCATTGTATCCTACCACACCTGCTTGTTCTTCTGAATATACTCCTGCAACGTAATTGGTGGTCGTCCAGTCACCTCCGCCACCACGTCATTTAGTATGGCGAACTCACCGCGTCGAGCTCGATTCTCACCATCAGCCAGTCTCTTTGCGTACGTCGCTGGCAAGCCGAATGACGTGAATCTCTGAACAAGCTGCTCCGGAGAGATTGCCACATGACGTACCTGCCTGCCCAGAATGTTGGTGAAAAGTACTGCTACATCTTCATGAGATAAAAGTTCGCCTCCGACGATGATATAGTCCTGATTAGGCGGTTGTATGGCCATGAGTGCTTGGTAAGCCACAGCAGCAACATCTTCTGTTGAGACAAACGAGATCCTCCCCTCTCCTGTCGCCGAGTAGAATTCTGATCCCTTCTTGATGGTGGGATAGTGGTGCTGTTCGGAGAAATTCTCTGGTCGTCAATCAGTCTACGTGACTCGGCATATGTTTTCTGCTATGTAGATTACCCATAAACCAAGTCGGTCGAAGCACCGCCCACTCAACGCCGAGTCCCTTGAGGTAGGCGTGTGCTTTGCCAGTGCCTGAAGTTGACTCGTCCTCACGAATAGCGCTGAGAAGCACAAAGCGCCGAACACCATGGGCCTGGGCAACATCGATGAAGTGGTTCAAGGCTCTTGATGGGTCGACATTGCCCGGCTGCGACACGAGGTAAACTGCCTGAATGGGATCGGACTGGGCCTGCGGGTGTTCGAATGGGTTTGCGTACGTAGCTGTATCTGACCAGTCGAGTTTCACAGCAGGGATACCGTCTACTTCTTTGCCGGACCTCGAGGCAATGAGAAGTTGGACAGTGGATTTCAAGAGGGCTGTCAGCGGGCGCGCCGTCTTCCCTGACGAGCCGGTAATGAGGATAGTCATTATATGTAAGCTAGTGATCAACGAGGATCGATTTTATCATCTAAATGTCGACTCGATTCACATCACAGTAATGCTATATATGTGTTGATGACATACCTAAGATCTAGCTGTAGGGTATCAGTGTTCTCGAGACGTGATTAGCTTAGAGTGTTCAGATGCATGCTAGACGCATCCTCACTCGGGATGTGGACCACTTTGTCGCGGTTCTTGAATGAAGGAGCCATCAGACAACTCCAGCATCCTTGCGGTGGAGTTGGCGCGAATGGGAACTGTACAGATTCTCAAGTCTGGTGGGAGAATGTCGCTTTGTCCCCTACGTACAGACGCAGAACTTGGGGGTAAGGATATTGTAAAAGCCATGTGTTGTTCTTTAGGTACACGTCACAATGACAAACCTCCAACTTTTGTGCGGGGTCTTGGCAAGGCCAGGCAAGGCTGTATATTCATGCTTCGAGTGACGTAGCTATTTCACCGACTTGGAAAAACTTTCGAAGGATTGTACCTCGATCCCCCCATAATCGTCCGACAGCGTCTTGCCATTGACCTCAAGCTGCTGGGCGTCCTGCAACATGAATATCATCCTCGACCACTTGTCTTTACTTGGTGTCCGCCAAGCATGCATGGTTGCTCTCTGAATTGCGATATCTCCTACACGGAGAAGCCTTGTCTCACCCGAGTCAAGCACCAACTCAACCTCGCCCGCGACCACAATGCCAACATCTAGACTCATTGTCCGGTGCATAGCGGTCGTAGAGCCTGGCGCGAAATTGCATACTCTCAGTACCGTTCCGCCTGGGATTGTTATGGATGGTTGTGCACCCTCGGTGGCTTGTTTGTATTTGGCTAAATCAGCGGAGCCATTGAGGTCGGGCGAGAAGTTGTTGAGGTAAGCCACGAAGAAGTCCATCTCCGGGTTGATTTCTTCATAGACAGCTTCGGAAGGAAACGAGGAGAAAATTGACCGCCCATTATTGTCGTGGTCCGTGATGTACCTGGACTGGTTTGTAAGGCCCGTCCGTGGCGTCGACCCGGATTTGGCTGCCATCTCGAACTCTCTACCGACGAAGGATCTCGATTCAGCCGTATGTATCTAGTGCAGATAATGCATTGTTTCACCAGAGACTCAGATGTACAATCTGAATCGACGGAGGCGGGCGGAGACGACTTTATGTCCGAGTGCTAACAATATCGGTCAATTTGCAAATAGCCTTGACTAGATTGGAAGCTCTCGACCCGATCCGAGTGCATGTGGAAGACTCCAGGTGCGCAAAAAGTATACGTGGTGGTCTCCCACGACTGTGTCACATCAGTTGCGCATTATCCCCGGATACAAGTGGCCCTTCCGTTCGGATGATATCACTCGCATCCGGAGTCGTGTAATGCAGCATCGCCTTGGCTATTTGAGTCTCGGGAATTGCTTGCACCGCCCGAAAACAACGAAAATTGGCCCACAAGCCGAATGGGATAATTGAATCGCCGACCGGACTCACTGCGGCACACGGCTTGGGAGACTCTGTGCCGTTCCTTTAACTTCGGCCGCAGGTGGTCAGAATGCAGACGATTTGATATGTAGATCACACCATCTGCAATTGTCAATCTCTTGCTACAAGCTGTCGCGGAACGCAAACATCACCCAAGATGCCCAATCCGATCAGAGACGATCTGCTTGTCGTGGATGACACATCCTTTCCTTACCTATTCGAGCAGAACGTCACGATACCCATCAAAAGCTTCAATGCAATCGTCAGATGTAACATATACAGGCCCAAAACGACAAAGGAGGTCCCCGTAATCATGACTTATGGGCCATACGGCAAAGACATTCATTACAAAGAGTTGAGTGGATCTACCTGCGATGATTTCGGTGATCGTGCAATTGATCCTCTCCAGTTTTCATGAAAAGTCATACTCCGAGGTCAATTCGAAACATCATTCGGAGCACTCATCCTTTGAGACCCCAGACCCTCGCTTCTGGACTGCTAACGGATATGCCGTACTGCGAGCAGACGAGGTCGGCCTTGGTCAATCTCCGGGGATGCTTGATACAATGTCACAGCGGACAAGTGACGCCTTTGCTGATGTCATCGAATGGGCTTCAGAGCAGCCATGGAGTAACGGCAAGGTCGGCCTCATGGGAATCAGCTACTTTGCTGGTAGTCAGTGGCGAGTTGCTGCGCGCCAGCCCAAAGGCTTAGCTGCGATTATTCCGACAGACGGTATGGCTGACTACTATCGGGACCGATGTCGACACGGAGGCATTCTAACTGGATTCCTCAAATGGTGGTACGACCGCCAAGTTTTGTCCAATCAGTACGGACTCGCCGGAAAAGCAAGCCGCAATTGGGGACCCGATACGATCGAGGGAGACCTTCCAGAGGCCGAACTAGCTGCTAATCGGCGTGATCAAACAATCGACAATGCGCAGCACTTCTATCGTGATGACCCCTATTACTCCTCCCGCGAGTATAATCTCGAGGACATCGTTGTTCCTCTTCTCTCCTTAGGGAATTGGGGAAGCATCATGATTCACCTTCATGGGAATTATGAGGGGTTCCGTCTGGCCAGTTCAGAGAAGAAGTTTCTTCGCATGCTTACAGGGCGTCATGACCTTCCATTTTATGATGATGAGCACGTTGAGGTCATGAAGAGCTTCTTAGATGCCTTCTTGAAAGGCGAGGACAGAGGTGGCTGGACAGATGGCTCGCGGCCTCCAGTGGATCTGATTTTGCGAAAAGGTAATGTTGGGTACAACAATTCTGAGGCTGAGAAAGCGTACAAGCGTCGATTCGAGCACGAATGGCCTCTTGCACGCACGAAGTACACCAAGTTCTACTTAACAGCAGACCGACAGCTTGTGAAATCACCTCCAGAGTTGCACTACGGTCGGGTATCTTATCAGGCTCTCGGGAACGTTAATGAACCTCGTTTCGTCAGCTTCCACTCCGAGCCTCTCGAGAGCGAAACAGAACTTACTGGGTATGTTGTTGCCCATTTGAACGTCTCAGTGTCAGCATACCCTGGTGGGACAGTTCCAGCAGACCTGGACCTATTCCTCACGCTGCGGCATTTTGGGCCGGATGGAAATGAAATTTATTACACCGGTATTACTGGGGAGCCGGTGCCGCTCTCCAAAGGATGGCAGCGACTCAGCCTTCGCAAAATCAACAAGGCACATCCACGACATCGAGAATGGCTTCCTCATCGAGATTATTTCTCTACCGACGTACTACCCGTCATCCCTGGCGAGATCTACCCTGTGGATGTGGAAGTCTGGGCTACGAACGTTATCGCAGAAAAGGGCGATAGCTTCGTTTTGGAGGTTGCCAGCGGCGATACTCAGGGCAGTGGCCTATTTGGTCATGACACTCCGGAAAGGTATGTTGTCTATGCTAGTGCCCTCGAGAAGATACCTATACCTAACTAACACGTTGCGTAACAGATCTTCCGCGAGATTAGCTGGGAACAACCACATTCATTTCAGCTCGAATCACATAAATTGGATTACTTTGCCTATCATACCGGAACTATAGTCTCTTCCGCATGTTTTATAGTGTGCAGTCAATGAGCAAAAAGTTGAAGGCAGTCTACTAGGGTGCAATCTTCAGCTGCACCAATACGTAGTGCTTTTGTGGGCGAAGTTCGTGACCGCGTCGAATCCCACGACCTATACCATTAATGAAATAGTGCCATGCTTGTCAAGATGACAGCCTTGCGCAGCCTTGCCAAGGCCAACGGTAGATAATATTGGAGGTCAGTAATACCTTTTACGACCTGTAAGTAACTATGACTACCATTCAACAACGCCATCATGCAAGGCGCGATGCTCTGGCGCTGTGGTCGCTTTGATTACCAGTACCTAATTTGCTGTTTGATGCAAGATGCATTCCCTGAGCCTGGGGAGAATGCGGGGATTCTGGGGAACGACCCCGCTCTCGGTTAGTGGCCCACGACAACCGAAGCATAGAAATCGCTTTCGCGAAACGTTCTATCACACTCAACAACTTTTCAACTGTTTACATCTAGTGATGGGATGCATTGGTCTGCCTGGACTAGACCAAGTCGCCTGAGTTGTGCCCATATATAAACAAATTTTGCCGGATTGGAGCTGTGGGCGTCCTCAGAGTTGACGTCCTCGACTCGCCATCCGTGACCCCCAGCGACCGGTGAGGCCTTTTTTCGGACTCTGTTCAACTCCAACATAAGCCGCCGAGCAAGGATGACCGAAGATCAGGGAAGCCGAGGAATGTATGCTTGTGGGCTGTGTAAAGCGACGTACAGCCGTGGGGATCAACTGATACGTCATGTCAGAAGCCACACGAAGCAGCGTCCTTTCGTATGCTCGGTGTGTTCCAAGGGCTTTGGCAGGCAGGACCTACTGAAACGACATATGGGTATCCACGATGGGCGCAACGCGCGTAACGCTGACCTAGCGGGCGCAACAGGCGCATCCATCGCCCGCCAGAGCCATCGGGTCCAACGAGCCTGCCGCACATGTGCTGAGAAGAAGCTGAAATGTACCGAGGATAAGCCTTGCGAACGCTGCAAAGAGAAGCAGATCGAATGTGTTCCAGTGGATCTCGATGATCAAAGTCAGTCACAGTCTCAAAATCCTCCTCAGCCATCAATGAACGATTCACTTAGCCATGGAGTTTCAGCGTCGCCGCCAGGAGACGACAATCTCCAAGACGATGACGAGATGTTCATGGTTCAGCCTAGTAGCGAGTATCTGGCTGTCGCTGATGACGCCCTGGCTATATTCCCGGTCAATGAAGCGGCTTTATTGCAACAGGAACCCATGATGCAAGATATCTTGGGAGGATCAATGCCATTTCCGGTTCCGGACGACTCCGTTCAGTTCGATCAAGACTCAACGTTCGAGGCCATGGATTTCTTCTGCCTGGATGGTCCCCTAGAGCCATGGCCGGCGCTGCCTGCACCTATCACGCCACAGTCAATCACCTCGCCAAAACAGTCAACGATATCCCTGGGTGCCGGCGCTTACTCAGTTTCTGGAGCATTCTCGACATGGATTCCACGAAAGGACGATGGTCACGACCTTGATGAGCAAGATCTAGTCCTCCAAGGCACGGTGGATCCTTCACCGCAGCACGGACTGTCTCTAGATGGGCTGGATATATCGAAAGAGGCCCTGTCGCCAATGGTCAGGGATGAGCTTCTAGCCATGGTCCTCGGCCGTATGTCAAAAGTGGCCTCAAAGCGGATCATCCGGTCCTTCCCTCCCAACGAAACTCTCAGAGACCTGATATATATGGCTTTGACGCACATGCGGCAGAGACAAATCGGGCATTTCATCCACCTCGCTTCGTTTGACTTGAATACGCAACGTCCTGAACTACTCGGTGCACTGGTCGCCTATGGAGCAACAATTTCGAGCTCGCCCGAAGCTCGGAAATTTGGCTATGCCCTGCAGAATATCGTTCGCATGGCCATCAACCAGCTAGTGAGTTTCCCTTTGCCGCTTTCGTTGTCGCGAACGATGCTGGAACTATGTAGGCCCAACAGGAACATGTCGTGCTGAGGGATCTGGACGTGGCGCAGGCATTTTACATTCAGACGTACCTTGGATATTGGAGCAGTGCTAACCGCCTGATCGAGCTCGTCGAAAGTGGCTCTATGTTGGGAGTCACAATGCTACGAAAAGGAAAAATGCTACAAGCGGAGAGTTACTACACCTTAGACGTCATTCTAGATCTTCCGGGCTTGTCGCTTCAGCAGAAGTGGCTAATGTGGATAGAGCAAGAGTCAGCCAAGCGATTGGTTCACTTCGCAGCCAGTCTAGACTTCCAGGTGGCTCTCGTGCGGGAAACCGGTGCACTATTTACTTACGAAGAGATCCAATGCCCTTTGCCGATGCCGGCGAGACTGTGGGAAGCTGCAAACGCCACTGAGTGGCGAAATTTGTTGGATCGAGAACCTGCTCTGAAGATGCAGCAACCTCCACCACTGAACAAGGTACTCTGGCAACCCTCCTTGCTTGCAAAATGCACTGGGTCGACTGATACTCGATTTTGTGCCTATGTCTACCTTAGTAGTTTCTGGATCCTTGTCAAGGACTACTGGCGCATGGCCTCTCTGCTCCCCGAAACAAAAGCCGCCAGCGACTTCGTGCTGACTGCACGCCACTCGGAACTCTTGGGCACTCTGGATACCTTCAAGGCTGAATGCACCGACGAACCGGAAGTCGCGCCAGAGATCCTCTTGTTGCAGGAGGCTGCCTACTTACATCTATCGGCATGGGTCGCGGGTATAGCTCACTACTGTGGAGGGAAAACCGACTTTGATGCACGAGCAGCGGCAGGCTACGTTCAACGATGGCATTCAAGTAAACAATGTCGAGCCGCCGTTTGGCATGCGGGCCAAATCATCCGTGCAGCCAGATTGTTTCCAATGCGCGCCTTAACGGACATATACGCCACAGCGCTGTATCATGCTGGGCTGGTGCTGTGGATATGGGGCCTGTTGTATAGGGCGCAGGGAACCTATATCGCCAGTCCTGATGCCCCAACCCTCGCAATCGATGGGAACGAAGTTCCAGACACAACAAGGTTCCTCCAATCCGGTCGCTGCAGGCCGATGCTGACAGATCAAGCTGGAAAGCCCTTCTCTTTGGAGTCTCCTGCTCTGGCGACTGAGCTTGTGCGAGACATACTCGCCGATAATTGGGGCCAAGAGCCGATGGCACCTACACCGAGGGAGGCATTTCGGTTCATGCAGGCTTTTTCAAAGATCACTCGTCAGCAATTCAACTCCTGATGCCTTATACGTCCGAAGGTAGATACCCTAGCTATTGAAGTCCGCCGAAAGAAGTATTACGACCCACAAATGTGTTCGCAGCCGCTTTTTGTGGTCTACAGAACGAAGAAGACCTACGCTAGACACCGACGGCTGCCAGGCTGGGATCCAATAATCAGCATTGCTCAGCCACGATATGTGTCCGAAGCCTCAAGGCCGTTTGCTGCTTAAAGCCGTGCGCTATTTTGATTACTCTCAAGTAGCTCCATGGCGTCACGCAACACGTTCGGCGTGAAGTTGTACATGTGGTATTCTGCTGGGCAGCCTGTTGGTGTGGTCAGCATAGCGCCGTCAGCCACCTTTGGTGGAGTCGGGAACTGTTACTCACTTGGCAGAGGTCCGTCAACGAAAGGTCGCACTATGTCCTTGATTCTGTGGGCTTCGTCTTGTCCCACACTAGAGAAGATGACCATCGCGGCCACTCTCTTCAGTCGCAGCTGCTCAAATTGTTGCAGACGCTCCGGAATCGCATCCTTTGATCTCACCCCAGACAAGAGAACGCCCAGAGCAGCGGCGTCCTCGATGGCCATTGCGCCGCCTTGTCCTTGATCTGATTTCAGCAGTCAGTATCTGGCACGCTAGATATATGGATAATCATTGTGCTTACGAGGAAGCATTGGGTGAGCTGCGTCCCCAATAAGAACGACTTGACCGCGGGCGAGCTTTGATAGTGGCTTCTTCCGACTGCAGAGCCTCCAAAGTTTGAGATCTTCTGCTTTTCTACACCGAAGATATCAGTGATTGTAGCCTTCAAGGATGTTTCATGCGACCTCACCCGCAAACGGCCTGTAGGTCAGGGTGGAGTTCGGTGGATGCTTTCATAAATTTCTCTCGCGATGCAGGTATGCTCCATACTATCATTCCATTAGTCAGCCTGCTCTTCTGATGACAGTCATAGCAACAACGAAGTGTGTATACCTTCATCTTCGAATCCCTCTATATCGTCTGGAAGGAAAAAGCCGAAATTTTGGAGCTCGCCTCTGTATACATCTCGGTTATTGCTCGTCTCACTTGGGGCGATCTTATTCTTACCCTCGACACGGATACCATACCAGACGTTTGTCTCCCGCAGGGCTAATGACCATCTTCATGGCTTCGCCCTCAAAGAGATGTCGAGTTTGAGGATCTTCCATCAGCTTCTCTGCCGGGACAAGGAACCGGTACGCCATAGATCCTGTTGGATATATCCGGAGGTCTTCGCCGGAGTCTACCACCTTTGAAGCAAATCTTGTCTACAATGAGGATTCTACTTAGCGCTTTGTCGAAGAAATGAAAGAGTTGGGACACTTACACTGATGCCGTCCGCCACGATGACTACGTCCTTCATGTACTTTGTTCCATCGTACAGGCTTATTTCCCCATCGAGACTAATGTCGACCACGTTGGCTGACAGATGGATTTTCGCGACATTTGAGGTGTGTGGCCGGGGCTCTGTCGCTGTCCTCTTCAACTCATTGTGTAGGTCCGCACGATGGTAGAGGAGGAATGGCGCGCCATATAGGTCTTTGAAATCCGGAGTGAACTGCGTGCGCCGGACTTCCAGAGTCCTCCCGTCAGTAAGACGTTGCTATATTATGTTAGCCCTGCTTTGGTTCCTCATACGCGCCCCAGATATCTGACCTCGTCAAGAGTAACCGGTCGAGCTCTATGGAAGTTGAACTCAAGGTACGACAACACTCTGGATGCATTTGGACACATATTAATCGCAGCTCCGATTTCGTTGGCGAAACACGATCTTTCAAAAACCTGTGGTTGTCAGCTCAAGTGTTGCCGACATCATTTGACGTGCCTCAACATGGTGCCCACTTTGCAGAAGGGCGGATGCTGTAGCCAGGCCAGCAATCCCAGCGCCTACGATGCCAATGTTCAATACCTCATCGCCAGGCTTGGGAGCGAAGTAATTCGGGGGAATCGGCTCATAGTATTCGCTTCTCAGGCGCCCGTTGCTCAATTGCTCAGAATGAGCTGAGTTGGTGGGCATGTCGACCATGCCGGCTGCGTAAATCTTCCAGCTGCCACTGATCTTGTTGGTCGAAACAGTAGCACGGCTTCGCGCCTGTGAAAACGCTCCGTTAATTGCTCAGAGGGCGTTCCAACTAAACACAAGCCCAACAATGCATACAAGGACCATCACTATCGTGTAGAAGAGTGCTGATGCCAATAGTATCAAGATTGATGCCTGTCCGGACAGAGTGGTGGCCAGAAGTGTCCCAGGGCTGTCACTTCCAACCATCGCGTATTCCCGAAGGAGTTCCGAGGTGTCATTGCGGGACGCTACCACACCTCCCGGTCGGCCTCCCACACCGGATGTGGCTCACTCGGGCTAGATGATACCATCCACGGCTCTAGACGTGCTGCACCCCATACATCCAGTCTTCACTTCCAGATCTCGACATTCGGCCACGATCGGCCTCTAGCTTCATACTTCGCGGCCTCATCTCTGGGGAAGAAGCTCATAAGTGGCCAGGTCCCCGCGGGCACGCGTCTGACCTTCTTGCAAGGCAAGTCTTCTAGACTGTACTAAGCCCAATACATTCACAACTTTCGGGATTGCCATGGAGGCACAGGTCGCCAAAGGTGTCAGCTACACTGCTCCCACAGAGTTCACCCACGACGAAGATGTTAGAACTGTCACCACTGCTGCGGCTGTGCATGAGCCTAGCGAAGGCGAACCCGCGCCCCATCTTCACGCCAAGACATATGTGATAGTCCTGGTGAGTCTGATGTTCTTATCAAGCTACCAAACTACTTGCTCATGTTCCCTTCCAGGCTCTTGGTTTCCTATCATTTGCCTTGCTCATGCAGCTGGTAGCATGCGGCGCGGTAAGTCTTCCTTCTCTCAACGGTTTGCACACACGGTACTCATACCTCGACAAGTTAGCTAGCACTATTGCGCAAGTAGTCGGAGGAGCTGACACTTCCGGCTGGCTGTTAACGTCTCTGACCATCAGCTTCGTGGTCTTCGCGCCCCCTATCAGCCATGCTGCAGACTACTGGGGCCGGCGCTGGCTTCTGATTATTCTCGCCCTGACAGGAATGGTTGGCTGCATCATCACTTCGCGTGCTCAGTCGGTGAGATCTTTCTGAGAGGCGTGATCTCTTTCTCTTTACCGTAAGCTGACTTCGCCAAGATGGGCGTTGCCATACTCGGCGAGGCGTTTGTCGGAGCCGCTTTTGCAGCCACGGTAGGCTAGATGTTTGATCGATGTCCGATCGTGCGTTGACAACCTCTTTTAGCCATTGACCTTTGCTGTCGCATCTGAGGTACTGCCTCACAGGCATAGGCTAACGGGCCAAGCGGCACTCAATGTGGTTGGTTTGACGGATGCTAAGTTGATAGCAAAAAGGCTTACCATCTCACAGGGGAGCTCATTGGGTGCAGTTTTCTCACTCCTCGTAGGCGGCAGACTGGTGCAAAACTATGGCCCGGCGGCGTACCGGATTGTATGTTCGAATCCTTGTGTTGAGGCCCAGTGCTGACACTTCTTCTAAGCTCTACTATATCAATGTGAGTGAAGCCAAAGGGTAGCTTTGCCCGTCTATTGACCGATGCCCTAGGCTGCAGTGTTTGCTGCTGCTGCAGTTGTCATATTCTTCAGCTATCGGCCACCGTTGCGCGAGCTTCAGGCCGAGTTGAGCACTAAGGAGAAACTAGGCCGTGTGAGTTGATCATGCTGAAGACGAGTACCTCGCCACTCACGTTGGACTTAAGCTGGATTGGTCGGGCTATCTCATCACGGGGTCTGCTGCAGTACTTTTCTGCATGGGACTTCAGTGGGCCCTGAATCCATGTAAGTGTTCTCAAGCAATCCTCACTTCAATTGACCTAATCACTCTTAGATCCTTGGGACGACGTACACGTTCTGGCGCCGTTCCTTGCGGGCATCGCGTGCTTTGCCTTCCTGGCTGTGTACGTGTGGAAGCTCAACCACAATAGCTACATTCCGGCGGCCTTATTCTCGTATGTTTGCATCAATGTGCTGCAGCCATATGAGACTGAGCTGACATTATTGAAGCCGCAACAGGAATTGTGCCTTAGCTCTCGTGTGCATCTTTCTGGAAGGGTTGTGTACGTAGAGTTGATCCGACCGATCACTCAAGCCAGCTTCGCTAACCTATACCACAGCTTTTGGAGTGTGTTCCGCGAGCCATTTATTCTCGGAGGGTTTGTACTGACACAGATAGAGCGCCAATCTTTACGTCCCCTTCCAGTCGTCAGTACTCTATGAGACGGAAGCATTCAACGTTACGTTCCAGTCCGACTACGCAACCATACTCTGAGTTCCAAACCATGCTGATTCTCTCACAGGTTCAGCATTGCGTTGATGAGCTATGGCTTCTTCAGCCCGATCGGAGCAATTCTTGGCTTTCGCTTCAAACTGGTTCGAAGCCTTCTTACGACCGGCTTTTTTTGTCTGCTCTTATTTTTCATCCTTGCGGCAACATCCACGCTGTCCAGCAGAGCAGCTTTCTGGGGATACCAAGCATTCCTCGGAGCGGGACTAGCGTTCGTGCTCAACGCTGTGGTAACGGCAGCACAGCTTAGCGCGCCAGCGGAATACATGTGCGTAGCCATGATCTAAGACGCTGGCAAGCGACTGATGTTCCTCCAGATCCATTACTAGCGGCTTGATAGCTGCAATCAGGTCTCTTGGTGTGAGTTTAGCAGCTGGTATATGTACGTATTCGCCACCAATAAGCGGCGTTCCTCACCTTGCTGACTCGCATAAAGTCGGGGCTATATTCCACACCAGACTGACGACGCTCATTCCAAGCAAGATCACTGCTGCAGCTCTAGCAAGTGGCCTGCCAAAGTCGTCTCTGCCGGCACTCATTGCGGATGTGGTCAGCCAGAACTCCGATGGACTGGCCCAGATCCCGGGCAACACGCCTGCAATCACTGATGCCGCTGTGGGCGCTTTGAGAATGGCATACCTACAGTCGTTCAAGTCAGTCTGGATTGCTGCCAGTTGTTTCGCTGGATTGGGCCTTCTGGGTTGGTCTCCTTCGTCCATGCGTTTGAGGTTTCCTGAAAGCTGACAACCCTGGAAAGTGTCTCTCTGCTTTGCAGATCCCACACCAGACCTCTCGAATCACATCGACGCTCCTGTTGAATCCGAGAAAGACATGTACGGCTGAGCGTGAACGATTCAAAGGGTCCTACGACATCCCTGGGGCCTTTGAAAGCTTCGGAAGAAGCAAGTGGTCGGTGCGATCGAGACAGGCAAAACTGGTGAATTAGTGACGGACTCAATGTAAAGTATGTTCCTGCTCTCAATGAACATTGCGTACCAAAGGTGGCCTCTCGTTGGAACCTTGGAAAACCAGGTGCTACGAGAGCTCATAAGAAACTTGCTGGACATGTCTTGACTATAGAATGCTGCTAATTGCCTTGTGCTATTGTTGAATATGTATTGAGTTACCTATAGGTCGGTAAGGGTAAATCTGACCGACCTCCGATGTATCCGTTGTGGGCCTTGGCAAGGCTGTGCAAGGCTGTCATTCTGACAGCTATATCTGTAGGAAGCCTTGCAAATTCGCAGGGTTCGTAGCAAGACCGAGCCCCACAGCCAATGTGTGGTGATAAGCAAATTAAAGCTCAAGCAGCGCTACGATTAGGCTTTCAGTATCTGGGGCGAGCCGACATCTCGGAGACGACAAGATCTGGAGCAAGAGCTGCCGGGATGTGGACGGCCGACGGGTGTAAGCCACGCTCCTGCCGAGCTTGTACGTCAGCCAGAACATTTTCCCCATATCGCAGTGGGCGAAGGTTCATTTCAGGGTGGACGGAGTCTCCAGGTGCCATACTCGGAAGAGATCGTTACACCAAATTGTGACCCGAAGGACAGCATTTGCTGCCAGAAAACTGGGACTCCAATGATAGTCAGGGATAACGGAGTTTGGGACGATGCCCGAACCACGTTGAGTCTGCCAGGATGGTCCTGAACACTGCCTGCAAGGATACTGAAACTGAGTCTTGTCTTCTGCCTGCTCTTAGTCAAGATTTGGTACCTCAATCAGGCATGCTCGGCGGCCTCCACAACAGGGCTCTGCCTGACGGCGTTGACAATAATGAACAGATGTCTCAATTCTTCGGTCCAAGTCCTAGTCCGCGGCAAGATGCTCAAGAAAACAGTCATCAGACGGGCGTTCTACATTCACTGCCACAACTGTCAAATTCCGAACATCCCGAGCCATGTTGTCGAGGCTCCTTGCAACACCAGCGTACAGTCTGAAAGGAGAAGGTGATTTCGCTTACGCTTGCTACGTAACAACCGTACTCGATAAGCTCGCATGGCTTGGAGGGAAAAGTTACTAATACTTCGGGTTCTACGTACACGACTTCCAGTATCGAAAGAGAGATGAGTCGTTCCTGAAAGGGGACTATCTAGCCGTTGTGTGGAAGACCTTGCGGATCCAATTTTGACTGGGAGGAACGACTTAGGCTTTCCCAAGCTATACCCAGAGACTCGTATCGACGAGAACGGTGCATCTTGGAGAATGGAAGCCAGCTGGCGTGGTTGGACCTACATCACTCTTCAGCTTCACGGTCTCCGACCAGCCAAAGCTCCCTCACCCAGTCCCCATGATGGTGTCTTCGTTTATAAGTATATCCCAGCTATAGGTAAGTCGGGCTGCGCCGATGTTGAATATGCCGTGTGTGCTCTAGCCGAGCCAGGACGAAACATCAAAGAGTTCAAGATCACCTCTGACTGCAGCATCAGGGTTGATTCCCACAGTCAAAAGTCTCTACCCATCTTTACATCACATCGTTAGTCGACTGAAGGAGCTGCCGATCGATGAGATAGTGACGGGAAGCATTACCAGCGGCACTGGCGTAGATGACGTGTCCACGGCATACAGGATAGAATAGCATGGACGACTTATCGCTTGATTTCCAACGGCTCATCGGCCATAAGCTCTCGACGAAAAGCACAAGTGAGGCATTCACGTACAAACACAGATGGTAGTGATTCGATTTGCTCTCCTCCTTATCTCGCATCGTCAGCTCGTTGATTATATAGATAGGCATCGAGGCCTTGGAGGAGCACGAGTAGAGTCTCGAGTCGGGGAATGCTCACTTGCTTCGATAGCCCAACCCGAACTATCTCACCCAAGATTGCCTCGACCTCGAGTGGCTTACCGTTAAAGACATCTGCTAACATGCTGGGCTGAACTCCTGGATAAGGTCTCGAGAGAGATCTCTGCAACTGATTCTCAACCGCCTCCGCACCGGCAACATCTGCGTAGCCTGCAACTTCTGCGACCGCTGCAATTTCTAGCATGACGTTCTTGATCAAGGGTGTGCCGAGGGGAGAAAGGTCCATCAACTGCCGGTCTCGACATTTCGAAAGCGCGCATATGGTATTGACCGCTCCATTCGCGATTATCTTTTGCCATCGCTGCCTCTGTATGTCCTCTTCGACGACGGCTGTTCCTCCTCCGTTCCTGATAATGGTTGCTAGAGATTCCAGGCGAGAATGACTCGACGTGGAGGTGGAGGAACCGTATAGCCCAAGGTGTAGTCGTTCGACTTCCTCGTGTAAGAAGACCCCAGGGGCTATCTCTGTGGTCGGAAGATAGACGACTCCAGAGATAATTGTGGCGCTAGGGTAGGCGTCCGCGTATGGTTTTTCGATCCCAAGGCCATTCTGTATGAGGACAATTGTGGTGGCACCTGATTTCAATACTGCATGCAGTGCCTCTAACGTCTGTTTCATTGTCTTTGGTATGACCTTAGTGCAGACGAATACGTAATCGTAAGGCTGCTCGGGGAGTGTCACAGCTTCTTGAACGCTCTGGACAACCTTAGGTCTTGAACAAAGTTTGCCCAGGACCGTGGAGGTCACTTCTATGCCATTTTCGTTAATTTCCTGATAATTTGAACGGCACACGCAAGTGACGTTTGCTCCTCCCTTATCAAGAATGCACGTATACACAGCGCCGATGCTGCCAGTACCAAACATCAATATGTTGGCCATGATTCTGCTTCTGAGATAATGGAATTGTCGCAAGTCTCACTTTAGAGAAGAGATATTTGCGTATGCGCCAGATCTTGCAGCAATGTTTGGTGATACGCCATCAAGTTTCCATCACAACCCAAAAGATCCTTGATCGTGGTCTGCGAAGATGCTAAGCACGGCGGATGTTGCATGGTTAGCTCTTGGCGATAGTGTACCACATCCCGAGACTCGGGTACACTCTGCTTAGCCAGTCACGCCGTCACGTCCAATCACGGTCAAATCGCCGCGGGCCTCGGTAGGATTAAGCGCGACGCACGCGGGGAGTATGCCGTTGAGACGAGCATCATATACATAGGCTTACAGCTGTCCGACCATCGACCGCGTATAGGTCCGCTGCGAAGCTAGGCGTTCACAACACCAAAATGGCCTCGGCAGCGCAGATTATCAAGACCATCGAGCCACTCCATGTCGGCCAGTTCATGTTTGTACGCATTGTGACCGATCGAGGGATTACAGGATACGGCGAGGCTGGGATCTGGGGCCACATAACCACCGCAGCAACAGCTATCACCAGATTTGCCGAATACTTGATTGGGAAGAATGCGTTCGATATTGAACATCATTGGAACGTGATGCATCGATTCAGCTATTTCCAAGGCCTTGCCATTAATGCTGCTATATCTGCCATCGACATAGCGCTATGGGATATCAAGGGAAAAAGCCTTGGTGTGCCAATTTATGAGTTGCTTGGGGGAGCTTGCCGCACGAAAGCTCGAGTTTATGGACATATCTATGAGAACACGATCGAAAAGGTGCTCGCTGAATGCAAAAGGAAGAAGGATCTTGGTTACACTGCCTTTGGCCATATCAATCCTTTCCTTGACGTGAGTCCTTCACCCCTCGAAGAGCTATTGCGGTGTGGACGACAAATCTCACGAAGGGTATCGCTAACACCGATCAGGAACCGATAAGGCATACTTCAAAACACACGTCAGGAAGATGCGGGAGGCAGAGGATAACGTTCGACGCATGCGTGAAGTGGTGGGCGATGAAGTCGATCTCCTCATCGAGCTCCACCGTCGTTTGACACCCGCAGAGGCTGTGACATTCTGCAACAACATCAAGGATATGTGTCCCATGTTTGTGGAAGATCCTATCAGACCTGAGAGTGCCGACGCCATGGCGCGGGTCGCTGATCGCCTAGCTGTGCCGATTGCAACTGGTGAACGGTTCTGTACCATCTACGAGTTCCAGGCACTCCTTTCGAGGAATGCTATAGAGTTTGTCCGTGTCGACGTTGCAGTCTGCGGAGGTATTACAGGAGCGAAGAAGGTAGCTGCACTTGCAGAGGCGCACAACGTTCAGGTCGTGCCTCACAACCCTCTTTCGCCAATCGGATTGGCCGCCTGCCTGCAGGTGGCTGCATCGATTCCTAACTTCGCCATCCAGGAATATGCAACAGGTTTCGAGGCAGGTGTATTCGAATCTACCTTGGAACATCTAGGCAGTAATATTGTTGATTATTGCCCGAAGGTTGTCGATGGACTTGTGGACATCCCTACGGGGCTGGGGCTTGGCGTCAATCTACTCGAGAACGCGCAACAGATCCGCGCACCACTCGTACAGCCGATCAAGATGAGACCGCACAAAGATGGATTCATTGTGGATCAGTAGAACTTGAGGGTCATTTGTAATAAGCATCGCATACTGCAGGAGTCGCAAACGGACTGAAATTTTGGACGAGATCATCAATCTGCTCGAGCTGCGGAGGATGTAACGGCAGCGGCCGAGCTGAATTGGCACGTAGATCGCTCCACAACTTCAGAGATTATGACGCGAGCAAATCTAGTGATGAGAATGATGGATTGAGAATGTCGTCGATGGTACTGATGCATAGGCGACGTTGACATTAAGAACCATAAGTCAAATACTTCTCGGAAGTCGCGTCGCGTGTGCGGTGCGGAGACAGCTCCGAACGCGACAGTCACTGCACAGCCGATGTTCCCCTCTATATTGGCGCCAGCAGCACCACGCAGTACATTGTCGGACAGCGCGGAATCGCAACGAAGTGGCATGCTGTGCATAGTGCCCCCTCAGAACGTACGTATCGCCTCCCAGCGATTCCGCTATCTCGATGACTTCCGACCTCCGTGGGTGGAACGGCGGCCATTAAGCACGGTGAGACTCGGCAGACGCTTGGCCTGGGAGCAAAATCTGCCTTCGAAATAAGCCCTGGAGCCCGTAACCTTGTCGGATGGGGGCGTGGGGCTTCCGCGCTGGGCCTCGGTATGGTCTCCCACTTTGAAATGTTTTAAGACCGGCACAGACCGAGATCAGCGAAGCATACTGTTCTCGGTGATATGAATGTGATGCAGTAGACTAGCTCTATCTATTTTGATGTGCGAGAGCTATACGTATTGCCTCCTGCTTATCTCTCGGGCTGTTTGCCCTGCACTTTCTCCCAACGAGCCGTGCTCTGTCTGAAGAATGCAACGAATTCTTGCATCTCCCGCTCGGACTCCTGCTGTTTGATCAGATCCAACTGTGCCTTCATCCCGTCGCGGTGACCTTCCTTGTAACGTTCGATTCGTTTGCTCCAGTCCAGGATGTTCTTCCGACTCTCAGCGGATTCGACATCGGCATTGGCTACCGCGAGGTGAGCCGCCAGGTTATCATTTCGCTTCACGATCTGCTGGCTGTGTCGAACACAGCTCAAGTTGGCGCTGCCAGGCTCCTCCACACCGGTGTCTGGATATGTGCTCGTGTCGGCAATGCATAACGGCTCGATTTCGGAGTATAGGTATGCGAGATCTTGGATTCTACCATAGGCTGCTCGGAGCTGCGCTTTCAATTCGATATTACGCTTCTCGGCCTCTTTGCAGATAGAACACAGAGAACGTTCGCGCAGCCGTGGAGCAGTCCAGCTCCGGAGACTTGGTCTGCTGGGGCGGCCTGCTTGCTTGCATCATGGAGCTTGCTGCTCTCAAGCATCTCCAGAAGGCGATCCATGCAAGCGTCTCTTTTCTTCATGCTCTGGTCGCACATGAGGGACTTCGACAAATTTTTTTCATTCGCTGCTTTTTCGAAGGCTTGGGGATGGTGGATGGAGTCCTTGTTGGTGGCATGAGCAGCATTCATCTCACGGACACACTCTTGGATCGCGATTGCGCAGCGGGCGGAAGTGCTGGCAGGGCCATCTGCGGCGGTCGCCTCGCGTCGATCTGACTGCATGAGTGCGGCCGCCATGCTGTGGAGGTCGAGAGGCGCGTGGAGGGTGTCGAGTCGCTATTCTGAGCGCAGACGGCTGACAAGGCTTGTGTCTGCGAGGACGTTAGTCTCGGTTGTGTTCGAACTCTGGTACAACTTACTGAACCGATTCGCAACGAATTGCCGCTTCGCCGAATGTGGGTGCTGGTTCGAGAGGGAAATGCCGATGCGGCCAGCGCGGAGATGCACAGGCTGGCAAAAGTGCATGCAAGTGTCCTGGTTGAACATTAACCTTTCACCTGATGTACCGAGACAAGTCGCTCATCTGTCACTTCTTGGGGCAACATTTCAACCCGTCACTTTCGCCAAAGAAATCTGATCCACACCGCCTTGCACACGATCTCCTCCAACCCGCGCACATCCAGCGGCTGCTTGAGTGTTGCTCTCACGGACTTGCAGTAGCCATATTTTTACGAACGTCCATTCGCTGCCGATCCGTGCCGTAGGTCCAACGCAGAATGAACACGACCGAAGCTGACTCCCTTGCAGATTCAGCAACGCCTTGAGACTCGTCTGGCGTCCAGAGCAACCGATAACCATTGTCTAATCGTCCTTCGACTGCATCCATCATGACGACACAGGCGCTGATGGAGTCTGACAGTTTCGATGCACTCCTTGAGCATGTTCTGTCCAGTGTCGTGCCACGACTCGAAGCCGCAATCCCGAAAGTCGAACAATATAAGCAGGGCTCGGCTGATTCGGGTCCCGGTCACGGCGACTCCGACAACATCCCTGCACGGTTTGCAGCCGTAGTCGAAGATCTCGAAGAGTGTGCCAACGACATGAGCTACATGCGTGACGTCTACCACAGCGCCATCGACACGGCCCATGATATTGGTCGGAAGGCCAATAGGGACAAGGAGGAGTATGAGCATGCAATGCGTGGCATCGAGGAGAAAGAGACTCGTCTGGACCGGCTTCTGGCAATCCTCGAGAAGACCAAGTTCGATGACACAACCAAAAAGCGAGCCTTCGAATTCCAAGAAACCACGATTGAAGTGCTTCGCGTCGACAAGGATCTCGTTGTTGAGCGCATCAAGAATCTTGAGAAGGAAAATGGCGAATTGAGAGCGCGGCTCCGAAAAGCCAATGGCAGAATCGATGAATTGGAAGAAGACTCGATCAGGCAGTCGCGTGCCAACATGACCAGAAAGGATTGAAGCCACACCATGCGGTCAAAGGAGGCAGACCCTTGAGCCTGGCGCACCAGAATCGTACTCTAGCAGGCAGCGAGAACGGAGGTCTGAGAGGTTGCTCGAGAGTATGCCAGATGGTGGGAGTGCTGATGTAGATTGACCCAATCGCTTGTCGGTAGAGTGACAGCAGTGCGATGCACAAATTATCCCATGAATCCTACTCATCCTTCACTCTCCGACGAATGTTTCCCGCAGTCTTTCCCAGCTTTGTCCTGGCCGACTTCCTCATTCACGCCTGCAGTCAGCATAGCCGCCATGCCGAGGAATCCTCTACCACAAGCCGCAGCAATTTGTCCAAATCGTTCCGTCTCTTGTCGTGCATGCAACAACATGCGTTGTGTTCAACTTGCCAGTAACCGTGCAGACGGGGTATCTCAACGGGATATACCATTTTCTGGTACCGTTTCCAGCAGCTCGGACCAAAGCCCTACCACCTATCGCCCTGAGGTAGCACCTAGTGTGGCAAGCCACGCATTGACGAATTTTGTCTCCCTGTTGAACGTCTTGATCAATGGGCTTGCAAGAAGCAACGCCGCTTTCAATCGTTCCGCAGCGATAGCCTAGCTCCGACAAACGATTATGTGGTCCCGAGACGATACAGCATGCGGCGACACTCGCGAATACGTATGAGAGCTGTTGTCGGGACATGCTATACTCTGTAATTTCTGCAATCTGACTCTTGACTTGGTGAACAAACAGTGGGCTCTCAAGCCGGCGCCTGCCCAGCGACTGCGGACGACTTCGATGAGCTGTGATGATTGAGGGCGTGACTCATGTTTGGGGCAGTGAGTTGTAGAAATCGTTGAGGTCTTGAGACGTTGACGGCGTCTGATCTGTAGAGGGTCAGCAACCAACAGTCCACAGCTGAGAGTTGTCGTTTGCGCGGCAGCATTCGCCGTTCCCTGCGTCGCGTGTACGAAGTATGGTATTATCTGCGGCAGGAATTCACGGAAGGCGAAGTCGCTGAGCTCGTAGGGACGGTAGCGACGTTTCGGGAGATCAACGATCATGTCAGAGGGACGAGATCAGGACGAGCGTTGCCGAAGTCGGAGGTGGCCTGCGCTTGATCGCAATGTTGACGCCGGAGTCGCTGTGTTGAGCAATCGATTTCAATGCTCTCGAGGTGCGATGCTCGATCGGTTCACGGCAAATACCACGAGGAACGATCAACGCGCTTGCTGTTTACCGGCAACGCAGTCGAGCTTGGGGGATGCCGCCGAAGGGCGCCCTGAGCAGCATTTGAGCCAGTCTGCCATCGCAGAGCAATCACCAGATGAAGACCGGAGCAGCAAAGAAGTTATGGTGTCCATCAAGGCATCTTCAACGTGGCCCAGGACGACCAGTCAGTTGGACAGACGCGGTCCGCAGGATGGTCCGCAGACCCAAGCATTTGCCTTAAACGCATTCGGCAGCCAGGCGACGAGGCAAATATGCACAAGTCCGAGCACACTTGGATGCAACATTGTTTCTTGAGCGCTCAGTGCAGAAGACTATCTGGCCGAAGGCCCAATCATGTAACATGCCAGCGTGCGTCGATATCAGTCCTGCATAAGATCTGCTATTATACCTGTGACACAGAAACTGGAGCGCCTTCGCAGATTCAACGGGGAGTCTTCACGCAATTATATTCCCAGATTCCGCGATGTTGATCCCAACGCCTAGTCTACCTCTTGTCGCACACATCTACTGCATTCTCCCGCAGACTATCTCGCCTTGGTCATGATGTTGCGCTCTGTGGCTTGAGACGACATTTGCCAACTCCTCGCAACACATCGATGTCAAGTATTTATTGTATGCCTGGGTACACAAGAAGGAAGTGGGGGCGACGCGTGGCAGCTTCCCGCTCTGACGCGCTTCTCTTTCGGGCAGGCGATAAATATCTCTTTTCTCCGACATACTACAGCAACTCATCCTTTTCATCGGTCGACATTTGCTGGACATCTCGGTGATTCAGATTTTGCGAGTCCGCCATAGGACCAAGGCATTCCGCTTGGCTCCTGAGTAGCAAAGCAGTCCAGCGATCTAGCGATGAGCACATTTTCTCCGCTGAGCACGTTTTCACCTTGGCACGCACGCACCGTTTGGCCGGTGCAGATCGCCATGTGTTAATCTACTGCGTGTCCCGCGACGCCTCGCGTCGCAACTTGCTCATCTCTCCCGCATGGGTTCAGGCACCGACCTTGTTATAGAGCAACATGAGCCCTGAATTCACAATGTGAGGGACATTGTCGCAGCCCGTGCTGACCACCGCAGACAGCACGTACACGAGCTATACTTGGTTTGACGCACCAATCAGTCATTATGACCGTTCAACTCACCATGCCTCTATCATTCGGAGCCCTCACGACTTTGCCAGTCCATGAAACACCCTGGATCAATATCACCATCAAAAGATCCGGCCGCAAACCGCTTGATGTGCTTCCTCAGACTGCCGGGCAGGCTCTCATTCCGCACATCAGCGCCAACCACGTGCGGGATTATATCTGGGACGAATTCGACTCCCTCATGTCCGAAGTCGAATTGAAACGGGCAAATGTGGCATCGGCCGGTCACGGGAAAGGTGCGCTCAAGTCGGAAGCACCGATACCGTGGCTGTCGTGGACGACCTCCTCGGGCAAGAACGGTCAAACGCGGAACAGGAACAACTTCTGCAAGATCTGGAAAGTCAATGTGGAACATCTCTTAATCATGGGCTTTCGCTGCCGGGTCAGCTCTGTACTCTTGCCTCGCGACTTGTCCTCCATGAGCATCGCTGTTGATTTTCCTGGCTCCTGCGATTCTGGCCGCGGCGTCAAGCCCATGGCATTGACGACTCATCGACCTCGCTGCGATTCTGGCGTTGCTTTCGACCGGCTCATGAACGAACGCCCTTCTGATATCAGCGCTCTGTCTCTGAACCCGAGTTCCGCTGCTGCCTTCGCAATCGGCCTTGGCGAGGTACGGCATTACGGAGTGAGTCCAAATGCAGGCGCGATATGGCTTGAGACATGCATTCGAAGGGCCCCGAAGCAGCCGCCTTGAATCAGATGTCTCTCGCGTTTGACTCTGATCTGAATTGGATGAGGCCCGCCGTGGTTGTGTTGTCGTTCAGATGCTGCTCAGCAGCAAGTTGGTTCTGGCTGTGGTGCCACTCAACGAGTTCGCAGTTCTGCTCTCGACGTGCCTCGTTGGAGCACAGCAGGTAATGCGAGATCGAACCTGGAGAGGGAGGTGAGGTGCATTCAGAGTCTCCTGGCAGCGACAAAATCGTGTCTCCACCATATAGACCAAACCAATCCAATTCGGTCGCCGCCAGCTACCTTCAGTCTTCCAGCCTTTGATTGCTACCCATTTACGCGCCAGGAGGCCTCCACTCGACAATCAACACCGCTGGGTAGATGGGCCGTCCATTCAACAATGCCAGCACTCGAGCAATATGATCAATGGAAATTCGCGGACATCAACTTCACATTCTCCAAGCAGATCCAGCAACAAACTGTGGCAGACCCGCATGCGCGATATGATACCTGTCTTCGGCGCTGTTGCAAGTGCTGACCAACTCTGCCTGCGATGGGAATGAGGCACACCAAAATAATGGATGATTTCGGCATGCAGATTGATCTCGACAATACCCATCTGAGCGAATCACGCATCTGCCATCTCGACTTCATTTGTGGAGACAACAATGAGGGTTTGAGCGTCAGAAGCCGCGGCGAGGTGATATAAGGTTCAAGTGACACATTCTGAAGATCGTTGACGGCTCTCAAGCATCCCTTCGGGATGTCAAAAGCTTGTCCAGCCAGTGCTTGAATTGCTTGGCATTCTGTATAGCATGGCTCGCCTCGATATGGCAATGAAGTGTCAGAATGAATCAGGGTACTCGCGACGCGTTGTGAGAAAGCGTCCACAACGCGACGAGGTCATAAGAATGACGAAAGAATCACGAATTGCATCTGGAGCGCATCAGTCTCTTCCTCGTGGTCGCAAACATGGGGATCCGGCGGCTTCAACCGCTGTTGGCGGTGCTGATGCCTGCTATGCTCGCTGCATCGGCCATCATCGATCAGCAGCTCTTTCAGCCTGCCGTGTGCCCCGTGGCTGTGACTGTTAGCCTTGTTCCGATTCAGATCATCACATCTGCCCTGAGCAACTGTGTTATCACCGTCACGCCTGGCGTCGAGCTTACGGTCACCAACGCGCCCATTTGTATCAGTACGCTGACGACGGCCACGATCACTTCGACCGTCACCGGTTCACTCCTGCCTGGCAGCTCGACATCGACACCTACGAGCTCTATCGGACTGTCAAGTGGCTCGTCGAGTCCCTCGCCCCAAGCTTCGCAGATCAGCAGTCCGATATTGATCAGCAGCTCGACTTCCTCTACGCAGGCCTCGCAAGTTGGCAGTCCGATCGCTGCCAGCAGTTCGGCAGTCAGCAGCTCGACTTCCGCTAGCCTGACACCTGTTGTTTCTCCTGGCTCGTGAGTATGACATCCTTCCGAAAAGACGCTGGCTGAACACCATTTAGTTCCTCCTCCGCAACCACATTCAGCGAGCCTCCGCCGATGTAAGGATCCAAATCCCGACCCTGAGACTTGCCTGACATGACCAGCAACCCATCCCAGACCTTTCTCCTCGCTGTTGAGCCTACTGCTGTTAATGTCAAGCGGACCCTTCAACGACGGCAGACTGTCAATAACACCGACAATGCATACGTCCGTGCCGATGGATTTGTTCTGAACGGCTGTGGCGAACAGGCTCAGTACACCATCGCTTCAGATCGCCTATACATTGGTGACAATGAGTTCTCAGTACAGAACACGTCGTTTTCAATCTTCTCTCCTGTTACACCGCCAGGTCCCGTCGATCTCACATTCTCCCTGGAGAATCAAGTCCTTCACTGGCGCAACGATGGCTTCGTTGGTGGGCAGGCTCTCTTCTGCAATCTGAACGGCTTTGTTGCAATGATCTTTGACGGAGTGTATCCAGACGGCTGTCCGCCAGTCAGACTCACGACACGGCCTCTTACAGCATGTCCGGCACGGCAGACGACTAGCAGCTCAACAACGACAACTGAAGCCGCTTCACCTGTGCTCAGCACCAATACCGATCTAGCCACAACGAGTCTGTCGTCTTCTTTCAACAACACTGTAGCCCCGATATCTTTGGCGACGACCGCCTCCACGTCCGGAGGTTCCAACGTTAACAACAACGACACACTCCTGTCGACGTCAACAACAGTCGTCCAGCAGGGCTCATCGTCCGGCAGCGTTTTGGTTTCATTCAACACGTCCTCAACATCAACTATCAGCAGTCTTTCAGGCTCCTTAGGTATCAACGATACGTCTTTGACTACCTCCGCCAGTAGCTCGGAGAGCTCTTCCATGCTCATATCGTCTGCCAGTCTCAACGGCACATCTATATCCTCTACCAGCGCTTCGGAGCCAATATCGAGTTCGGGCAACGCTCCATCCCAACGAGCTTGGCTGCTAGCGCAACTTCTACGTTTCTCGGCAGCTCTACGGATACGCCCTCAGCAACTTCGTCCGCCTCTGCAACAACAGCAGCGAACACGACTTTTCCGGGCTATGTAACCAGCACAGTGTCTTATGATGGCACAGTAACGACATCGGTCGTAGTCGACCCCATTGGGGGCAATCCTGGCACGGTATTCATATCTGTCCCTTACCCTCGAAGGACAACGTTCACTGGCATTGACGAAGGTCCATCAGGCACGGCCACCATCACGCAGCAGCTTCCGGTCAGCTTGAATGCCACCACGGCTATCACTGTGACCGTTGTTGTCACTACGCCTTACCCATATGTGACGCGTACAGAAGGATACAATGGCCAGATCATCACAAGCTCCGTCATCCCGCCCGCTCCAACCGAGTTCGTTGGCACACTGATTGTGCTCACGCCTTACAATTTGTCAATCACAACTACATCCTACGACGGAGGGCCTGGGAATACGAATACCATTACTTCAACCGTCCTTCCCCAAGGTACCAGCCAGGGCACAATTATCGTTTCAACTCCAGTCAACTATGTGACAAGAGTAGAGCGATTTGACGGCGGTCCATCAGTTACCAACAACATCACCGAGACCCGCTCTTTGACCGACGCAGGTGGTCCAGCTGTCGTTACCTCGCAGCCCTACAGCTACATTACATCAGAGACCGAGTACGATCAAGGCACCTCTGCTGCCATCACACGAACCAGCATCATTTCTGCGTCTTTGGATGTTGTTGACCCTACACCTATCGGTACGGTTCTCATCTCATACCCCCTGTCATTCACGACTGAGTTCACTGGCTACGACGGCGGGCCTACCGCGACCCAGAGCATCACATCTACCGTTGCGAACGGCACGCTTCCGCTCTCGCGGACACGTACGATTGTGATATCGACTCCATACCCATACACCACAATAATCTCGAACTTCGACACTGTCATCCAGACAAGCACCGTGGAAACGAGCATCATTACTCCAGGTCCTCCACAATTCACGGGAACAGTCCTTCTCGACCCGCCGGATGGATTCAATCTTGTCACTACCGGCTACGATGGTGGTCCGAACCAGACGAGCACGATTACGCAGACAATTGCTCCCACACCGCCAGCAAATGGAACGATCATCGTATCGACACCATATGTCTACGTTGACGCAACAACGCAGTACAACGCGCTTGGTGGAACACAAGTCATCACAATCACGATCAGACCATCTGCCAATAACACGGTTGGAACTCTCTTGACTTCTGTGCCTTATGGTACTGCGACAAGAACTTCGGGGTATGATGCAGGGCCTTTCTCTCCTCTGGCAACACAAACAAGCTCGTTCCCCGAAGATGGTACCAATGGACCCTCGATTGTGCTATACACCCCGTTCCCTTATGTGACGTCCACCACAGGCTATGACGACGGTCCCACAGCAACAATTACGGGCACATCAATCATCCCTGCAGCTTCGGGAACTCCAGGTACTCTACTTCTCCAAACACCAGAAGGTTATATTTCCACCACTGTTGGGTACGATGCGGGCGTGCCAGGAGACAATTCAACGGCGCCAACCCTTACACGAGTTGTTGCTGCCGCGAACGGTTCACCAGGAACGGTATTCGTAAGCACGCCATACCAGTACATCACGGAATACACCGGAACAGACGAAGGACCACTTGGGACGTCGACATTCACGTCTCTTCGTCCGGCGTCCGGCACGCCACCGGTAGGAAGCATTGTCCTCATCACGCCTTATGTCTACATCACCCGGACTGTTGTCTATCCTGGGCAAGGAATAATCACCGCGCCGATCACTGTCACATCGCCTCCGGCGCCACCAAACAACACAATCGGAACGATAGACGTGCAAACGCAGCTTCCGCTGATCACCATCACCTCGGGCTACAACGGACTGGTCAATACCACATCCGTGCTCGTTCAGCCATCAGGCACTCTACAGGGTACTTTGGCTATCTTGACGCCGTACAGCTATGGAACCACTACTTCGTTCTACGACGAGGGCCCAGCGGGGACGGATACCTTCATTCGAACCGTCCTTCCTACTGGGACCGAAGCGTCTGGCACCATTGTTTCGTCCATTCCCTACCCCTACGTTTCGTCGACAACAGGGTATGACGCCGGCGTCGCAGGAAGCGTTACGATCACGAACACCATCCGTCCTTCTCCTGCCACTCCGACAGGTACAATCGCGTTTAGTACGCCGTTCTCATACTTGCAGCTCGTCAGCAACTACGATAACGGACCAGAAGGAACTTCGACTTCGACTCAGACGATACTCCCGGTCGGCACAGCTCCTGGAACTATCATCAGATATGAGCCGTTTACTTACTCGACTGTAACCACAGATTACGATGGCGGGGAGGGCGCTACACCTACATCGTACGTGGTTGCGCCAACTGGCAACGTGGACGGTACGGTGTTCATCCAGAACCCGGACCCATATACTCGGATCACTACTAGCTATGACGCTGGACCATTCGGAACTGCTACCATTGTTGAGACCACACCTGCGTCCGTCGCCGCCGACCGCACTGGCACTATCGCCACGTCCACACCGTTGGTGTATGCTAGCACCACTGTGCAGTACGATGCTGGACCACGCCAATTCCAGACTATCACAGTCATTCAGTCGGCAGCTTCCGGTATTGCTCCGAGCGTGGTCTTCTCAACGCCAGCTTCATAGTAAGTTCCCAGCTCGCTCACCGAGCGAAGCTCTGCCGTAGGGATCCCAGGGTGGCGCACTGCTACACGCTGTTGCCATCGCTGTTTTTGCTGTTTCGTCCTGGACCTCTTGCTGACCTCTGTCTAGTATAACGATCACCTCTAATTTTGATCTCCAACCCCAGGCGACGCTCGAGCGATCGACGATATCTGCTGGTCCAAGTGGCGTAGGTACTGTGTTGATCGATCCACCAGATGACTACAGTGTCAGTTACACCTACAGTGATGAAGGACCTAGTGGAAGTCTTCGTGTTACACAAACAATCCCGCCCTCTGGCGGTCTGCCTGGAACTGTTCTTGTGACTGTACCATACAGATACGTGACCCAGACTGCGGGCGCAGATCTTGGATTTGGTGCTTCCGCGCCCGTCACCACAACCATAACGCCTGATCCTGTAAACACTGTCGGAACGGTGCTGATACAGACCCCCATCGACTATGTGATCTCGACGATCGGTACGGACGAAGGCCCGCAAGGCACCATTTTCACCTCGTCCACGGTTCCTGGCGCCAACGGTGTTCCAGGCACATACTACAGCATCACGCCTTACCCATACTCGACCTTCACCACTTCCTATGATGCTGGGGTGACGGGTACAGCTACGATCACAGTCATTGTCAGCGTGACCAATACGAGGTTCGGTAGTGTGGTTATCTCAACTCCTGGTGTCTATGTAACAACTACGGTAGGCTACGACGACGGACCGTTCTCGAGCGCTACCACCACGTCCGTTGCGCCGCCAGCCTCCAATACTGATGCTCGTGGCACTGTCTACATCTCAACACCATTCCCATATCTTACGTCTATCTTCTTTACGGACGTCGGACCCAACGGAGTCGTCCCGCCTCCGACGACTTCTATCATTTCTGCCGCTGCAGTGCCGTCCCGGACTGGCACTCTTATCTCGTTCGTGGCCGACCGGTACGACACTATTACGGCACCTTACCAAGGCAGCGGCGTTTTGACCGCACCAGTCACCTCCACCATCCCTCCAGCCAGCGGACAAACTGTGGGTACGGTCCAGATTCTCACTCAACCTCCGGCCGTCACTTCTTTCGTCGGCTACGATGCTGGCCCAGCTGGCGGACCGGCAACCACATCAACATCTACAGGTCCAGGCGTGGCGCCGACAATCTTCATCTCAACGGCAGATACTTACATTGTGGGTTTTCCCTTCTACCGATCCTCAACCCGTACTGACAAATGCTTCTAGACAACGACCCAGGGCAGCGATGCGACCGTGAGATTCACAAGCACAATATTGCCCACCGGCACCGTATCGGCCACAGGGACAATCATCGTGTTCACGCACTTCCAGGCGGTAACTACAGTCACAACGACCTCCTTCTTCACTACAGGTACCCCCTACACAACCTTGGTCGATGCCTCGAGCACGTCTACCGATACAGTCATCGTCGGCTACCTGCAGACGTTTGTGACGACAACGACAAGAGCTGGCACAACACCCACAACCTTCACCCAGGCTTTGCCAGTATCAACTACCCCAGGTACCGTGGTCGTTGTTAACCCTGCCTACACCACAACTACCTCCTTCTATGGCCAGGCCACAACTTCGATCACCACCCTTGTTACCTATACCGGCGGACCCAACACTGGAACTATCGCCACTCTTGTGCCCGCCACAAATGCGCCTATTGCGACCAATCCTCCTGTCTCGGTGATCACCCGCAGTACCGCTGCATCAAGCACCGCAAGCCCAACTCTGCCGGTCATCCCCACTCAATCAACCGGCCCTGCGGCTGCAGCACCAAGCACTTGCAACAATCAGGGACTGGCCTGGGCCGAATATCCCAACACTTCCGGAGACTGGTCAAGACCTGGTCCGAACAACGTTCCTCCAGGATACGTCAGCTTCTTACCAGAGGTACGTTCTGCGCCTTATGATTGGATCGAAGTAGTTGCTGACACATTTCTCACAGGCCTACAAGATGACGACACCACAATACAGTGGCCTCACACCATCCGTCGGCGGATTCAGATATGTGCCAACAACTCAAGGCACTATCACCATCTACAACCAGATTGTCATACCTAGTGACTTTTGGGTCCTCAACCACCAGGCTACATCTACGCTTCCCAGACAGGCGTGTACACTTTCACGTCCTATGTAAGGCTCCTTTCAACATGCAAAACTTCACTCACTAACGCCATGAACAGCAAGCCGATGACATTGTCCTCGTCTGGCTCGGTCCGCTGGCATTCACAGGCTGGACACGAGCCAACGCGGCTCTCGAACAGGTCTACAATGATCCCCCACAAGGCTTCACAGGAAATCCCGGCGAGCCTCCAGTGTCGTTCACGGCGCGGCTTGTCGCGGGCCAGTACTACCCGCTTCGCATCTTCTACGCCAATGCTCAGCGACAGGCCTCGTTCTTCCTTTACGTCACTGCGCCGGACGGTTCGCAGTTCTTGGGTCCCGACACGCCGGGATCACCCTATATCGTTCAGTATTCATGCGACGGGACGACGGCGCCAAGATTCCCAGCGTTTGGAAACCAGTCTTGATCTGCCTCATTGGAAAGGGCAATCTAACAAAGGGAGACGCAAACACCAAGGCGTTTTCTTTGGAGGCTGGGAGGGGGATTGGTTTGCATTCTGGTTGGGAGCAGAGCAGCGAAGGCGTTCTTTTCAAAAGGCTTTGGAGTACATTCTGACTTGACTGACGCTGTAGATGACTTGAATTACTTATGATTTGACACCTTACTTCTCTGAATTCAACTGCGCCACCGATGATATCTAGTCGTGAGCAGCCCTTCCGCTGGCTCATGCCTTTCAACTTGGCGGAACCTGCTGCGAATGGACCTGGGCTTGCTTCTCGCCCTCAGCGGACGACACCACCGCCTCACCACCCGCCACGGGATCCTCATCGAACATCCCAGTCTTGTCGATCCTCCGCCACTTCTCCGCATCCCGTCTGAAGACACCCAAGCTGACCCGGGCGGCCTCCAAGACAATTGCCACGACCAGAAAAACCAAACTAAGAATCAGCGGGAACCGCAATTGGTGAGTGGCATTTTGCAAAGGAGCCGAGGCGACATAGTTGACCCAGACCGTCCCACACGACAGCACCAATTGCATTCCGAACCAGCGGATCTCGCTGCCGATGGGGATCATTTCGGAGAGGAGGACGCGGAAGGCGCCATTGACGAAGGCTTGGGCGAGTTGTAGGAGGAGGATCTGGATGTAGAACTCCCATCTCATCTGCAAGTTCGGTGATCCTCTCGTCAGCACGGTGTAGTGATGCGATGGTGGGTGAGTAACGAGAAACTGACGGATTAGACTGGCGAGACTTACCTTGGAGCCGAAATTCACATCCGCAATGCCGATACATGCCCAAGCGGGAACGATCAGCGTAACGACGAGACCGACAATGTACCACGTCTCCAATCGGATCCGAAACTGTGGCTGGATGAACAAAAACGCTAGTGAAGTCCCCAAAAGAAACAGGCTTTGAGCGAGCGAGTAGAGCGAAAACTCCAGGGCACCGGGGCGAATCTCGGCGATGAACAGCTGACTGATGTTGGAGTTGATGGCGAAGATAGTGTCTGTCCAGATTGTGTAAGAGACGAGGAGCGCTGCCATGTTCTTCCGTACAAGCAGTTCCTTCAAGGGCATGATCACTGAGATGCAGGTTAGTCAAACGACCGGTAACATGGCACAGGCGCACTCACACTCGACGACAGGCCGGAAGATGCTGCCTCTGAGCTCGGAGATCGACCTGGATGGAAGCGCGGGCAGGCCGAGATACGCCACCCCCGATCCAGCCATTGTGACGAAGCCGATGACTGTCGAAACAAGGAGGCCTCTGTGAAGATCATTTAGCGACTGTACAAGAACTGGACAACGAAATGGAGCATACGACGACTGCGCAGCCTCGCCGGACAGCGTCTGTGTGAGTATGATGACAACAGCGTAGACGACAATCCCGCCAACGCCATTCATCACCATGCCGAGGAGTGACATATTGAATCCGTACTTTCTCTTTCCATTCGAGCACTCGGCCAAGCTTTCGGAGACCATGACGCTCGAAGTTGCGCTTCCTGGGTATGGTCAGTGTACGCTCATGGTTATTCGGTTCGATTTCTTACCATCGTCGGGTGCTGTTACTTGAGTGAGTCGCATGCAGTGCGGTATGTAGATGTTCAATATGGCCATCAGCACGAGGGTGATGACTTGAAATAGGATGTATAGGGCAGATAGCACGTTAAGATTGTACAGAGTGTAGCTCTGTAGCCAGTATGCTGGTACCGAGAACGCGCCATAGAGTACGATGGATCCCGTGACGAGGATATGCTTGTGTCCTGCAAGTCTGTCAGCACCAGCCCAGGAAGCTGCCGACCAGCCGAATTCTCACTCCAATAGTCCGAGTATGCGGCCAGCAACAAAGTCACCACGCCTCCCAGCCCGAACGTCAACGCATTGAGGTACAGGATGATGGCGTTGATGTCCTTTTCCGAGCCAGCCCACGGGACGATGCAGTAGGTCGCGCATGGCTGCCCAGTGCCGTCGTGGCCGATCAGGAAGCCGACAGTCTGTATCTGGTAGAGCGAGTATGTCCCGAAGACGAAGAACGGTAGACCGATGAGGAACTGCACGAAGAGGAAGCTGTGCAGTGTCGTGTCTTTCTTCCACCAATTCGTAGCTGCGGAGAGCATGATGGCGAGCCGGCTTCTGTTCTTCGGGAGTCTGCTGATGCCTGGTATTGGTTTGTGGTCTAGAGAAGAGCGTAATCGGCTTGTTGGTCTAATGTGGGCAGTCAACGATCGAGCGATGATACTGCTGACTTCGCTTCGTGTTCGCTGCCATCAGCATTTGTACAATATACGATATGTTCGCCAAGACAAGACTTGCCTAGAATGGCAGTTTTGAACTGAGCAAGTTGAGCAAGTTTCTTGTCCAATCACCTCCCCGACGTCTCAAATTGCGACTCTTGCCTACGTCCTAGGCCAATGAAACGAAGCGGATTCCTTCGGAGTCCCACTGGAAGATCCTCTGTCAAGATAATCGAAGATACCATATCGTTGGACCTGCTTCTCAGGGTGCTGCTTCGGCCCGTGCGCCCACGAGGACGGGCGAGACCGCATCCTTTCCGCCAGAGAAGTCTAGCTTCTCAGAACACCTCGGCGGATCAGCGTAGCCCAGAGAGTAACTTCGATTATGCCGCCTGCGGCAGCGCAATTGAAAGCAAGCGAATCATGCTCAGTGACTTCGGCCGGAGAAAGCACCGAGTCAATGCTACCAGGACATCGTAGAATCCTTGTGATGATAGAAAAGGAGACCTAGCCATCGGATGCTGTCCTTCGTAGAGGGTGTGTTTAGCCAGAGTTCGAGAGTGTGGTGCCGGTGATCGAGAAGCTTGTGACGATGCATGGAGGTGAGTGCTCCGTGAAGAACAAGTGGTCGGCTGTACCCCGTTGCTTGCTGCAGCAGATTGGCTTCTTGAATCGGGAGGCAGCGGCGTGCCAGCTTCCGCCGTGGCCTCTTCTCAATAGGAACGGCTGTCATCGTAGTCTGGTGCTCCGGAACTCCGCATTGCCCAAACTGGCGTCGTTGATCGTTGCCATATCAGCAGCACCAACTGAGCAAGATTCCAAGCCACATGCAGGTTTGAGCGCCTCCCTGTGCTATCAAACCTGCCCACAACTCGTCGTAAGCGGTGAGTATTTGGTATTAGGTAGACAGATATCCGACCCCACCGCGCCGTCGTATATATGGTAGTCGCTGCATTAGCGAAGCCCTTCAATCGCCAATACCTCAACAGAAGCCCGGACCATTTGCACCACTCGCATTCACTATGGACGCGGAGAAGAACAGCGCACTCTGCTTCAAACACTCCGCTGGAGTAAGCAAGCCTTCCGCATTCGTCACCGTGCTTCGTGGCGTCCAGTACGTTGTGTCAATCCTAGCTCTGGTATTTGTGAGCTGCGCCATTGACCGCAACATTTTGGTGCCTGGTGTCACATCGGAGGAGAAGATTCTTGCTGTCTCGGTGAGTCCGGTCCGCTGTCGCGGGTTCAATCGTGCTGGGGCTGACGATCTAGTCTGTGGCGGCCTGTGTCGTCATCCTCTGCCACTTCGTCGGGCCGTATCGCGCTCGCGTGGTCGTTATCACCGATGGACTGCTGGCCACTTTTCTGTTCGCGTCATTTGTGTATGGCGCATATAGTGCCGGACAGGATCGAGGAGCTTGCTCTGGGCCGAGCAAGATCGGCGTGTGGGACAACACTAGAGGTTGCACTCGCATGATAGTTGCGGCAGCCTTCACGGCAATCAACTGTGCCGCTTTCCTGGCATCGAGCGTACTGACGGCTTTTCTGTGAGCGATCAGCGGCGCGGAAGGCGGGCGAAGCACATCATGCTCGACCGCATCCCAAAAAATGCGCGAGATGACCACCGAGAAGCGAAATTGCCACCGGAAGAACTTCGACAACAAACGAGGATACCAAAGAAACAGCGGACAGGAACTTGGACGCTTGGACGATTGGATGATAGTGAGAATAGTGTAGATGGATAGCTTGGGGTTATTAGAACCATAGACCGAAATATGCAGCTGCCAGAACTGCCGCACCAGTCTGAATCGGACCGGAGACTTCGCGGGTGTTGCCAGCTCCAGCGAAAGTCGAAGCACTGGCAGATGCCTCCGTCGCAGAAGCACTCGTCGCAGAATCGCTCGCCGTAGCAGTACTTGTCGCCAGACTCACTGCCGGAGCAGTTGAGAATACTGGATCGATGCTGACAGCAGTGGCCTGATCCGTGAACGTGCTCGCAGTGAATGGAAGTGGAGAGCTTGATGTGGCACCTTCGAACGCGACGCGGTCAGCGGCGGGAAGGCTGGGTTGAAGCTCAGATCGCTCGAATGGTACAAGAGGATTGAGCACACTGCGATTGTCAGCTTGGCATACACAATATGACATGAAGACTTACCTGTCAATGATGTGGGCAACACCTTCGTACAAGATCACGTTGGGCAGAATGACCTTTGCCTGGTTGACGAAAACACTCCCATCGTCAGCTACTGTGATCGTCAGATCCTGTCCACCAACAGTCGGCACTGTGGTATTGCTGAGAGAAGGCGAGAAGATGATATTGTCCTGGATCAGGTGGTAGCTCAGCACGGCCTGGAGTGTGCTCTGATTCGCAGTCGCGAGAACGGAGCTGATTTCTTCCAGCGCCAGATCCGTTGGGATGAAGAAGGTGACGTCTGTAACTGGCGTCTCGTCCGAGCTGCTGATATCGTTCCCAGCGAAGACTCCTAGGTCGGATTCAATCAAAACCGCATTGAGACCATTGTATCCATATCTGCCCAGGAAGAGGAGAGCCGGCACTCCAAACGACATGACCGCATTGACTTTGTGAACAACGACGTCCGCGCCGACCATGATGTCCTGCTAATGTTAGCTAAGTTGAGTGGACGGCGATCCCACCTACCGCTTCCGTCACAGTGGATACCGTGAACTCGCTAGACAGCACATCGACTTGATCACCATTCAGCACCAGCCCATTGTACTGGCCGCCGGTGATTGCTGTGAAGGCTGAATATCGTTCTGCTCCTCGGGGCTCACCAGAGTCTGTGCGAAGGTCGGCACCTCGCCGATCGCAGATGAAGGATAGTATCCTTGGAACACATGGTTCCTCAGGAGACCACCGATGGTGGCTGAATCGTTGCGCTGTCGAAGTGCTTCCGCTTCTGGATCATTCTCCGCAGCACGGGCCGCGAATGCATCATTTGTCGGCGCGATAATGGTGATGTTTGTGGCGGCAGCAAGAGTATCTGTTAGATTGGCGATCTGGACCAGCTCTAACAACGTGCTAAGGTCAGGCTGTGACTGCAAGATGCTGACAAGGTCTTGTGCAGTGGCGGAAGCCGCCAGAAGCAGCTGCAACGCGGTCGTAGTGCGCATATTGGGTAGGGTATCGAGAAGTGGTTTTCGACGTTCTGGGATTCTTGGTCGAGTACATCGTGAAGGTGTACATGGTGGTAACTTATACTGTTGGGCCTCCCGGACGAGACACGCACTGAAGCAGACCTTAGAAGTCGTGTTGTCATCGATGCCAGACTATTGCAACGATGGCAGCGACAGCGCCGGTGTCCTGTCCTTGGCGCCATGCACTTTCTGCTGATGTGGAAAGGAAACAAGCATGCCAAGGATGCTCCGCCATTGCTGTCCGGGCATGATGTCATCTTCTCGTCCGACAGAGTCTAAACACGTGGCGGAACGACATCTCCGTCTCGGGCGAGACGAAATCCACCACAACTTTCTTGGAGTTCGTTGTCGTTGTAGAAGCCGCTTTGAAGGCGCCGTCGCTGGGCTGGAGTGCGCTCAGCGGCCTCTAGAGGGTGAAGCTGTCCGTGAGGGGACGATGTTGGCAGGACTTGTAGAATCACACACCGTCGGTGGTTCGTGCATTGCATCGCCTTCGATGCAGGTATAGATTAATCATTGTTCGTGTTCTGTGTGGTGCCAAGAGCCTTGTTCAATGCTGATAGTGGCCATGATGATCTGCCTTGGAGGCCGCCATGGTGTTCGAACAGAGGAATGCTCGACACTGCTCGTCAACGCAAGCTTTCGAGACAGTGATATTGCAGCTTGAAGTGCGCTTTGCATGGCTGAGAACGGGACAACTGCTATGCGGCGGTGAGTGGAAGTTCTGGCTGCAAAGGCAACTCACTGCGAGCTCAACGCTATGCTGAATCATACTGCACGCCAGAGTCGCTCCATGCGATGGAGTTTGACTTGCTACAATGCGTCGCGCAAGTGTCGCCATGGTTGACTTTATCCTGACGCGTCTTCGCAGTCTCACCAACAACATTCCAAACGCCAAGCGTTGCAGGGTTGGGTTCTCGGCTCGGCTGGAAGTGATATCCGGGGTGGATCCGACCATGCGCCCAGCAGGCACATATATGCTCGCTTGGCCCATGATTGTGCAGGTGTGCTCGGAGGCCTCCTGGTGAAGATGTTGCGATATTGGTCCTGGCTGCTGGTCGGCCTTTCTCTGTTCTCCAGTCTCACCCTCGCCGCGCCTGAACGCGGAAGGAATGGAACTGGCGGGAATCGAAATGGAAGACAGACCGCCCAGCAGCAGGCTGCATCAGTACCGCAGGTTGAGAGTACTGCCAGTGATGGCTCAAGGATCGTCGACATGACCGCCACTGTGAAGTGCGTATTCCTGTCCTGGGCCCAACTTTGCTGACAATGGCAGTGGCCTTCAGATGCGATTCAAGGTATCGGCACCTGAGGATCAATTCGTCTCGACCAGCGCCGTTCGGAGGCAACTCAGCAACGCAACCAGCGCCTCGAATAGTACCTCACCTGGTACTATGGGCTTAAATGTACTTCTTCATGGCGATGGCGGACAGTCCTTCTTCGACTTTCCGAATCAGAATGTCCAAGCCAACCTCATGGGCGTCGTCATCCTGGCTCCTGATCCGAACCTGTTCTGGGGTGGCGGTCAGGGCTTGCAGCGAACAGACGGTGCAGAGCACTCTCAAGCAGTGGCGGACTTGATCACGGATGTCATGCCGCAGATTGTCAACTTTGATCCGCAACAAGTCTTCTTCACTGGCGTTTCCGGCGGAGCTCTGATGATGTCTGGCTTCTTCATCCCTCGGCAGATGCAGAAGTTTCCAAAAGGCGGCGTGTTGCTCAACTGTGGAGGCCTGCCACCCCAGGTGGACTTCGTGGATCCGAACGTGCTGGCCACAACAACCATCCATCACCAGTCCACGCAACAAGAACTAGCCAGTCTTCAGCAATCGATTCCAGACGCAGTAGCTGCGTATGCACAAGCAGCTAGTGATGCTGGACTGTCGGCAGACCAGGTCAACCAGCTGCAGACGGTGGATAACACTCCCGATGGCGGACACTGCGCCTTCGACGAGGTGGGCTTCGTGAGTGGGATCCAGCTGATGGCCGACAGCTATGCAAATGTCATCCAGCAGGGCGGGAATGGTCAAGTCAATGGCATTGGCAACGTGCGGAGAGGGGTCGTGGGAGCCCAGCTGACATTCGTTTAGCCGGAGAGATGAAGGAGGTACTCACACGGCGTCGTCCTTGGGACGGGGATCGTGCTGCTGCCGGATCTTGCTCGTTTGGATAGCTCGCTTGAGCAGGTCCAGGGAGAGATTGTTGATCAACATTGAGCTTCCATGAGTGAGACATATGCAGTCAGCAGCGCGAAGTTCACAAAGTCAATCCTTCGAGTAGTCTGTAAGGATCACAGCAAAGGCCGCAGTGACGAGATGACCGAGCGGCGCCACAGGGGCTCGACAGGTTAGGTCGAGGAGGCCGCTGCGAAGCGGCAACATCTCGGAGAGCCATAGCTGTCGGGTAGCGCATCTCGTACGCGTCGTGTTGAGCTTCCGTACAATTATGATATCTTGCGGTCTCGTTTTGGAGCTGCCGAATTTGAGTTCCAGCCTAAGCTTCCGAGACAGGCGTCGCGCTATTTATGCCTGCCGCTCTTGACGTGTGCGACAGTGCGACCGCGATACTTGCCGAAGAAGCCGACCTTGCGCCGTTGGCGCACCTGCATGCGACGTCGAGAGGGGCCTCTGCGACTGCGTAATCCTTCGGCAAGGTGCCGTGGTACAAGATCGAATAATTGAAGGATGGTGCAGAGTTTGGACTCCTTCGAGAAAATTGGACAGTCGAAATAGAGTTACTTTTCACGTAAGGAGCCCAATCGGGGCTTGCCGCGCCCCTGAATTCTCGTACTTTGGCCTAGACGAGGCAGCCCCTACAAGCCTTCATGATATTTTCCGCATCCATCAAGCAATTGTACAATGGTCTTGTTTGCAATAAGCAATATCTTCGCGTACTTGAGGATTCGATATGGAGCCTGATGTATGCACGTGTGATTGCGTCGAGACGACGAGTGCGCTGCCTGTACATGGAATCGCGTTCAGCCACTATCAGCCAATTTGATTCTCGCCCACGACAATGAAGTACAAGAGTCGCCGTATGGCCGCTTCAAGATGCCCAGCATCACGCTCGCTCTACAAGCTCACCGCAGTCGCTCTTTAGGAAGTCCGCGTCACCACACTCGTTTGACCACCAATCATCATGCGCTTCTCAGCAATCTTCGCCGCCTGCGCGGCCAGCACTGCCGTCATGGCAATGCCCCAGCCAGGCTGGCTTGGTAGGTCTTCAGCAAACCCCGCGCCGCTGCCCCAAGTCTCTACGGAACCTTCGTTGCACCGTCCTCCTACTTCGCGGTAGCCTCCTTCACGGTTATGGCAACCAAGCTGACCACACTTTCCAGATCATCCGGCTCCTCCAGCACCTCAAGGGCCTCCAGGGCCACCAGGCTCATCAGGCTGTCCGACTCCTCCCGGACCATCCAGCCCTCCTGGTCAACAGTGCCTCGATGATCGCTCCGCCGAAGCCTACGTCAACAACTTCATTAAGACCCTCAAGATCTCCGGCAACGACACCGCCGCCTTCGCATCTGCCATCTCCGCCGTCGCCAATCCTTCCGTCCAGGAGATTTCCGACAGCGTCAACTTCCTGGCCAACAAGCCCTACGGCAGCGTCTCTCTTGACGGCATCTCCGCGTTGGAGAACTTCCACCTGTCGACACCACCAGGCGGGATCTATCAGGTCAGCACACTAAACATCTGGCATAGCTGCACTGCAATCACGTGGCGGTGGTTATTTGTGCTTTATCCTGGTGCACAGCCTGTACGCGGCATCAACGTGTTTGAGCTGGGCAAGAATGGGAAGGCTGACCGGTTCTATGATGAGTTCAATGTTGCCGCTTGGGCGGAGGATTTGGGGTATACAATCACTCCTCCTGCTGGACCGCCGCCGAGCTAGACCGACGGCATTCAGAATCGGACGATGCAGTAAACTGCCACCGAGGTCGTATATGTCGTGGGTGTTCTTGTGGACGGCTCAGGATATTGGCATACATATGAAAGACATCTGTGATTTCGCTTCTCGGAGAAAAGGTATAGGGCGACCGAAGCTGTTCACATCCGGGTCATATAGGTAATGGCATGTGGATGTTCATAACACTGCTGCAATTGTGCAGTGCCGTTCCATTGCGCTTGCTGTTCGACACGGGCGTCTATGCCGGACGTGAGGGTTGCTTCTCGACAAAGGCGCCGATGGGAGTAGCAGTGACATGGTCGATTACATGAGATGGCTTCGAGGTGGTAGCTAAGTGAGAAGCACGCACGCAGTGTACCCGGTCGGCGGCGACGCGAGGTGGAATGGGCTGTCCTGTGCAGTGGAAGGCAATGATCCCTTACATGTACGGCTGCAGAGACAGTAAGGATGGATCGACCGCTAATTGTGTCGCCGCTGAGGTTGGGCCAACGGTACTGTCGGAATAAAACAAGTCAACCGTGACTGCCAGGTCAGCGCCTGCCGACGCTGATCGATCGAGGCAGTGCGGGTCACGCGCTGTTGCCATGGACATCTCGAGGCAGGTGCAGAAAATAGTCTGAGACTTTCCATTTCTCTTCTCACTTTGCTCTCTTTGCATCGATCCCACCCACCGCATCACTCACCACTACTTTCCATAGCCATGTCGTTAAGGATTACTACGACGGAACGCGCTGCTCTAATGATGGGCATAACCTTGCAGCAGTACGAAGAGAGCCTGGATGGTATGTCCTGCATCATTCCTACGCGATTCTAAGACGCGTTCACCACGAACTGACAATGTTTAGAACTGATTCAGTCTGGAACCTCAGGTTCATCAACCGCCATAATGGGCACATCTGCTCTCTGCTCTGCGGAAATACCGTCAACCTCGACTGTACCTCACGGACTGGATGGTGATCAAACCCAGGCCGGTGAGTCCCTCGGGTCGATTTGATGGAGCTCTCAACTGACGAACGCAAGCACAACCGGCCAAATGGGCCAAACCCGCCATCGCCGCTCCTCCGACCGTTCGTCCATACGGGAATTTGCTCAAGAAAGCCTGCTTCTTCGAGTTGGGTGGATCACGATGCAAGACTCCAACCAGCTGTCTGGAATATGGTCGGGTCCACATATGCAGAGCCTTCGCGCATGGCACCTGCCCACACGGTCCGGAGGGGTCCCTACATCTGGGAGGGCTTCATACGAAGACCACCTACTGTAAGAGAGGTAATCCGATGGTCGACTGCGGCTTGCAATTGCTTCCGGCCGTCGGCCATTCCGCTGCTACACACCCGGTGTAGCTGCCTCTCCATCGCGAGGGAGGAAGCGCAGTGCATCAAGGGAGGTCCAGCTGGTGGCTGCACGTACGGTCACAACTATGAGGAGATCCGACGCAGTCTGGCGAAGCTAGATCCATGACATTCGCCGCGAGAGGTCTCGGCGATGATGGGAAACCGGCGAAATAGCGCCATACTCGTCTCCTGCAGCGGAAACCAGCGGAGCGGCCAAAAGCTCTGCTTAAATCATGGAAAATCCGAAGATGCAGATGATATGTGGCATTGATCTCGCCGTGTGGTGCAGCCCAGCATACAAAGACTCGCATAATGTTCAAGCTACCATTGCCTCTCGCGCCCACCAGTCTCTCATATTCCTTTCCAAGCCCTCCTTAGCAGCTCAGACATTGGCCAGCGTGGCCGTTAAAGGTAGTCTTGTTGCGATCGTTTGACCGATGCGACATTTGCCAGACAGAGATGGATGCGCCCAGTAGCTGTCTGACTTGAAAGTGACCGCGAAAAGAGCTCTATTCAAGCAGACATGAGAGCGGTTCCTGACGTGAGAAACATGCTGAACAAATTACTAGGTAGGCATCGCAAGCGAGGTTTAGCGGGGACCGCATTTGAGGTGCCAAGGTCGTTCCCTTTCTCCAAGATACAGTGAGCCAACCTACCTAGGTATACATACCTAGGTAGCCTTGGTAGCTAAAGGGTACCGCGAAACTTTACTCGGACAACATTACAACATTCAAACCGCGAGCCATGCTGCATGACCCGAGCAATTAGTGCGCAGTCGACATTTCGCATCGCTAGGGGCCCAATTAGGAGGCATGCCAATTGCCGAGCTTAGAACCTCCGTAGCTCTGCAAAAGTCCTCAGACGTATATACGTGGACGGACTCATGGCTGCTTTGTCGAGGCAAAGCAGGACTTCAACTTGGACGCAATTGTATGTCATTCACGGAATGTGAAAGAGCGAATTCATAGCATTGATTGATGCTGTAGGACTATGTAGCTAAAGCTGTTGCGACCGACCTTGTTGGTCGACGACGATGTTAGGTACAGATGCTGAAAAATAACTCCATGCATCGGTGATGGTCGATGCCGAGCTTGATGGTGTCGACCATGTCATACCAGAATTGGCACCGGAGGCTGATCGGTGGCAATTTTGCCGACTTCATTTTCCTGCCTTGTTCGCTTCGACACGGCCTTGGCGTTCAAGGTCCCGACGTTTGTACTCCTCATCCCGACGCTTGTACTCCTCGTTCCGCTGCTTGTAGTCGTCCTCCCACTCCTTGTGCTCATCGACAGACTGCTTCGGTGCGACTTGCTTCGGCTGAGAAGCTAGTCGAGGACGCTTGGTTGGAGGACCGAAGTCTGGAGAAGCTAGTCGGACACGCCCAGCCGGTGGTGTGGAATCGTGAGAAGCTAGTCGAACACGCTTGGTTGGAGATGGAAGATCGGCAGCGTCGTCGAGGTCAATATCTGAGCCTTGTTAGTCTTGCGGAACAGCAACACTAACTTCCTCACTTACGATTGCTGCAATCAACGGCATTCGGAGGTACACGTCTCGACTTCGTGGACTTCTTGCGGATTGCTGAGCATCGTCAGCTCGGAGATTCCAATGCTGAGCTGGCAATACTTACGAGATAACAAAGGGCCCAGTGAGAGGGAAGACATGACCTCAGAAGGCCGATTGGCCACCCTGAGCCTGTTGGTGATGAACGATGATGAACGTTGATGAAAGCCACAAGCAAGTAATGAATGATTGATGGCGGCGATGGAGGATATAGAAGCGAGTGCAGAAGAATTTCAAAGGTCGAAAATTATACATACCCTGCTGTCGCACCTGCCTCCTCAACTGTCCTACGCGTCTTGGCGTCAATGACCTCAGGCAGACGTGTCGGCATGACTCGTGCTGCACCCACAGTGATATTGTTGGCAGGAGCGTCCAACTTGAACCCGGCAGCCAGGTGTTGCTGACCCGGCGATGAGGTCAGTGTCGTCGTACGTTTGATTCGGGCTCGACGGTGTGGTCAGTCATTTCTCTCTTGCATTTCGAATCCTCATCATCTCCCTGTCCGTTCTCCTCATGGTGCTCATATATACGCTCTTCGCACCACAGCCATCTCACCTTCGCAACCCATTCACCGCCCCAGCCCATCCGCCTTCGCCAATCTTGCATCGTCAGTACCCACCAATCAGCCACAGGGGCCTCACACATCACAAGCCACAGCGCCCCTCTTACTCAAGTCAAGGCCAGACTAATCGCCATGCTCAATTCAGCCCAGGTCCAACACGGCTAATGCGCTGACGCCGTCGTCCTGAACGCATCAGCGCTGCCTCCGGTCGCCTTTCAATAGCGGCAATCCTCCTTCCGAAGTCCGCTTCAGCCACCGTCGCTTAGCCCAGTATCGGCAGCCTCGTCGGACACGCCCTCGACGGCACCGCCACATTCGGGGATGGGCAAACGAGCTCGTCACGACAGACAGTAGAATCATACTTGCCAGTAACAGGCTTGAGCTTTGAGGGAGAAGGGATGGAATGGACGTGAACGAAGTGAGCGGGCTTCCACGGCGAGGAGATCCCCAAGTCGAGGCAAAACAGGTCCAGACGATGGATGAGGCGTGCGCCAGACCTGAGCTCGCGCGAAGAACAAGGACAGCCATCGCTCATCCCCATTCGAGCTTCAGGAGAACGCATAGCTAGCTGGGTTGTAAGCATGAGTAAGCCCAGTCGGAGAGTCATCAGTAGCGGGAACGAAAAAGACATGAGCCATACCACCTTCACTTGCCTTTCGAATTGCTTGCATAACCATGGTATCTCTTGGGAATGATCGTTTCGTGATCCCAAAGCCCGCCGTGGCCTAACCTGATCTCGCGCGAGACTGATCCTGTTCCGTGTCTATCCAGGCCGGCCACAGCGTGGCCCAGCCAGCTAGCTATCCAGAACGCCGAGCCGAATAAGTTCATGATCGAGCAATCGAGCGAAATCAATAGCGTCGCCGAAGTCTTATGATCCCGCAAAGACCGCCTCACTGTCCCTGCAAGAACATCCCACCTCCTCCACCACCAGCAAACCCTCCTCCGCCTTGATTGTTCCCGCTCACGTACCCTTCCGACAGATCCTCGTCATAGAACTCCCCACCACTGCCTCCACTCGCGTCGAAGCTCGCTCTGTGACCCATTCCCCCGACATCACTCAGATCCCCATCATCGTCCAACCCACTTCCGCCTGCAACCTGACTCCAGTCGATATTCTGCAGGGCAGGATACTGCTGCAACAACGCCGCCGGCAATGCGAATCCACCACTGCCACTCACGGGTCCATGCCAACCATCATCGGCTGCGGTACCGGCTGCAGATGCCCAAAGACGTTCGCCATCTGCTGCTGTTGGGCTTGCTGCTGCTCCATCATAGCGTGATTTCTCCTCTCAGCTGCCTCTTCATCGAGCAATGGCTTTATGCATACCCGGCCTGCCTCGGACCTGAAGTGCCGTCCCAACGCATCCGCTCGTGCAAATCGTCGACCACAGCCCCAATTCTGGCCGGGCTGGGAGCGGAGCTCGCCTCGGCAAACGAACTTCTTCTCGCCAGAATGTAGACCTTCGTGGCGTTTGCGGTCGTGTTGGCGCGCAAAGGCTTTGCCGCAGACGGTGCACACAAATGGCCGTTCGTCGGTGTGAGTGCGTAGATGAGATCGCAGATTGTAGGCACGGGTGAACTTCTTCGGACACAGCGTGCACTGGAAGGTGGCGGGATGTTTTTGGACGCGACTGCTCCCACCGCCGGAAGGACTCGAGCCAGGGCCAGCACTTGGTCGGTTCGGGTCGGCGAGGTCGAGGATGTAGTCGCGGTTGTTCTGGATCGAGGAGGTGCTAGCTCTTCTGTTCTTGTCGATTCGGCCAGATGCGGTTGGGCCAGGCGACGACTCGCGCGAGTATGATCCAGGCCCGGGTGAGTGAGATCGGACGGATAACGAATCGTTCGATGCAAGATGAGGTGGTGATTTCCCGGGAGAGGCTGAGCGGGAGATGGGTCTCACCAAGCCGGTCAGATCTGACTTGCTACGATTACGACCTCCTGTTCGACAAGGTCAGTAGGGTAGGTTTAGCTTTGTGGAATGGAACTTACTACCACTTCCGCTCGGGGGACTCAAAGCACCCTCGATCTGCTCTCCTGCTGGCCCAAAACTAGCTTGTCTCGAGACAGGCGCAGGCTCGATATTGATCGTAGGTGGCGCAAACTGATCCGCTTGTCCTATATCCGCCAACGCATCTTGATGCATACTGTTCTCCGCCTGCGACGTGTAAATATCCGGAGGGCCCATCAAACCCGGATTCAGCAGATCCTGCCCAACATTCAGCTGCTGGCTCTCCAGAGTCGGTATCATCCGCGGCGAGCCTCGATACGGGTCATTAATTGTGAAATTGTCCATGCCGAAGGTGTTGCCGGTATCCGGCTGTGCACCCAAGAATGGCGAGTGGCTTTGATCGAGTTCGGCGTGGCCGAGATATGGAGAATGCGATGCGCTACTAACGCCGTCCGAGAGATGATCTGAGGGGTTGCGACGATGATTCTGGAAGGCGGCTGTCGCGTATGGGTCGCCGTACGCACTTGAAGGGTCGAGCGACGTATGCCGCGAATGTTGTGGTGTAAAGTACTGGCCGTTGGTAGAGCCGGGAGAGCCGGCGTGCGCATTTGGAGAGTTGTTCTCGGGAGACAGCAGGCCTGGTGAGTGATCGTCGTGAGGTGATGAGCTTTTGCTTAGATCGGCCGGATTGATGTTGCCCTGCGGGTACATGGTGTATGAGGGATCGAGCGAGTAATTTTGCTGCCAGTCGTTTGACATCACCGGTTGACTGTACAAATTATCGTTTGGAAAGCCGCTGCTAAACTGATTGTCTTGGTAAGCGGTCTGATTGAACATGTTCTGTTGGTACACGTTGGGAGTGAAGGCATCGTTGTTCGAGAACTGCGGCGCATTCGTGAATTTACACTTGTGAGCGCTTGGTGCACTGATAGATCGACGCCAGATGTGACTGGGTTCTGGAATGTCTGGGTTTGAGGAGAATGGCCGCGACTTTGCGATTGACGGCCAGATGACGGCGACCGCCCACGAGACTGGTCCATCTTGGTCCCGCCCAAAGCAGGTGTGCGCACGAGAAGCAGACGCGATCGAATGGCGATGCTAGCCCTTGTGGTAGATCTCGTGGAGCGCTTTTGAGGGAAGAGAGAGTCCAATGCCTGGCTTCGTGCGCGAATGGTTCGATGCGACTCGGGTTATTTCTCTGTCTTCAGGCGGCGCTCAAGGTCAGTGGCGTGACTGGAGGGCAGATCGGATATGCGTAGTCGCAAGGGAGAGCGCAGCGCGGAAGACGAGCGGTCAGGATCTGGATCGCCGTAGCGGTGCGCGGAGGATATGGCCGGCGGCGACTTGATGCGACTATTCCGCTCCTGTAGCTAATCTGCGCGGTGAAGATTGTTTGAAAGCGCCCAACTGTGGCTGGTCGCACTAGACAGTGAGAGCAGTGTAGTGATGTGTAGATGGTGTGAGATAATCTGTGGTGTCGCACAAGTCGGTATCTCGGAGTTCGAGCGGCGCAGAAGAGGATATGTCGGTGATCGAGAGTGGTGGTACCAGGTTGAGGGCGGAAACAGTTGTCGTTCCAAGCCGGTACCCAACCAGATTGGCGCTAAGCTCAATTCAAGCACGCCTCCACTTGACGTCAATGTGGCCAATTGAAAGTAGGTGCAACAGGCGGCCCGTATCACTCTTCACGGCAGCGAACGCGGAGGTAAGCAACCCTCTTCCAAATTTAGTCCAGGTACCGCGTAATGCTTTGCTCTGGGCATGACGAGAAGATGACGCCGCCCTCGTAGTGACAGGCACGAACCCGAGGATGGTTCGTAAGGCAGACTGAGCGTGGCTGTGCACGGCAGGAACAGGAAATTCAGGCAGCGAAATTAACCAAAGTCCCGAGAGATCGACGGCGGACGTTCTTCAACACAAGCATACGAAGCTTCTTGAGGAGCACTGTAGTTCACTGTAGTTTTCTATTCGAGGTCTCGACCTTGCCACTCCCTGTTCATCTGCAGCATTACTCTAGGACCGCGCTCTACCACATCTCTGTATACTCATCAAGACCAAGGAAACCTCTGCACATCTTTAGCATCGCCCATCTAGCCCACGGCGCGTTCGACTGCTCATGCCTCCCGCCGTATCTCGATTGTGCTTTTGTATGCTTCCCACGCGAGGTCAAGGTCCTGCCCTGCGCAGTGACGATAGTTATTACTGTTGTTTTCCGGCCCTCGCCACCTCCGTGCCGCCCAGTGATCAGCTTCTCGAAAGCTGTATGCATTCATCCTCCAACTGCCCCCAGTAAAGAAACCTCCCTTTCAGCGTCAAGTGAAACGCCGTGCCGAAATGCCAAGATTGTCGCAAATGCCTCGCGTGCTGACAACGCCTAAGAAATGCCAAAACGAATCCACACAGTCCGGCAAACCTGGCCCGTGTGATGCCGGCATAAAGCGTCCAACAAGCAACTTCTGGCAGGTCGACAACGTTGATCGCCAGACTCGTATCGTGAAGTCGTCAATTCTCATCCTCCCGCAAGCACTACCCGCAGCAAAGCGTCTTCATCAACTTCCCAAAGAAACCTTGCGGCTGCTCTTGCTGTTGCTGTGGACGCTGCTGATTGCCCTGCAGTGCACCCGTCGCTGGACTCTGTCTTTGCCCAGCCAGGTTGGCATTGCTGTTCTGGAATTGGGCCTGTGTGCTAGCTGGTGGCGTCTCCATCTGACCGGCCAAAGCACTACTTCTCTTGGGAACGTTGTTGTTTCCGGCGCTTGTGCGGTCTCTCGGGTTCCTCCCTACTGCTGCGACTCCAGGCTTTGCTGGAGACCCCGGAGTGGGAGGCTGTGCCGCGTTTAAACGGTCCTGTGAGATGGCTCCGCGGTCTCTTGATGGGCGCCCATCAACCCTGAGCTCCAGCAGCACCGTGAAGAGCACGAGCGGACGCATCCTGTGGTGCATTAGGGTTGTGTAGTCCGTGTGCAGCAGACGGGTGTGCTTTAACAGCTTCCCAGCCACGACCGCCATTCAGCTTCATCCAATCGTACTCGCCATCCTCGACCTCGCCAGTATTCTTGAGTGCTTGCGTAAAGAGATCGCGTAGGAAGTCGTAGTCGGGCGTGTCTTCAAAGCCGAGGTTGCGGACGTAGCTGAGGTATTTGTTGAATTCCTCAGGAAAGCCCTCGCAAAGATCCTTGATGGCGGTTGTCTGCTTCTTCTCGCCGATCTTCTCATATTTCTGCTTGTTCGTTGCAGCTTTGAGACCTTGCCATGGAAGTCCGCCACGGAGGAAGTACATGAAAACGTGACCAAGAGCTTCGAGGTCGTCTCGCCGGGATTGTTCGCGTCCGAGATGGGTATTGATGCTCATGTATCTGGCCGTACCGGATAGCGATTTTCTCTCACGATAGGGAATATGCTGTTTTGTTTTGGGATCACGGTATTGCTTGGCCATGCCGAAGTCGACGACGTGGATAACGTTAGCCGCTTTCGAGTTTGGCCGACCGATGAGGAAGTTGTCGGGCTTGATGTCACGGTAGATGAGGTTCTTTTCGTGGATCGTCTGGACGCGTGAGAGCTGGGAGAGTGTCAGTGAGGTCAAAGAGAATCGCCGAAAAGCTCACCATTTGCTTTGCAACCATGACTACCGTCTTGATGGAGAACCGACGGTTGCAGTGGTCGAACAAGTCTTCCAGGCTGGGTCCGAGAAGGTCGATGACGAGGATGTTGTGCAGACCTTCCTGGCCGAAATAATATACATTGGGTATGCCAGCTGTTCTCTTGTCAGTATCTCGTAGCCATGCAACGGGCTGAAGGTCTCCTTACGGCACCCAACGAGGATCTTGTATGTTCTGTATTCATCGCGTAATTGTGGAGCGTCGCTTTTTCTGGGTTCCTGTATGCCGATCAGACCAGAGCTCAATGAAGTCGTAGACAATCACCTACAAATTTGATGGCGACCTGCTGGTTGTTAAGGAGATTGGTGCCTTCGAAGATGACTCCGAACGATCCCTCTCCAATCTTCTTGCCGACGCGATAGTGCACGCCGACGACGTTTGATGACGACGACGCCATGGCCCCTGCTAAGGAATGCCGCTGTGACCGAACCGATGACCGGATCGGCGAGTGTAACGGTGAACGCACAGAGATACCTATGCTCGGCTATTTGTTCGTGTGAATGAGGGACAGGTCGACGTTGGAGGTCGTCTTCGGCGCAGTTTCGGAGGGAATCTGTGTACTTGACGACGTTAGTCCTCGTGTCGATCGAAGCTGTCGACGATAACAATGTGATGACTGTGGCTGTATGGATAGCTCTGACTTGTAGAGATGCTCGTTGGCGCGAAAAAGCTCTCAGCTCTTGCTCGAGCAGGCTGCGTCGTGCCTTCCGGGCGCTCGCCGACGGGCGAAGTCAACTGTAGTCAGGCCCAAGCGGGCAACAATAAAATCGCTCGCGGGCGACGACGGCAGGCGTGATCAAGCCAGCATATAGCCACAAGGTGTAGTATTATGATGGCAGGGGACTCCTCGTAGACAGAACTCACGTGTTGTGTAGTCTATTGATGTTGCAGCTGTCCTGTCCTCTCCTTCTCCTTGCCAAGGGTCTGGCGGCCTCCGTCTCAAAACAAAAAGGCGCACCCTAGTACATCGGTCGTCGCTCGAGGGGAGAAGGCGTAAATTTTGCTGTTTCTGCGGTCGACACTGCAGTCTACCAGCTCGGAGGAGAAGTAGCTCGAGCCGATCAAGCTTCGAGTCGGTGAGCGTGTAGTAGCGTGATGGAGACGGAGATGGAGAATGACAAAGAAAAGAACGGCGCCGTTCTGGAGGTCCAAGGTACTCCCGGCCTAGCAGAGGTCCCTGAAGCGCCCCCAAAACACCTGCCAAGCTTGCCCCATTCTTGAAGCAGAAGATGCTTCCGCTTCTCATTTCAGCTTAGAGCCAATTGTAGGAGGCGGGATCACGCGTTTTCCTGCTTCAATTTCTGCGTATTTGATCATTTCTCTGATTGTGGTACTGGGTGGCCTCTATGGGCACGTAACGATGCTCGAGTACCTATGCTATGATTTCGTTTCCGAGCCGCAGCCATCGCTGCTGCTCTCGTAACATTGTACGCGTAGAGCGGCAACAGCCTATTCAAAAACCATGCCACGACGCTTCTTCTCCTCATCCTCCTTGGTGGAGGCCTTCCGGACGTCGCTCTCCTCCAGAAACGCGCCAAACGAGAGCTCCTCCTCCGGCATGGTCTTCTTGGTGTGGAAGAGGCGACTGATGCTCTTCTTCATGCCAGAACCGACCGCTTTGCGCGGGATCTTGTGCTCAGAGGCCTCCCCATTGGAACCGGAAACCGACGCGACTTTCGTAGGCATTCTCGAATCCATCTCACCCTTGCCTGACTTTCCCATCTTGTGTCCACCATCTTGACCTGACAAGACCGTTCCGAAGTCGAGCTTCTTGTCTTCCTTTGCAGTCTTCGGGTACTCGTCGTTGGATTCGAGCTGCTTCGGATATGGCAGACCTGGCTTGGGCAAGGTGACGCCAGGCGGAGCTTGAGCCATACCCATGACGTTAGAATGCATGCCGAGCGGGTTAATGCGATTCATGCGAGCTGCTGCAGCAATGACATCGTCGGATTTGGCTGGGGAGCGCTTTAGAGTACGCAATTTGGCGATGCCGTCGTCAATATGAGTGACTGGCTCGTTCTCGTTCTTGGGCGAAATGGCGTTGAAGTCCTTCTTCTGCAGGCGGCGACTAGTGGTAGGTGAGACAAGGCGAGTTGGGGTCGATTCGATGAAGGCGCTGGTCGGCAACTTGACGTGATCGTGCTGTCTGGCAGGTGACAAGGCAACCGGATCGCGAGGAATGAGTCTCGGTGGAAGGTCAGGAACTTCGGGCACTGGCGGAGCGGCTTGATAGTCAGCGCGAAGGCCGTACTTGGACGCTTTCTTCTTGAGGTACTCCATTTCGTTGTTCTCGTCGGTCAATTCCTTATCCAAGATATTGTTCAAAGATCTGGTCAAAGAATCGAATTGAGAAGGTGAATGTGCAGTGTTTGTTGGCAGTTGAGGAGAGGTTGGACTTCTTTCATCCTGTTCAGAAGTTGTATCCCATCGCTGGGGTGACAGAACGTTTCCTGCTTTTAGAAGTGGACGTTCAGGTGAGGCCTCTAGTTGCCTGGCGCCAGGCGCACTTGAGGTGGTTATGCTGGAATGAGATGCAGTGATGCTTCGCAGTTTGTCCTTGCAGTAATTCATTGTCTCTGCTCTGTAATGTGAGAGCTTTTCTGCCCGCCCATCGCTGTCCATGCTGCCCTCGTCTCGTAGCAGTGAGAATGACCGGCGACTAGCTCGGCTTGGATTGCGGAAGCGGTCCTTGATTGCTCGGCCGAGGCGAGAGGGTGCATCATCACGCCGTCGCGGTACGTTGGACTCGGTGCGTGCCCCATCCACGACTGTTTCGGCAGACTCAGCAGATGCCTCGTCTTCCTGCGGCACCCAGCCAATCTTGCCGTCCCAAGTCGACTTGTTGAACATTTCTGGAGTCAATTCGCCACAGTGGACGCCCTCAGACTCAGCTACTTTGACGTTGGTGGTGCTCGTAAGGACCGGAGCAGATATGGTACTTCTCGCCAGCGATGTCGAGCTCGGGTTTCTGAGGATCTGGACTCTTTGGGAGAAGCTACGACCCGAGGAGCCTCCGTTGCGGCCAAAGGAGAGCCATGACAGCGGTCTTCTCTTCCGAGGGGCTTGACCTGGGGCGATGTTCTCGTCGTTGCGAACGTCATCTTGGGTGGCCATCTCAGCTACCGCCGGTGCGGCTGGCGGTTGATCGTACGGATCACAGTAAGAGAGGCTGGACGGTGATCGACCGAAGTCGTGATCTGCTTGTGTCGAGATTGCTGTTCAAGGTCAGTTACGGCATTCGAACAGGCAATGGAGTCGTACCCTGCCTCGAACTTGTCCTCTTGAATGGGCGAATGCCATCGAACGACAGCATCGACAACGAGCCTCGACTCTTCGCTCGATTATGTGACGGCATCCTGCTGAGCCAGAGCAAAGTACGTCGCTGCTGGGTGAGGACTCCACCAACTGACCACGAGCTGCTTGAGGGCTCAGATTTGCTGGACAGCCAATATACGCTTCGAGTCTGAGGCTTACGATGAAGACGAACAACCCCTTATGATGTACGAAGCGGCTCCTGACGAAGATGGAAGGCCATTTGAGGTGTTGAGTGATGTTGTGGGTGACGTGCTGATAAAAATCTGCAAGGTCGAGTACTTGAGAGTGGAAGGTGCCGCTCCTGCCTCAAGAGGTCCTGCCTTTGTCCCAAAACTCATCCCAGCTCACCTTTGCTGTCTCGGATTTCACACACATGTCTCAATGTTCGTCGCCGGCGGTCCTATAGTTCAGCCCGACACATTGACAGATACATGGAGGCATCGCATCCCGCCGTGACAATACTCCATCGCTCGCACCATTCCGGCGCAGCTCTCAGGCCTCAGCAAAGCGCGTCCTCTCTGCAGTCATCTCGAAACGTGCCGCTCCATCACAGTGTGCCCTTGAGTCCCGCTGCGTCCTATCTTACTATCGTCGCCATGCCTTCTGAGCAGCCGACGGCCGCCCCAGATGAGCCAGTCAGGAATTCCCTCGCGATCGTCATCGGCCGCTGCGATCATAGACCAGTGCAATGAAGCTCACGATCATCCGCAAACCACCAACCATCATCGACCGAAGACCTCCCGATCTGTATAGAATACAATGCTACATGCTCGAACATGGAAGGAAGTCAACAGCGAGGTCAACGGAAGCTTCCGAAGATGAGTTTACCTATAGCCGCGGCTCGCCTCATTCGTACTGAGATCTCCGCTCTCGGGACCTATGCACATTCGGGCGGACCACAAGACTACATACAGATCTGATGAACCGCTCGCGACGTAGGTGCGGCTCTTGTCACTTATAACAGTGTCTTTGACGAATCGGCTCCAGGTTCAGCAAAGCGAATCGCTTTCGCGGAGACGACACTAATCATCCCGATCGCAAGCATTTATATTCAAAGGACTAACCTACGTTACCTCACCACCACGTTCGACATACCTGCCACAACATGCCCTACTCACTCAAGAACCGCAATGTCCTCGTCACCGGCGGCTCCCGCGGTCTCGGCGCCCTCATTTGCGAGAAGTTCGCCGCCGAGGGCTGCAATGTCATCGTGAACTACGTCTCGGCGGAAGATCGCGCCAAGGAGGTCGTTGCGAAATGCGAGAAGGCAGGAGTGAAGGCTTTTGCTGTCAAAGGTGTATGTACATCTACGAATACTGCATATCTTTCTCAGACAGAGACGTAGTGACACGCCGGCTAATCGCACGTTATCAGGACGCCGGCAGTCCTGAGGACAATGCCAGACTCGTGAAAGAAACAGTTGAGAAGCTGGGCGGCATCGACATCATCATCGCCAACGCGGGATGGACGCGCTTCTCTGACTTCAAAGACCTCAACGCCCTCAGCACCGAGGAGTGGAATAAGGCACGTCTCGCCGACCAACCTGAGCTCCTTAGGATGGTCTCTGTAGAGCTCATGGCTGACTTCTCGTACAGTGCTGGGCTTGCAACGTCATGTGCCACCTGCAACTCATGCAAGCCGCTGGCCCGATCTTCAACTCTAATCCGGACGGTGGCGTGTACCTGATTACATCTTCCATCGCCGGCCGGACCACAGCAGGCAGTAGCATGGCCTACTCCGTGACCAAAGCCGCCGGATTGCAGCTCATGCGTTGCATCGCCACCACGCAAGGGCCGAAGACGCGAATCAACAGTATCCTGCCCGGACTGCTGTTGACGGAATGGGTTAGACGACCGCAACTCCCTCAAAAGTGACCGAGACTGACGCATTATCCAGGGTATGCAGTACAGCAAGGAACGCCAGGAGGCTATCAACAACATGTCGGCGTTGAAGCATGAGGTGAGTCGAGATCGTGTACCATGTGCGAATTTGCTGCTGACCCATTCGAAGACGTATCTGGACGACTGTGCCGACGCATTCATATCTGCAGCCAAGAACAGCTCGATGACCGGACAGCAGATTACCGTTGATGCTGGGATCGCGATCTGAGAGCTGTTCGGACTTGATAGCTCGGTAGAACACGCAATTTGCCACGATCCCATTTGAAGTCACCCCGATGGAGTTCACATTTGAAGTCCTCCCGATGAAGTCCACATGTGAAGTCCTCCCGATGAAGTTCACATGTGAAGTCCTCCCGGCCGAGTTCGCAATTGATGTCCTCCCGGTCAAGTTCACTTTTGAAGTACTTTCAGTGAAGTCCAATCGGGCTTCCGACACTGGAGTGGCGTTGTTGAAAACATGTCCCAGACACTTCAATCCTCACGTATCCGCGGGCGCATCTCCAGACGCTCCAGCACCTGTCGCGGACCCAATCGGCCCGGTTGCCGACAACGGCGCATGAAACCAGCTGACTCGAAACGTCTGAAATCCATGCTGCTGCCTCAGCGGTCCGAGCAACTGCTTCCGCCTCGCCGCCATGATTGCATCCATCGTGCCCAGTCCCTCCACAGTCATCCTTGTGACATGCAACGTCTTGCCGTCGATTGTGTTGATGAACAACGCGTTATTTGTCGCACTCATAGGACTCAAGAAATGCCCATCCGCGCCCTGAATTGCGTACGGGTGACCGACCGGCTGCCACTTGCAGATATCCCTGACTTGCGGATCCTGGGGTACGTAAATACCAATGTTCTCGTTGATGACGACGCGGACCTTTCTCCCGGTGGCATCTTGCGCGAAAGTGTAAAGCCGGCCAAGAGCATTGCTGCGGCGAATGATGTCCTCCGCAGTGAGGGAGTCAAAGTCGATCTGCCTGTGCTCGGAAGCGATCTTGGGCGCCATGGCGAGCTCGTCGAATTTGCGGGGTGCGATGGGCTGGTAGGGCGGTTTGTAGAGGCCCTTTCGGATGGTGTCGAGGAGCATGTCGCAGCCGAAGGCGGAAAGGGTGTCTGTGAGTCCTCCGTATCTGCCGTTGATGGGGATGCCTGGGGCGGGCGTTTGTGCTATGATCACGCCGTGGTCGAACTTGGTTGGGTGCAGGCTCTGGATCGTCACGCCAGTGTGCTTCCGGCCAAGCATGATGGCCCAGTGAACGGGTGCTGCTCCTCGCAAATCCGGGAGAAGCGAAGGGTGGACGTTGATCCCTCCATATTTGCTGGCCTGGAGGATCCGAGATGGGATGAGCAGGCCGAAAGAGACTGCTACAATCAAGTCCGTTGGAGGCGGCGACCAGCCGGTGAATGTGTCGAGCTGGTGAACATTGAGACCCAGCTGGAGAGCGGCGTCTTTCACGGGAGGAGCGGTGATGGCACTAGAGCCGCGTCCATGGCGTTTGTCGGTGCGCGTTACGACGTGTACCGAGCCAATTGAGCTTTCGGGTAGTGTTGATTCCTCATGCAGTGCTTGCAGATGGGCGACACTGAAGCGATCTGCACCACAAAACAGAACATTGAGCTTTTCTTGGAAGAGGCTTGGGCTGACGTGGAATGCTCGCAACTGGTTGAAGCGTCTTATGGGTAGAGATCTGCCATGCCGTGAAGCAAAGAGGAACATCAGGGCATGATAGATGCTACTTTTGATGGACTATTCGATGGTGATTTGAAGACATGGTACTTCGTACGAGCTCGATCAAATCAGGCGATTGGCGCTGCCTTTTCCTTGGCAGGCGCGGGCCTCGGTTGCGCCTGATTCTCGCCTGGAACTACATCATCCTCGTTCGTAACCACTATCTTACGTTCTGACCACCTCAAGCCCATGTACCGCGCATTGACTGTAATTAGATTGGCACTGGCGTAGTATTCGTCGAACACATTCAAGACCCAGCCTCAATACACACCTCTGCCACCAAGAACAGGAAACGCAGCGCGGCGTCACGACACACCCGCCACCATGGCGTCCGAAGCGGGCAGGCCAGCGGGAGAGCCTGAGAAGAGTACAGCATCAGTACCTTCTACGATCCCGCCCTCACAGTCCCAGCAGGACGACTCGGACCCCGACTTCGACGACCTCGATGGTATGCTGAGCCCGCCTGACCTCTGTGACCTAACCACTAACCCGATCGCCAGACGTGCTCGACCAGTTCTCCTCGAACGCTCCCTCATCCTCCCAAGCACAACCCGCAACAAAACCACCACTCGTCTCCGCAGAAGCCTCAGGACCGGGCAGACCCAGCGCCTCCGACCATGACATCCCAATTCCTGATGGCCCACGAGAGGGAGAAAGCGAGGAGGATTTCATGAAGCGCCTGACTGCCGAGCTCTCTTCCGCCATGTCCGCCATGGCGTCTGGCGTGCCGGACGACGCCTCAAAAGCCACGCCCGAAGACCTCGCGAAGATGGGCAAAGACTTGGAGGAGTTTACGCTCGCCATGGAGAAAGAAGGCATACAGCCGGAAGACCTACTGAAAGCGATCCTGGGCGAGCAAGAAGGCGCCAAACTAGCCGCCGCAGCACACGAAGACGCTACCGCCTCATTATCGAAATCACCCTCACAATCAAAGACCACCTCCCCACAACCGGCCTCCTCGAAAGCTACCTCATCAACACAACCTCCATCAACCACCTCCTTCGACGAAACCATACGCCGCACCATGGAGCGCATGTCCAGCTCCTCCGCAGCCGCCACCTCCGCCACACAATCCAAAGCCTCCGCCACCTCAGAAGAGGACATGCTCGCAGACCTCCTCAAATCCCTCGGGCCCAACCCAGACGGCTCGCAGCAGAGCCCGGATGACCTCTCTGCCATGTTTTTATCGATGATGCAACAATTGACTGCCAAATCCATGCTGTACGAGCCAATGAAGGACCTCGACTCGAAATTCCCGGGCTGGCTCGATTCCAACCGAAGTAAGCTGAAGAAGGCCGATTTGACGCGGTACGAGAAGCAACAGGTGATAGTGAAAGAGATTGTGGGCAAGTTCGAGGAGAAGGGGTATAGCGATGACAAGACGCAGGATAGGGACTTTGTGTGGGAGAAGATGCAAGCGATGCAAGAGCTGGGCGCGCCGCCGGAGGATTTGGTTGAGGGTGGCGGGCTGATGCCCGGGATGGGGGATCTGGGAGGGATGGGGGAGTTGTTGGGAGGTGGCGGTGGGAAGGATGAGGGATGTCCGACGCAATGAGCGAGGCGGTGATGACGGTGGGGTACGAGTATGGGCTGGACGGGAAGGAAGATACATACGGCGGATGAAGATACCCTTGGAAACCAGCGGGAATGGTGCCTGTGTTGGCCGGACGAGTATATGAATGAATGAAGAGAGCCATATCACCCAGTATCTTCTGGTCTGTCCAGGTTCGAGACTTGTAATATGAACATTTGATTGCGCTGCCATCTGTGCCGTCGCTGGCATGCTCGAGTATTATCGTAAATCGTTACATCTATGCATACGCATATGCACAAGGTAGTAGTATATACAGTGCTTTCTCACTCACACCACACTTCTTCTTCTCCATCAGTGCTGTTGCTCTCGGTGATTGATGGCAGAATCTCCCGTACAGCGACATCAAGACAGGTCCATATCCGTGTCACCGACAGCCTCACCGTCTGGGCCGGTGCGAGGATCTTGGGCCGCCGTTTGTGGTTGCTGGTGCTGTTGTTCCTGCGAGAGCACCTCCATGAACACCTCATCCCACTCCTGGCTATCGCCGTCTCCGTCCGCTTGATCTGCAAAGCCGTTTCCCTCGCCATCCCACAGCTCAAGTAACTCCTCAATCTCCTTCTCTTCCGTCGGGCTCATCTGCCCTTCCTCCTCACCAACGCCTTTACCGGGAACGCCAGACTCCGCATCGGCAACGACACCGCTCATAGCCATGTTCTCATCGAGCTCTTCTTCCTCCTCGACCTCGACTCCGGCACCGTTGTCTAGAAGCCGCATCTCCGTCTCCCACGCCCGCCGCTCCTCCAAGTAATCCGCCCTCAACAGCTTATCATCCCGCCCGAAACCCTCGTCACGGCGCGTGCGTATGCGATCGAGGAATTTCGCGCGCGTATCTGCTCGTCTAGTCGTCGCATGGTTCTGAAGCAGGGAATTGGGCGTGCTTGCTCGTGAGCGGGCTTCGTAGCGCGATGTTGGCGCTGTGACTGCGGTCGTGGGGCCTGCTGTCGTGGAGGGCGTGAAGAAGGTGGTTGAGGCTGTGGGGGTGGGCGAAGAGAAGGAGAATGGCTTCAGGTGTTCGGACGGGTGGGCTGTGTTCTCCTGTGCGGTCTCGGGGAGGTTCTCGAAATCTTCTTCTTGTATTCCCCGTGAGATGGGCGAAGACAGCGAGAACGCCTTGTTCTCCACGCCATAGTTTGTCTGCTGGTCATTCTTCGACATCGAGCCGCAAAGTCGAGGGCGCCTCAGTCCGTGATTGGCATTATATGACGTTCGCAGCGGAGAGGGCGTGAGCGGTGCGTGTTGTTGGAAGGCGAAGGGATTATTGCTGGCGCCGAAGTACTGTGGTTGGAATTGAGTGGGTGGCGGTTGAGGTGGGGATGAGAGGAAGAACATCGTCGTCAGTACTTCAGTAGCTGATGAAAGACTGCGACGCGGTGAGTGCGCCGTGCTTTCTGCTGATCAGGCAAAGGAGGGTTTAAGTGTGCAGCTCATGCTCGAGGGCGAGATGCAGGCGCAAAATGGTTGCCGCAAATCGTGACGCGCCCAAGAAGTCGCGACCTGCGCGTCTGGTTCTCGCAAAACACCGTAGATCTCTTTAGCCGTTTCTGGCTCCGGCGTCGATCACCCTTAGGCCAAGAGTGATCGCCCGCCGGCAAAAGGCTTGCGTGTACCTCAAAAAGTGACAAGCGAAATTTGCAGGGGACACGTCAACGGTGCTGTTCGACGATGAACCGACGCGTAGCCCAAGGGAGGACTCCAACGGTGGTAGTAATAATGAGATCGAGGCAAGGGTGGTACAGTGCTCTTGCAGTGTTTCAGAAAAGATTGGTGGTTCTTTGCTATGCTACCTACTCGACAATCCCAACACCAACACCGCCCTGCAAAGGGAATCGCCGTCCGCATCCTTTAGCTTTCCTGCTTGATGCCCTTTTCGGCCCATGGCATGCTCTATGGCGCTGCATTGGAAGTAGCCAACGTCTGCTATGCGTCAACCCACATGAGTACCTCGATGAGCGGTAGTGTGTCGATTGAGACCTCATTATTACCCTTTCCCTTTCCCTTGCAATGATCCTAGTTGCCCATTGACCGCTCCCACTCCGTATGTCGACAACCATAGACTTTTTTTGTGTACTCGCTAAGTTTCAAAGTGTGTGTCGTTGCGTCGTAGATCTGAGGTTCTCAGAAGTTGGAAGCCTGGTTGACCGGTCCTGGCTGGTGGTATTGATCAAGAGTCCGACTGAAGGGCGTAGCAGTGTTGTCAGTGCTGCCGGACAGCTTCTCTTGAGCCTGGTTCGGATCGTAGGCATCTCCATCGTGTAGATTGCGGTTCTTGCCCCAGATGCGCCATGCCGTATAGCCGAGACCAGCCAGCAGAAGTGCACCGCCAACACCGCCAACAACACCTCCAATTGTCTTCTTTGCAGTATCACTAAGCCCGCCGCCACCGCTGCTGTTGTTACTGGCTAGCGAGGATGAATCGACGTCGGTCGACGTGGGGATGACTGTGCTGGAGGTCTTGGTGCCGACGCTAGTGACGCCGTTGGTGATGGTGGTGAATGTGACAGCAATCTCAGAAGTGACACTGGTCGGTACGCGAGTGGACGCCGGTGTGGAGGAGGACTCTGCCGCCGACGTCTGAGACTCTTCAGATGCGGTAGTAGATTGAGGACGCGTTGAGGTGCTGATCTCAGTGGTAGTCGAGATCACATCGTCTGTTGGACTGCTTGTGGGTGTCGCTGAGGGCGATGAAGTAGGCGTTGCTGAAGGTGTAGTCGAAGGAGTGGTGTCTGTGTCGGAGGTCACACCAGTCGACAGATTGACGGATTGTCGGCGAAAGAGAGCGATGGCATCGTCGAGAGGGTCAGCAACTACCGTCGACACCAATAGCGACGACAGGGCCGTAACGGCAATGTATTGAAAGTATTTCATTGTGAACAGAGATGACTATGTCGATGGTAGAATTGGTAATCGGTTCGACCGAATTTCGCCAGCAGGTCTTCTCAACAAAGGAGAGCCTGCGCTTGAAACGATAATTTTTGGCGGCTAAGGAGTCGAATGCGAAACAAAGCTCTTCGTGATAAAACAAAGGATACGAAGAAGAACGGAATAGTCGGTTGCTGGTGGAACGAAGAGAAAATGGTCAACGAACGGACTGGCGGAAGAGGATGGCAGTGATTTCAAACGGGAAGGAGATGAGTGAGAGGCCCTCGACAACTGCGCCTTCCATCGTCTTTTCATGTCTCACCACCAGCAAATCGAATGCGAAGCTTTTCATAGGCGGGTCTTCTCGGTCTTGGCAATTCTCGCTCGCCCTCGCCAAACATGTCGCGCATGTGGAATTGCTGCAGCTCATTCATCATCGTGCATCATTCGTCCCGTGCCTGATTACTGAGTTGCATACAGCGCACGTGCTATGTCCCACTTGAGCCGACTGCTCTATCGAGCGCGCGAAAGTCGGTCAACGAGCAGCGCGACAGCAGAGGACGGCATCTGGCAACCAGGAGGCTCTTCCAGGCCTTTCCTCGGCTTTATGGCTTTTTGAGAACTGGAGAACTGTGCAGTGGTCATCTTAGGCGACAAAGAGGCCGCTGAGAGACTGTTCTATGCTAAGATCGAATGCTGAGTCCTTAAATTTTCGCCATCCACTTCCACCTCCAACCCAGGCATGCCCATCGACTGACCGTGAACGTCCCAATACTCGCCGCCAACACAGCACACATGAATCCCACCATCGGCTGCGGCCCAACTCTCTGCACGAGCTCGCCTGAGATCGGAATACAGATCAGCGTCGACAGACTTGCAATGAAGTAGCATGTCCCGTAGTACCGCCCAAAGTGCTCTGCGCCACATAATTGACCCAGACACGCCGGCGTCATAGCCATCCACGATCCGGTCCCAAATCCGAAGATGGCCACAAAGATATACAGCGCCGCCAAGCTCGTATGCCCGAACGGCAACCATATCACAAGCATGATCACCAACGTGACCACCATCATGGTCCCAAACACATTGAACCTCCCCACCACATCACTGACAAAGCCCGGAATGATCCGTCCCAGACAGCTCACCCCATTCATGACTGCGATCAGGTAAAAGCCTGTCTCCGGCGGGTAATCCGTCCCCATGCTCGCATACGTTGGTAGGATCCCCAATGCCCCAAACAGCACGATCTCGATGCCAAAGACGCTCGCCGTGAGAAAGCAAAACGCCGGATCCCCGAACAGCGCCAACGAGAAGATCCGCTGCTTCTTCGCATCTGGACTCGGTGGTAGACGTGCCTTCATCAGGACATTTCCGAGAGCCAAGCAGACGAGAAAGACGAAACCCAGAATCCTCATTGACCACGCATACCCATACTTCGGCAGCGTAGCCCGCAGCACCAGCGGGATCACCACGCCACCGAAACTCGACCCCACCATCGCCAACCCCGCCGCTAGACCTCTTCTCACTCGAAACCAATGACTCACGCACGCCATACTCGTCGTCGTAAGAGCCGCCCCAGCTGGCCCGCCCAGAAACCCCAAACACAGCAGAAACTGCCAGTACTCACTACACTCCGCCAGCAAGAACGTCATGATCACATACGCCACACTGCCCACGCCCAACAGCCACCTGGGACCGTACATGTCGAACAACGGCCCAACGCAGATGCCTAGGCTGAGGGCAAGGTAAACAAACACAGACGGTATCCAGCCAATATCCCGACTCGAGTAGTCGGCGAGCTGGTGGTACTGCCAATAGTCCTGCAGAGTGCCGATGCTGACCATGAAGCCGAAAGAGGGAAAGAGCGTGAGGAAGGCGCCGAGGAGGACGATGGAAGCGGGGAGAGCGCCGCGGTCGCCGGGGAAGTCGTCTGCGTCGGTGGGAGGTGCTGGTGGTTGCTGTTGTTCGAGCTCTAGCGGCTCGAGGCGCTGCGTTGCTTGTTGCTTCTCATTTGCACCGCTTGAGTGCTCCACGGCATGCTTTTGGTCAAGTTGCTGGTATTCATATCCACCATTTGCATGCCCTCCACTCGTAGCATTAGCCGAGGAGATGTGCGAGTCGACGAGCTGCAATGCTGGATTCGTCGTTGGATCCATGTTGCTCTTGTCGTACTGCCGATGAAAGAAGGAGCTGAACGTAGTAGACGCAGAGCCCGCTCTGTCAACTTATGACATTATGTGTATCGTTGATCAATTTCTGCACGCCCTTGTAGCTACATTTCGTGGAGTCATGATGATCTGCTCCGAGGGTGGAGGTGTTCTCCGCTCGAATTTTGTGTGGCGTTCTCTGTGGGCGGAGCTGATCCACTGCTCTGCATCGCTGCCAAGCGACAGGCGCTTACCTCGAGTGATCGCAGAGTATACCTGAAGTGGTTGTGACAAGAGAGACACTATCAGCATTATTCTGTGGTACGTACGTCCCTTCGGCGGGATCTTGCAATGTCAAAATGAGTACATGTTCGCTGCAGAAAAAGGTGTTCAGCGTCCTATGGCTAGCTATGAATCGACGCAGCCAATGCGATGGATCAATCCTGACGCTGCCGATCTGTTCGCCTCCAGTGGACACTCGAGTCCTAAGCTTCCCAAGTTTCCCTACAAGGAATAATCATAGGAGGCTTGCCTACCTCCTATAAGAATCCCATACGCCCAAGTTCATGAAGTCCTCAATGAGATCATACACACGAGTCGCACTGTCCTCCATAGCCAGTTGATGCCAGCTCATCAAAATGCCGAGTCGAGATACCAGTCGATTGAATTGGCCGCGCTTCGACGAGCCAGCGAAGAGCCTGGACTCTGATTGCGATAGAGCTGATTGCACCATGCGCAGGAGATATCTCGCAGAGTCAGATGTGGGTTTGGATACATACTCCGCGAGCCACTTGCTGCAAATCGTCTCGGTGGGGTAAGTTTCTGTGAACTTGTCGAGTATGGATTCGCCTCGGGGAGGATGGTGACTGTCAGAATCGGCCAAAGGACGTCTTCTCTTTCTGCTTTTTGCCCTTCGGGGCCAACCCGAGTCCCCAGGCGAAGTCCTGATCTATTTCGGGCTCAACAAGGTTCTCAGGCTCAGGCTGGACTTCGGGCTCAGACTCTTCGTCAGATGTCGTGCTTTCCTTATCGGGATTCTGAAGAGCCGATCTTCCCTGCGGATTATGGCGATGCATGCGGTAACAGAGCTTCTGTGCCTCACGCAAAGCCGTGAGCTTCTTGTCGAGAGCCCGCCGCTCCTCTGCAGACTCCTCGGACTCTCCTGCCACTTTGGCCAACGCAGCGCTGTCAAGTTTGTAGACCAACTCGGGTGTGAAGAGACTGGCCAGCTTATCGATGAGCAGCTCGTTGATGGTGTCGATGGCGAAAGTGTCGGTGATACGCTTCAGTGCAACCTGCATTCAGTCAGCTTGGTGATTGCAATTCCTACCGACCTTACCTTGTAGTAAGCAAACATGGCGTTCGATGCTTCAATGGCAGCGAATCGCTTCATATCCTTCTGAGTATGTTGCTTCAAGGCCTCGGCAAGTTTGCGAACATCGAAGGAGCCCGTATATAATCGAGCTGCTGTGCTCTCAGCCTCGGGATCGACGCCAAGGAAGCCGTGGAGAGAGCTGCTGATGTCCTTCATGAGTTGATCCTCGCGGTTTTTCTGAAGGTTGTCGGTGAAGTAGTGGTTGAATGTACTCGGATGTTTCTCGAAGGGTACAAGATCTTGCTCAGCCTTCAGACTTACCGCGGACTCCAGAGCGTCAATCGAAGGGTTCACGATCTCAGTCAAGATGCCTTCGACTGTTGCATCGTCCGCCACCGCCTGCAATGTTAATCGGACCGCCTTGCGAGACATGTCAAACACTTCGTTAAGCGTATACGCGACGATGTCTTTCCATGGTTTGCATTGCTCCAGAAAGAGAGGCTTGATAATGGAAGGGCTGAAGAGACCTGGTAGCTCCCGTCCACGATTTTGGTCCATAAGCAACTCGACATGCTTGTAGAAGTCGTCTTGTAACATCTTCTGGGGTCGACCCGGCAGTGCTCTGTAGTTCTTGGGCATCTTCTTGACGACTTCTATAGCGTGGCCGTGCTTATTGATGTTTTCTCTGAACTCGTCGAGAATTATCATGGATCGCGCACACACACGCTTCTCGAAGTCAGAGTCCTCTATGCCACTCCCGAAGAACGGATCAGTATAGATGCCGTTGTTCGATGAGGCCATGAGAGTTCCAAACTTCGTGCTGGCTTGAAGCAGGTACATGCGTTGCTCATCTGAGCTGCCGCGGTACGGACCGAGGGTGGCCAACTTCTGCTCGCACTCTGCAATGCCAGCATCGATGTCTTTGAGCATATTTGGCATCTCAGTGAGAATATGGCTCTGCAAGATCTTGCCGAGTCGCTTCCGCAATGCAACAACACCCTTGGTCTCGGTGCTGAGACTTTTCCAGATGCCGCTGGCAAAGAATTGCTTCTCCGTCTCGTCGCGTTCGGCTTGTGATGACGCTTGCTCTTCGAAGCTGCGGTTGCGTACGACGGCCCAGCCCAGGCTGAACTTTGTCGAGGGATCGGCGTTCTGGGCCAGTGTGAAGTACTGTTGCTCAGAAGGAGAATTGAGTGGTAGGGTGTCGGGCTTGGTGATCACTCCAATGGTTCTATCACCCTTGGGATCATGTTTCTCGGCAAACGTTATGACAATCTGGTTCTCCTTGTCGTTCTTAGCTGAGATGACAGCCATGATGATGCTACGGGGGTTTTCGATATAGCTTTCGACAAGTGATGTGACGACTTGCTTATCATTGTCCGACTGGCCTTTGCCACGGGCGTGGAAGAGACCAGGAACATCGACAAGGGTCAGGTGTGGTTGCTGTGGACCGCACACCTCAATGCGCAGCCTATCATGAGAGAACGTCTTCAGTGGTCCGATGCCCATGGCAGTGGCGGCCTCCTTCATGATCTGACCGAAGTCATCGGGGCTGGTCGTAGAAGGTTGCCAGACTGAAAGGGAATCACGCTCGGAGTCTGGCCGATCTTGGTCGGGAATGATGCTGATGGAGATCGAGGAGTGGAGAGTTCTTCGCAGGGCGTATTCAGTCGCGTAACGGGTGCACAAGCCGGTACATCTATTAGTCCAGGACAGCGAACATGAGGCATACATACCATCGCCAATTTCGAATCGCAATCCGCATATAGCCTCTAGCGTCGAACTCTTCCCTGACCATGTGTTAGTGGAAAGCTAGAACAGGTGCGTTAGCGGATGACCTACCGGAGCTCTGGTCGCCGCAGACGACTATCTGTGGTATATCCACATAGCGACTGATGCCTTGCTCTCTGAGCTTGTCAATAGTATTCAGTAGCTCCTCGTGCTCGTGGGACGTGCTCCAGGGTTGAGTGGTGACTGAGCTGCCGGCGTCGCCCATCCTGAATGTCATACGAACCGAAGGCCCGCCCTTCTGCAGTGCTCGAGATGAACGCGAGTGGTGGGTGAGAAGGAAAAGGGTCAAGAAGCAGCTTTCATAGAAACTCAGCTTAGGCATGTTAGACAACCCGGTCTGGAAGGGTCCAGGATCTGCTGCCATGACAAGATACCTGCAAGTAAGCAGTTGCCTCTTTGCTTCTGAAAGCGGACATGTTTGCTAGCTGCAAGGCAGATCGCAGCTGCAGTCAGGCATCGACAGCGGGTCTCAGGCAGCGACGCAAATCCGGATGAGGTTTGACGCAATCTAGAAAGGTGAGGTGTTCTTAGTGGTGTCCGACTTGCGGGTGCTTTCCTTCGACTTCTCGCCAATATGACAGGTTCAGACAGAGGGCAGCCGCATGAGCCGAAACGATGTTTTGCCCAGAACGGGTTTGCTGCCGGTATCTCGGCATTCATGTCTCAGCGAGATCGCGATTCGGATGTATGCCGTGCAGGCGGGACCTCTCTCAATCACTCACCGTCTGATATACGATGCAACCGCTGGCGGGTGAGATGAGATAGGAACTCTGGGCAAAGAGCATGTTGCGGACCCTCGTAAACGAGAGACCGTGACCAATGCTCATACGCTCTGCGGCGATCCGGCCGATATCTACCAAGGTAGCTAGCAGAGTCGACTTAGCACGACTGCTGTACTGCGTAGATGAGCTGCTCTGGTGGCATGCCGCGGTTGCTGGCACGAAGCTCTGGGTGGGTCCTCCTGAATCGTCTATTGACAGTCGCGGAGGGCGATAAAGAGCTCATCGACCGGCGACAGAGGCTTCCTCAACACCAAGAATGACGCGACACTCAACGCAGGTGAGGTTGATGGTACGTTATAATAAGGTGAATGATGGAAGCCATTGATCGATATCCGAGCCAGGTGAGGCGACGACGCGTTGTTGTGATGGAATTGGAGAAAGTTCTTTGGATGACTTCAGTTGAAGTGATGCCTTTGTTTCTTTTCCTGTTCCTGACAATCCTTTGTGCCTGCCTCATTTCTCATCTTGCTCTTGCTCGGGCAGGAGAGATGATGTGCTCTTTCCACAGAACACCGCCATAACGATGCCCGTTGCCCTCCGTCGACGGCTACACTGCCATTACTGCGGCCGGCGATCTGCCCAAACTCATCTCCGCACTTTCAAATGTGAGAACTGCGAAGCAGTCAACCATCTTGATGAGGTAGGTGCATCAGATGAGCATCAGTCCACGAAGTACTGATCGTCCTGCAGAATGGCGACATCAAAGACCCTCCCACAACTGCCGCCGCCACACCGACTCGGTATGCGAATCCTCAGCCATTCCGCACCTCGAGCATCTTCTGCGCAACTTGCATCAAGAACCAGGAGATCGTCGAGCGTCTGATTGCCAACTATGTGCCGGATGAGCGGGATTCAAAGTATCGAGCCGCAATGGCTGGCCTACCAGAGTACAAGGAGCGGCTTCATCGGGACTACCCTCAATGCTGCGCCAACTGTGAGCCTCGAGCCAGAGCTCAGATGGCTGCGGCGACCCGAGCAGCCGCGGCGGAGAATCTACGCGTACAGGTTCAGAAGTCCAAGCTGAAAAGGGCAGCCAGCATGATAGACTTCCGAGCTCTGATCGTTGGGTGCGCCCGTCTCGGCTACTTTGCCAGCATCATCGTACAGCTGCTGTGGCACTACTTTGGCTCCCAGGCCACTTCAGCGGAAACATATCGCGGCCCAGCACAATGCTTCGCCGAATGGCCTGCTCCGAAAAACTGCTACGACGGTGTACGAGATCTGGTGCCGTATGCATTAGCACTCGGAATATTTTGCATATGGTGGAATCCTGCCTGGGCTGAAAAACTCAGGGCAAGGGAGGGTTGGCTTGTTGGTCTGGGAAGATTCTACACCCTTCAGATCGCCATCCTGGTTCTACGCGTTGCAGCTTGGGTCAAAGTACCGAGTGCCAACATCTCTCATCAGCAACGAACGACTGTGCACGCTATGCTCCTCATTGTCCTTACGACATTGACCGGGTACAGCATGACCGTCATCCGCCTCAACACACCACCGCCCATCGACTGGAGCTATGAGCCACCACACTGGTCTCGGAATCGCAATACGTTCCTCCGCCAGTCGTGTCCGCTCCGACATTTCCGCTCAGCAGTCTCGCTTCGCCACAACGCCAGAATCTCCGCCCGTGGCAGCCTCCAACACCACCAGTCGAGGACGAGGATGCTATGGACTGGGCGCCTTCCCAGAACTTCCAGCCGAGGCCTGAGCCGGCCCCTCGTGTACCTGAGCCATCGCCATTCTTTGGAAAGTTGCCGGCCTTGGGCAGGGGTATGAACGAAACTCTAGAGCCCAAACAGCCCATCGGAATACCTCCAGGGTTCTTCGACAATCGTGGCCCGCTGTTGGAACAACGCCGAGCTTCGATACCTGCTCCCATGGCAGAACCAAGCTTCTTTCCGACGAGCGTCGATACGGGCTTGGAAAGCTTGTTCGGGTCAGTCTTTTCGCTCGGAAGCGACCGACAGTCGGCGTCGAGCAATTCGACATATGCAAGTACTGCTTTCGCTCAGCCAGCAGCTACGCCGCGGGCGGCGAATTCCCAGCAAAGAAGGCCACCTCCGGTATATCACACGCCAAGAGCAGCAGCGCCTGCAAGCACGGTTGACAGTGTCTCTACAACATTCTCACTTATCATATCAGTCTTCTTGCTTGGTCTCTGGCTGATCTCCGAGCGTCTGTTGATCGCCTTTCCAAATTTGAGACTCTACATCTTGGGCTCCGCGACGCTTCTGCCAATGATCAGACTGGTCATGGACAGAGCTATTTGGTCTGGCGTCTATGCTGGTGTGATGGGGCTTCTGGCTGTCTCGATCGTGGCCGGAACGGTTCCGGAGGATACTGCGTTCTCAGCAGGGGCGACCTTACTCGCACTAGATGTGCTGGGTGTGCTGGCCTCGAAGACTCGCGGGGCAATAATGTCGAGCCAGGGCAGGCAGTATTTATAGAAGATATATTTGGTGGAGTTGCTGTCACCACACATAGCATTCATGAGCGTTCAAAGCATAGACATACGCTTCGTTTCCAGACGCGGAGTTGTCCTCTTCTTTCCGTGATTGCATCTGTGCAACTTGCTTATCACGCGGATTCAAGTACGGGGTGCTGCAACGTCCAGTAGTTCTTTGCTCCTTGCCTTGCAGATATATTCGACTGAGGTCGGCGTTGAACGTTGGCATGCACTCGTCATCTAGCGTTTGGCCGCCGCTTCAACCTTGTGAACTGCACTCGCTCTAGCCCATTGCAACGTACGCATCGCAGCCGCGAAAAGCAATGTATTATGCCCCGAAAGGAGCCAGCCATATTTGGCCATCCGCAGTCATCCGGTCTTGTAGCAGGCCTAATTGCATCTTGTCGACCGGTCTCGCGCAAGCCTCGATTACTGTCATTTGAAGCATTTTTCATCTACAACGATACCGCATTAGGCAGCTGCACGCGACGGGCGATCTCCCATACGAAACTTCCAACACCACGCCCGGCAGCAATCATTGCGCCCCCAAGTTTCCCTTGTGTCAGAAGCCGGGCCGTAGCGTAACTGTTGAATTGAACTTGGCTTTGCTGTCGGGAAGGCAAAAGCGCAGCGTTGAAATCGATTTCCGCTCGGGAGAGCTCAGAATGGACGGATAGAAGCTGTTTTGGGAATGGTAGTTTCCTTTTTGGGAATGCCACCACCAGACTTCGTCTATTCTCGTGTTCTCCCTGCCAGGCACTCACGCTCACGTCCTTACGGGTGTCACTGCATCACCATGATGAGAATTTATGTCACGGAAAGTGAAGTGCCTGCCGAACCACTTCGGACAACACCGGTCTGAGAAGCAACATAGCAGACGGCACACTCAGCTTGTATGCGACGATCTTGGTACACTGAATGGTCCTATACACAGCCGCCTCCCTACCAGACCATGCCAGAGGTCATCTCACAGCGTCTTGACTCCATTCACCGCTCCCGCACTATCCCTACTTTTCGTCATCGTCAGATTCGCCCTGCCCTGCTCCTGCGCATGCCCCGCAATGATCCCAAAATTCGCCGTATCAACCCTCAGATACGTCCTGCTCCCCTGCACGAACCAAAATCCAATGCTGATCACCAACATTACTCCAAACACAGCTATCGCCCAGTTCATATCCGCGATGCTCGGATTCGGGTCACCGGGAAAGAAGAAGAACACGGTCGTGATCGAGCAGTAGATGATACTGACGATGTTGGAGGGCATGCCTGCCCAGCCGAGGTTGAAGGACCTCGAGGCAGGGAGTTTGTCCCGCCCAGCGACGAGGAGCGCAATGATCGGTATGGCGTAGGAGATCGTGAGGGCGATGGTGCTGACGCTCAGGATTGCTTCGAGTACGGTATCGGCGAAAAGGTAGAGGACGCCGATGACAGCTGCGATGAAGCCCTGCGCCCATGTCGCGCGGACAGGTACGCGCCAGTATTCGTCGACCTTGGCGAAGTAGTTGAAGAAGGGCACGCCGCCGTCGCGGGCGAAGCTCCAGGTCAGCCGGGAGGCCGTTGTGGCAAGACTTAGATTCTGGCCGATGCCGCTGACGATGAATAGCGCGAGCAGAACGACTGCTGCTGTGAGACCCATCGCCTCGACGCAGAGTTGGATGAACGGGTGATCCGCGTTGACGACGTCGTCGATATTCTGTATCGAGAACAGGCAGATCATCATGAAGATAAACCCCGAAATGGACCCCGTCAGCACACTCAACCACACGATCCTCGGCCCAGTCTTGCTCGCATTCGGCAACTCCTCCACCATATGTATACACGCATCAAACGCCGTCAGCCCATACGCACTCTGCACCAGCCCCGTGAACCAGACCACCCCACTCGACCACCCACTCTGATTCTCCCAATCCCCAAACACGAAGCTCGCCGGCTGAAACCTCTCGCCTGACCTCACCCCAACAGAAATCAACAGCCCCAACGCGAATACAAAAAACAACAGGATAAACGTCGAGCCCACAAAACTGTTAATCCACGGCAGCACCTTATCCTTCCGACAGGCCACCACATTGACCACCGTCAAGAACAACACGATGGCCACGTACAGCAAGAAATTCACCCAACCCTTCCCCGCTGGCGCCCAGTCCGGAACATACAGCACGTTCATAGCAAGAATAAACTCCGTCATGAACGCCGCCTGACTCGCCGTGATCGTCCACCAGCCGAACGTGTTGATCCACGCTGTCATGTAGCTCGCGAACCGCCCCATCGGGGTAGTCCAGAAATGATACACCCAAAACGCCTGCCCCAAAGCCGTGGGCATAGCACTCAACAACTCGCCGAGGGAGGCGGCGACGCAGAGGTTGCAGAGCGTAACGAGGACGAGGCCCCAGAGGATGGTGACGGGTCCGCCGGCGGTGAGACCCGTGGAGAGATTTTGGGCGAGGGTCGACCAGGTGCCGAGGACGGTGAAGGCGAGGGCGAACATGGACCAGGGGGAGAATTGGCGGACGAGTTCTTGCGAGTGGCCCAGGTTTTCGAGGATGGATTCATCGTGCTCGATTTGGGAGGCGTGCCGCTCGGAGGCGGAGGGCCTTCTGGAAGAAGACATGTCTGCTCTCAGATGGTCGTTGCTGGAGCTGGAGCTCTTTGCTGGGATGAAGTTGAAGCGGTGGCGTGGTATATAGCTCTACGGGATGCTCTGCTTGAAGACAGGAGACCGGCCCGTGAGGGACTCGTCACCTACCCCGTGGAGACGGGACGAGAAACCGACGGAACAAAGAACCTGGGGTTCGTGGGACCTGAACGGCTGGCACGCAGAAGCGAAGCAAAGGCGACAGAGCGACAGGGACATGTTGACGAATTGAATGAAGCTTTGCAAAATTAGACGAACTGGAATGTTGTGGGGATGACGGGGTAGTCCGACGGCGGAATCTGGTGCATGGAGATTGAGTTTTCGGATGTTCCTGGAGGAGATGAAATGACGTTGTGAATTTGCGACGTGTTGCTTCACTGTTGATGCTATTTAGTCTGTCTGGTAGATGTACAAGGTCGAATCGTCGTGACTCCGTCATCTCCGTTGATGTTTGGAGGTTCTCTTACCTACGTGGGCAACAAGTAGTAAGTCCGAAACATTATGGGCACTCACAGGCCATGTATAAGCAGAGCAGCGGCTCTGAAGGGACAGTAGCGCGTCCTCGTCGTTCTCGAAGCGTTGATACCACGTTTGAGTCTAGGATGAACGCTGTCAATGTGCAGGTGAAGACTTCCTGGTGAGTGGGGGATCTGTCTGCTCACGGTCGTCCTGCAGCAGCTTGCTTGATGCCATGTGCCAGCCAACAAGCATTCGCTGCAATCGACATCGGGAGAATGTGTTCTTGCCAATGGCCCCTGTCATCAACGCCCTAGGCGTCGATCGGAAGGCGAGAGTCCGCCTCAAAGCGTCGGAATCGCCAAGCCACAGCGGAGCGGCGCCTGAGTGCGCGAGTCTCTTGGTGGAAGAAAGTTCGACAGCTGGCGGTACTTGCTTGTCTGCCAACTGGCCTCAGCATTTCGGCACAAAAACCTCGATGGATATGTAAATATCTGTCCTTGTCAGTGTAGCAACATGATGCAACGCTCTTCCAATCTTCCCTCGTCACGCGCCTGCATTTCTTCACTTACCAATCGCCTTCGCGCGGTTTTCACAATGGGGAGCCACAGCAGTCGCGGATTCATGTCGCTACCCGCAGAGGTTCGAACGATGATCTATGAGGACTTCTTCCGCGGCATCAGATTAGTCCCAGTCCAGAGGTATTGCGAATGCTTTGAGTCTTCCATGGACAACAACAGGCTTGGTCTATTCCTGGTCCGTTACTCCGAGCACGAACTTGTGAGGGAAGCTCTCTGGAAATGCGCGATAGTCGTTTTCCTGCAGTCGACGTCCTTAGCAGCATTCGTGCTGAATTCCGCATATCTGGCCAGCAAAATCCAGATGATAGAACTTCACGCGTACTCCCAAGTGCCATCGACCCTGGCGCGAAGGGCCCTCGGCCGACTGGTCAACTTGGTTGAAATTCGTGTAGTCACCCGTGCTACGGTCCTTGTGCCTGAAAAGAATATCAGCGGCTGGGTTCACGCGAACACGTCGTCGCTCGATGGATGTCTCGATCTTCTGTTGCGCGATACATCGAAAACGATCATCAGAGATCTCGTGCACGAAGAGCCGCTACCGGTGATTGGTCAGGGAACTCAATTTAGTCACGGTGGGAGCTGAGGGCATAAGCCAGTGGTCAAGATCGAATTCAAGCTGGAGCCTGCGATGAGCGATTCTGAAATACTGTTGTCGTCACCATTCTTCTGGTTTGAAAGGCCAGCAGACAGTCGCCGAATCCAAGTCGTTTTTCACTCCAGCTCCTGGTCGATTACTGGTATTCAGAACGACAATCCGTTTTCGATTCCGCAGACGCCGAGGGCAATTACGGAACCGGGCGCCAGCGAGCTTGTGAAGGTCTGGAACAATCAACAACGATATGAGGAAGACATTAGAGCCGCATCGGAGGCATGCTGCCTGGGGTTTGCATTCGACCACGCGTCTCAGTATGTCGTTCTCCATCACGCAATCGAACGTGCTGCTCGAACTGGTGACCCTGACTCGATATGGGCTTTGGCCCATATGGACTGGCGATGCTTACAGCGTAAGTTCTGCAAGTTCCCCAACCGCGGTTGTCTCGGTGGTCTCATACGAAGAACGAGAGGTGTCCAAAGACATGCAAGAGCATCAGGCGGCGCGTGAAGGATGTGCGTCAAGACGTTTGGCGGCGCATGAAGGATGTGAATCAAGACACTAGGAAGACGACTGGTCCAGGACTCGACGAAGTGTGATTCACGAGAGACGAACGGACCTTGATAGGCCTCAATCAACGTTGGAAAAACTTGAGAGCAACCAGCATGGCAAGCCTGCGAAACAACAGTGCATCAACTGCGCCAGTGTCTGACTGCTTCCCCCTACTCGCCCACGTTCAATCAGGCAGCGGCGGCGCCAAGTCTATCACTTGGCCCTCAGTTCAAGGATCTTCGAGAGCTGATCTATCATCACACCGTCGCTAGCCGTTATATGTGAGCACAGTTGATATCAGCTGCCGCTGTCGTCGCTGTTTGGACCTACTCGCTGTTCAGTGCCTGTCGACTATGCATCCGGAGTGGCTCTTCCCGTAGTCATACTGCTCCAGAGCTTGCTGGGAGCTGTTCGTGTTCTGGGTCGTGGCAACCACTCAAGATGTTCGGCTAAGAAATGAGCGTCTTTTCCAGAGAGACCACAAACTCCTACAGCGCCCTCCCTGGCAACGCGACTGATGATGAGTCGTTCTGACGACTTGATACTCAAGTGAGGCTCATCTGATAACTGCTGGCTCGATCTGCAAGACCATTCTCTACTTCAGAGCCCGCCCTGACCTCGATTCTCAGTGTTCTGGGCAAGTGATGAAAACGCTCATTTTGTGCTCGAACAGCCTGCCACTGCGCGCAGCGAACTATGACCGCTAACGTCGTCAGCGCAATCAAACTGCACATCCACTGGTCTTAAAGCGGAGAGAAAGCCAGACGACCATCGTCCAGTCCTGCACGAACACGGATTCCAAAGGGACGCTTCACTCGCCATGCATGTCACATTACTTAAGTATTCTCCAAGCTCCACCGACCATGGAATCAGTGTCGGGCGACACCGTTAAGCAATGTACAGCGCATTGCTGCGTATGGCTGATTTGCCGATTTGACGGCGACGCCAAATTCGTTGTTCCGGGGCAATGGCTACGGATCACGGTTAGGAGCACCTAACATACGAAGCCCACGTATAACCGTTGCCAAGCACACAAGGATCACTTTCGAAAAATCAATGCTGGACCATCTGACCACTGTCCGTCGACCGCGTTTGGCAAGCTTGAGACAACACGAACACGGCTGCGGCTTTCATGTCCGTGTCAAGCCTGGCAGTGACACTGATCCATGCCCGTAAGGCGAGTACACGACTACTATTGATCGTGCATCTGCCTTCCGCCCTACCTCTGACAACGAGTTGATTACGCTCCTATCCTGGCCTCAGCTTATGTCCCGCTGTTCGAATGGAAGATGTTCCAATGGAACTTGCATGCCCGATGAAGTGGTTCCCGTCGATTGCATAGGCAGGAGCTCGTGTCATATATAAGTGGATGATGGTTACCATGCATGGCGTGGACCTCGTGGTCATCAATACTGATCCTATCTGACACTTCTTAAGTACTTTCCTTTCTCCCAACCCGGGACACCACACTCGTTTCACTTCCGCATTGCACATTCGTTTGCTAAACGCAGTCCTATCATACACAATGAAGCAGCTCTCCACAGCCTTTCTTGCCCTCGCGGCATCGCAGCTGGTCCGCACTGCTGCTGTACCGTCTTGCCACGAGGAGCTATCACCAGACAAGGAATGGACGCCGGTCACTGGCCCTCAGACTCCGCCATCACCTCCGATTCCGGGACCCGCGGGTGTTTCAAAGCCACCTGCTGGCCCCGGCGGACCTCCGACTGGTCCTGGTAAGCCTGACGAGGGACCTCACCCACCAGATCATCCCGAAGGCAGCTCCAAAGAATGCGATGTCGTTGTTCTGGGTGGTGGCGCGTCAGGCTCGTACATCGCCACTGAGTTGTACTTGCAGAAGTACACAGTCTGCATTGTCGAGAAACGTGGTGTGCTTGGCGGCACCGTTAACACCTACAAAGTTCCCGAAACCGGCAAGACTGTTGACTTTGGCGTGATCAACTGGTTGGCTCTGCCTGAGATGGTGGAATACTTTGAGCAGCTGGGCGTCGAAACAATCCCTACGCCTTACCAAATCCCTCCACAAGTTGTCGTGGACTTTGCAACAGGCCAGCAGCTTAACTCGACGGGCATGGCATGGGTAGAATACTGGGCTGGCGTGGTGCAGGACCTCGGTGAGAAGTGGGCATACTCCTGGCCAGACTCTCCAACCCTACCTAAGGACCTTACACTCCCTGCTCCAGACTACATGATCAAGCACAACATCACCGATATGGCTGAATTGATTCGGTTTGATATCCCGAGCAAAGCCACCGCCGATATTCCTATGGCGTACCAGCTCAAGTACTTTGATTGGTATGATGCCTTCGCCAGCAATATACCTTATGTCACCACTCACGACCTTAACAATCAAGATGTCTACAATCGGGTCGCCAAGCTGGTTGGTGCAGATAATGTCTTCTTCAACAGCGAAGCTGTCAGGATCGCCCGTTCGGCCGTCCCTGGAGGGCACCCTGAGAAAAGCAAATCTCCTGTGCAGCTGGAGGTGAAGACCTCAGACAAGACAACGACTATCAACGCCAAAGCCATGGTGCTCGCCTACCTCCCGCAGCCCGACGGTCTCTCCGCTTTCGACTTCGACCCCTCTGAGCGCGACATCTTCAGCAGCTTTAGAGTCAACATCATATATACTGGCATCGTCAGCCAGTCTGGTCTGCCGCAGGGATCCTTCTACAGCAACACTAACGCCAAAGACCCGCTCGGCAACCCACCGTACCCGTACGTAAACACCATCCTCCAACGAGCCAACTCGATGTCGGCCTTGACGACTCCCACGAGTTCTACGTCGCATCCGGTCGCATCCTCTCCGACGCTGAAGTCCACAAGACGCTATTTGACGGGGTTGCTACACTCAAGAAGTCTCTAGGCGTCACCACGAATTCCACTCAGAAGCCTGTCATCAAGGCACTCGAGCTCCATCCGCAGCTAGAGCCCCATGTCAGCGGCGAAAAGATCGAGGCCGGCTTCTACAAGAAGCTTAACGGTCTGCAAGGCGCCAAATCCACTTGGTACGTCGGCAACTACATCGCCGGCCTCAGGACGGCGGAGGTCGTCAAGCATGCCCATGACCTGGTGCTACCCGAGCTGTTGGAATATCTCAAGGCTGAGAATACTTCGGCCTCGGTTGAAATTGCGGTCATCGCCAATTCGACGATAAGTGGTATATCCAGAGTTCGACGGTCACGATCTTTGGATTCTACAGTCACGATAGATCTCAACCCGACAACAACCGCCGCTTGGCACGACTTCCCGAAACGTCTGCCGCCTGTGGACACCACATTCACAACGGATCTGACTCCCACGACAAGCGCCGCCTGGCACAACTTCCCGTGAGGAATCCCCTCCCGCGGCGTGCCCATTGCAACCACCACGTCAAGGTCGAGAAACGCAGTGCTCGACAGCGCTTGATCGAGAGTTGTACATTGGGCTGGCATCGGATTGGTCATGTCTTGAAAAGGAGACTGGAGTAGCATCGCGATGCACGATTGAACGAGGCTCAAGCCTGCGTCCAGGCCCCAATCTCTTCCAAGAGATTGCTGCTTGCATTTGGTAATGACATTGCGTTTACAATTCTTGCATAGTGTCGTGCTAACATCACGACGACTGGTGCCTATATTCACGATAGAAGTTTAATGTTCTCTGTGATCAATAACGACGAGCAGAACTTTTAATCGAATATTTTCTATCATACTTCATCGCTGATTTCTCACTATGCTGGTACACCCCAGCGTGAGTCTGCAACAGCAGATGAGATCTGTTACTGCTTTCAAGCCATTCTTGATGTGGTTCTCTCGCCAGCTTCGCCGATGCCGGCCACATTATCAACACCATGCCCCAGCGGCCATCGTACAGATGGCACACCATATCGCTTCCCCAAGCCGCTCTATCCCGATCACGACAGCGCAAACTTACTCCTCGCCCGCAAGCTCGCACCGAAGTAGTACAGTCCCCAAACACCCACTACACCCAAACACAACAATCCCGCAAGCAGGCTCACACCCGGCCCAATCCCCAGATTCACAAACAGCGGGTGCGCATACAAGATTGATCCCGACGCCAGCGCGCTCCGACACAGATCATTCGCCGCAAACAGACTCGCCGCATACTGCGGGTACGTCAACGGCAGGTAGATGAAGATACACTGGAACAGGATGAACGCTCCGATCGGGAACAGCGTCAACCCAATAGTCGCGACGATCCAATGAACACTCTCCCGCGAGCTCCATCCGAACCAGAACAGCCCGATGGGGAGGAGGAATGTCGAGAAGATAGCTGGAATGAGGCGGTCTTCTTGCAGCCCCAAGCCGTGTTTCTTGATCTTCGGCTCGACGAAGTAGTAGACGTAGGAGCAGTAAACGACGACGCCGATGGCGCAGCCGATGCTGATGACGAGGAAGGGAAGGCCCAGCTCGCCGAGGTTGAAGCCGTAGATGTCGACGTAGACTAGCGGAAAGACTTCGAAGAAGGAGTAGTAGATGCCGTAGATGCAGGAGGTGTAGATGTTGGTGAAGAGGACACCGGGGTCTTTGATGCAGATCTCGATAGGTCGGGCGAGGGCCTCCCAGAGGGTGTGCTTGAAGTCCATTCCTGCTTGGTCGATCTCGGATTGGGATTTGAGCATTGGGTTGCCGGTGAGCTTACGCAGGCGGCGGGCCCGGTGAAGGAGGATGTAGCCCGCGGAGGTCTCGGGCATGAAGAAGAGCATGATCAGGAAGACGGGCGCGGACATCCAGAGATTGATCCAGAGGGACCAGCGCCAGTTCTCGTTCATGACGGCGAAGCCTGAGAGGAGAGGTCCGAAGGCGGGGGCGCAGAACGCGGCGGCGGTCCAAGCGGTGAGAGCGTAGGGGAGCTTGATGATGTTATAGAGATCGCCCATGGACGCGCCGCCAGTGGCGAGAGCCGGGCTCGAGAAGTAGCCAGTGATGAAGCGGAGAACCAACAGGCTGGCAAAGGAGTCGGCGAGCGCAGTTGGAACCGCAAGAATGACAAATAGACCGTAGGAGATGATGTACGGCCAGTTCCTGCCGATGACAGGAATCTCGCTGATGGGCGAGAACAGCAGCGGACCTGTACCATACCCGATAACGTACATCGACAGACCAAGACCAGCCGCTACAACGCTAACGTTGAACCTCTCCATCACGCCCGGTACTGAAGATGTGTAGGTAGCAGAAGAGGCATATGCGGTGAATGTGTAGAAGAAGATGATTGCTACTGCGCCAGACTTTCGCCAGCTCGACCAGTTCTGCGGGTTTTCTGGGTCGTCAGTGGTATACCAGTCAACCAGAATGACGCCGTCAGCGGTTCGTGTTGGAATGATCACGGCGCTCTGAGCGCGATCAATGGCTTCTTCCTGCTCGGCCTCGAAGCGTTCAGCCGTGTATGGTCGAGTCTGCTCGCGAGTGACAGTGCGAGAAGTCGTGAGCTTCGAGGTGCGGGAGAGATTTGAGCGAGCCGTAGGTGCGTGAGTCAAAGCCTCGTGGTCAACACCATGGTCTGTGTTGATTGGCTTTTCTGGATCAACGGCGTCGGCGGCCGGCGAATGTTCTGAGGATACATGGGAAGGTTGTCGCTGAGCAGCAGCCTCGTCGGCTTCAACAGCTTTCTCTTCGAGTTGAGCTGCCTCCCACGGAAGTTGAAAGCCAGGCTCTTCTTCTGGAAAGCGGAGGAACCGGGAGCCTGTCGCCAAGCGGATGAGCTGCCCGATGGGCGCGTCACGGATGAGGGCTGAGAACTTGGTCATCTTGGCGATTTGTAGGGGTAGTAGGGTAGGTGGAGGGAGGTGGTGAGGATGGTGACGGCAAGTTGACCTGGACGATGTGATGGGAAGGGATGTCAGTGAGGTGGCTATATACCTTCACTTGTACCTGATCTTACCCACGCTTTGACTCATCGCATCTGGCGTCGAACTTTGTCATCACCATACAGAAGATACTGGACCATCGGCGCTGCATAATCACCACGACAAGCCATCAGGCTGTCCAATGCTTGGTCCGAAACATTAGCAGAGAACGTAGCCTGACGCGATAGGATGAGTGATTGCGGGCGTACCGCACGGCGCGGCTTCGAGATACGGATAATTACTGTGAATGGCAGTATGTCATCGCGACACTTTCCTTTCGAAAGCAAAGCGAAAACCCAATCAACGACGCGACCCGGAATACCAGGGTCAGGGACGCGGACGAACATTGCACGTCGTCGAAGTTGACCTCGCGATAGTGGAATCATACATATGTTTGTCGTGCTTACAGATCTCGCACGAGTCCAGCCCTGGGCATGGCCAGGGTCCGTTTCCCGACGCCATTCGTTGGTGGAGGTATGTTCAGGTACTGATTAACAGGGGACAGATGCCACAACGGGTAGAAAGTGGTCCAAGCGAGTAAGGAGGGAGAGGTCTGAGAGGTGTAAAGGCTTGAGGGCGTTTGAGGTTGAGGGCTTTCCAAGGGTTTCTCGTGTCAGGGCCCACCTTGGACTACGTAAATGGCGATAGGTGAACCCTCCTACGGACGGTAGATTCGTGCATATGTAAGCATCATGCAGGGCATGGCGGTTGCACCACCAAATAAACTATCTACTCTTTTCAGATTAATCAACGGCGCTGAGAAACCATCTGCCGGCGAGATCTGCTTTGCTTACAGCGGCGAGCTTATTGGCGCACTTGATTTCATTGAGAGATCCTCCAACGGAATGACACATCTACCGCCGCGGAAGCTCTTGTACATTAAGGCCCTCCTTCCCTCCAGAATTTTCACAAACTCGTGGCAATGATCGTGTATCATGATGTACAGTAATGCGGATCTAAATGGGATCCGATGTTGTCTTGGTATCATGAGAACTCTTTGCAATCCTCGTCGCCATGAGTCACACCCCAACTTCCGTGCGTATGGACAATCTGCGGACCGGCCGCGTCGGACATAAGCAAGCCCACGGGCACTCAGTCCAACGACCACACTTCCTGCTTCCCATCCTTCCCTTGTACCGCCATCTTCAGCATCACCAGGTGAATGAGCGTCGGGATGGGCCCAAACATCATCGGGCCGATTTCCCCAATCGCAACAATGTGTCTCAAACTCGGCCAGGTGAACTCTCCGACCTTGACTGGATCATAGCTGAAATGCGCTGCATTTGCCCCAGCCAGGACTTCTGGCGCATAGTCGTGTCGTCTCAACAGGAAGCTTTGGCTATCAACGTAGTATTTCTGCTTTCGCGCATGGGTGGCCAGCGTCGAGTATTCAGGATAACTGACCTCTAGCACGCGCCACTTTAGACTGCCTTCGGTATGCGGCTCCAGCTCTGTGGTCGTGATGTCTTCCCGAGCGAGAAGAAACGGCCAGTGGAAGTACTGGTACATCGCGTATCCACAGAAGTACAGGAAATGGAGATCGTCCCAAGGTGTTTCGAGTGTGTGGTCCTCGAACGCGGCACGCGGGTTGTCCCGCTCTTCAATTATCGACCCGTCCGAGACGCGCTGCTTCCAGACCTTGCTGGGAGTGAAGATCCATTCCTCGTCAGAAGACCCGCCGAGCCCGCGATAGATGGTCTTCTGTTCTTGCACGAAGGTCGTGGCAGTCGGTGTGACGTGTTGAGGGCGGCCCTTCATGCCGAGTGTGGCACCTGTGAAAGAGAACGTGAACGAAATGCTATTCAGTGACTGATATGCAGGGAGGCCGCCATGGGCGTTGATGACAGACGCGACGAGATCGCTTGAAGACATGGCGAGCTTCGGAAACCGCTTGAATGTGAGTCTGACGGACAGGAACTTGGGCCTGGAAAGAGAGACATCACGGCAGCTACGACATTTATAGTGCGAGTTGAAGCATTGTTGGCGCAGTTGAGATATTCATGGCATGATTAAAGCACGTAGCTGATTCCGTTTCTAGATAGAGCCAGGTATCTGAAGTCCAACATGACTCCGCTTAGTCACATGGTGAGGATCCTCAGCCAAAGCTGTGTCGTCGCTTCATCTCATCGTGGAAATGCTTCTCCTCGAAGTCATAGAAATCTTCTACCTTCCTGGAAACAGACTCGCTTGCATTTGGCAATGCTCTGACTTCCTGCTCCAACTTGCTTGACATTGTCGGCTGATCTGCCTGAACGACCTCTTCTTCTTCTCCAGCAGTCGCAACGTCCTCGACATCATCGTTATCGACCTCGATGCCCTTGTATCGCAGCTCCTGCAGCACCTCGTCAAAGCTAAGATAGTGCAGCTGTGGTGTTGGTATGTGCTCCGGTTGGGATCCTGTTTGAATTGCGATAGCGCGCAACACGTCGCGTTCATAGAAGACTTGAGTCTTCTTAAACACGCGGCGCAATGACGTTCGATCGTGGCTGTGTCCGCGTTTACGGATTCTGACGTTGGGATGGTCGAGGTACAAGTCGATGGAGGAAGGAACTGTGACTAGATGTGGCGAGGAGGTCGATTCGAGGCTGTATCCGTAGCCAGGGGGTAGTCGGACTGAGGACATGGCTCTTGCTTTCAGTACGTAGACTCGGTGACCTCAATGCCGCTGCACGAAAACTGGTGCGGTGAATAGCTAGAATGTAAGATATGGACGAGATTTGTGGAGCGGTAATGGTGATCTTGTGGCGAGTAGAGGTCTTTGTGAGAGATGATGCAGATGGTTGTGAGTGAAAATAGAGATGCTTGTGCAAGAGAAAAGAGGTAGTTGTGCGTGGGACGTGAGGCTGATTGTACTTAGGAACAAGAACCACATCGCTATGGTGATAGCTCTGTTTAACATGCTGCTAGTTTACCAGCACTGAAGAGGCACGTGAGAGTTGTAATGTATGAATGGACCGAAGACTCCAGTCAAATCCATCCATACCACCTTCCTCGGTAAAGAGGCCTCCCGTGAGCTCTCAGGACTTCATTGAACTCCTCGATCATAAGCAACTGCTCTGTTTCCAAGCGGAACGCCTCTGTCAGACTCGTCGGCGGAGCCGGCAGAAGCACATCGATGTGTCCATTGGGATCATTCCAGAACTCTGCACAATATAGTTCCGGCAGTGGTAGTTGATCTGGCTCGCCATGAACTTGTGGTCGTGATGGTGTGGACTGATCGAGCACGATATACTTCTCGTTTCCTCGATCGACTAGCGTTGATTGAGGCCGAATTTGTTCAGGGCCCTGATTCGATGTTGCGTACAGCATTGATGGGTTGGCTGCGCCCAGCTTGACGTCTAGCGCGTGCCGCAGAGCGATTGCTCTGTCACGATCACTTTGCACACTCGACAAGGGAGCAGAAGGCCGGTATGGGATGGATGTGGTCTGAGTCTCGTTCACCGAGCCCAAGGCAGTGGAGAGCTCTTGTCGTAGAGGCGGTTCTGCATGATTTCTGATCACCACCGCTCCAGTTCCACTTCCAGATATCTCTACGTGACGAAGAGACTGCTCCAGCGTCTCTCTCCGTGGACGTCTCGGACTGACCATGACCTCCCTATCGCAATTTGGTGCGGGCAGACACGCCTGTCCCGTTGTGTTGCAGTACGGCAGTCGAACACTCCTGTCAACCCCGTCGTGCGAGTGGAAAGGCCTCCTCGGAGTCTCAGTCGCAGACTTTGATGACTTCCTAACGAATCGCCGACGTTTGGTGTCGATCATGGTCTTTCCATCGAACATCCACAACATCGTGTCGGCTATCGGGGTTGCAATGGCTCCAAGGGGCGCGATTCATGAGTAGCTCTTGATTGTCGTAAATGTACAGGTGTACGTTTTAGACCAAGGCGGACCTGCAATAGTCTTTGTTTGCATCGAGACATCACGGCTGTGAAGTGACGAACACAACGTTTCACTCTGGCTCAAGTGTCTTGACCGTCGTGAAGGCCTACGACTTGGTCGCGGTTTAGCAAGTGGATCGAGTAAGCTGCGTCGCAAGTATGCGCGTCTGTCCGAATACCGCGACTCCGACAAAGAAAAGACCTTTGGGAAACGCTCTGGCTCGGACATGTTTTTGCAAGCATTCGTAGATCGTTGATGGCCATTCGTGATTCCTCAATGGGAGCATCGTTGCGCGCACGGCCGATGTCGCATTCAAGAGTATTCCATCACACAGCACCGCAGCCATACAGAAAAGCCCACTCCCATAGCCGCTCAACCCACTCCTCTTGCCACGGACTACACCAAAGTGGCCTGTCATCGTCAACGGTAGCAACATCGACAAGAGCTTGGCCGTTCTGAACTGCATACTTGTCGACAATCTGCGCCATCATCACCAAGCCTCGCGCCTTAGCTGCTGGGGGCAGTGTAACAACGCCTCGAGCTATGTACAGTGGCCAAAGGCAGTAGAAAGCGAGTGCGATCTCGCTTGCAACATCGGCGGAAGGCAATTGGATCTGCGATCGTGGGGAGGCAGGTGTGAGGATGTTGCTCGGTATGGAGTCCATGATCTCTGTTGCCAAAGTCTGCATGTTCTGAAAGCTTGTTGCGGCCAGCTCGGATGCGTTAGGCAGAATCGTTGTCGGTGACGTTGCTGCGCGATAGATGAGAGCGTTGACCGTGATACGTGCCACACGGTACGAATTCCAAAGTCGCTGCAAGTGTGAATCGGAATAGAGATGCTCGTATGTGGGAGGGACCGACGATTCGTCCGAAGGAATAGACACATATTGGTATGCTTCTGGCAGCTCCAGCACCCATGAGCAGAGCGCTCCATCAAAGTATCTACACTCGCCTATCAGCGCTGGTAGCATGTCAAATGTGCCGCTTTCCAAGATCGCGAGACCACGGTCTCTGGTACTCGTGACGGCTACCGTAAGCCCTCCCAGCAGAGCTTCCGGAGGCGGAGGTCCGGCGTCTTCGAAGCCGTTGGTCGGCAAGTCAATCGCAAAGGTCTCGTCGGCGGCGAGGTGACGTACGGAATTTTTCGAAAGAAAGCCGCGTACCACTGCCCACAGTCTCCTGGCGATCGGGTCATGACTGATGGCAGTCCTACCTCGTTGACGCAACAATTGCCCTGCCCCACTCACATGAGCGGCCCATTGCTGATTTGGGCTGCGGTCTCGCGCCATCATGCTTTCCACCACGACCATCAGCACACAAGCAAGAAGCGTTTCATTTCTTACGCGCTCTTCAGCAGCATTCATGGCGTGCGCTAAAGCTATGACAGCTTCGCTGTAACTAGCGTATGCGGTCTGACGAACGGACTTCGTCTCTCTGCCCACAAGGCCGAACGCGGCAACGGACGCAGCTGTTGTGACCTTTGCAAGCGCCGAGGTTGAGAGACTTCTGGAATAGAGATCAGGCAGAACGCTCAGATGGCCCATGAGGCGACCTCGCGACATGGGATCCAGCAGTTGCGCTGTTATATAGAAGTCCAAAGCGCGAGTCTGAATGGGTATAGGCGGATTTGGCAGGATTGCAACGACCGATTTGGGTGAGGCCTCTGGACTTGAGGCGGAGGATGAGCTACTCGACGGCGAGCTCTCTCTCGACTTGGCAGCAGTCGCAGCAGCCCTTCGCCTGGCGTTGCCATCATGAATGCGTTGTGTACGTCGAATTGTTGCATTTGTCTGGTCTTGGAAAGGCGAAGTGGCTGGGCTGGCCGGGTCAGGATAGCCCAAACATTCTCGTCGTTCATTCGTACATCGCTGGCAGGTCGGACGTGCCTCGTCACACTGTCATACTTAGCTTTGCAGATCTACAGCGTGAGACGAGGAGGCTCCTGGGATCACCTTGACTCGTCGTTGTCGACACGTACGGCATGCAGTGGAAGCTTTGCCCGTGAAGGTCATCTCTCGATTTCCTTCGACCCAAAGCTTACTCTCGACTCTCCGCCGCTGCCATGAGCATCCTGCTGCCTTGATTGTACATCAAAGTCTCCTCACGCCTGCCAAAGTATACTGCACGGGAAGGGCAATCACGCTCACTTAAGTCCAATGGGAAGTCGTGACGACACCGTCATTGCCTTAGGAAATCAAATCCGGTTGATGACCGATGTTTCCCCGTTTCGCGCCGTTCCATTCATTCTAGAAGGAAGGCGCGACAAAAAGCCAGGTGATCGGACAGTCACAGGTGCATTAATGCTCGAGTCGATAGCTATATTCAAGATAGTCACGACAGCCCTTCGCTTGTCCTCTACGATGTCAACAAATCCCTCACGCTCATGCCCTTCCCTCTGCTGTTCCTTTCCGCACTCTCCAACCTCCTGTCATTACTACTCATCATCATAAGTGCCGCCGTGGCAGTTGCTTCTGCGCCGCCTTCGCTGACTGCTGGACTGCCGTTCTTGTGCTGCCTTTCTAGGCTCATCATCGCTTGTGGTAGAGGTAGGATATTTGGAGACGGTGCAAGCACGCCCAAACTCGTATGCGTCGACACCCGAGACAATTCCGGCGAGAATTGGATCGCACCGAAGGCGGGCGATAGTAGCGTTGGGGTTGGTGTGCTTGACTGAGGACCAGGCCGCGGAGACGCGCTGAATGTGGGGATGCTGGGGAGAATGGGTCGATGCGTTGGCTGCGCCAGCCGTGGCAATAAGTTTGGTGACGGATTCGATGAGCTGTCAGTTGTCGCGATCGACGGTTTGCGATACTGCCAGTCTATGCTGTTGCTCTTGGTTGACCAATCCACCGATGGCCGCTCGGGCTCAGGCTCAGGCTCAGGGGACTCTTCTTCGTCGAGGCTGGCGTCCGAGGTATCGTCGGGCTGATCTTGTTCCTTCTCCTGCTTCATTTGCGTGATACAGCCTTCGAGATATCGGAGATACTCTATGCCAGCTTGCAGGATCGCCAGCTTGTGCATTTCGACACCTTCGCAAGCAGGTATCATGTCCTTCAGGACGCCAAACTCTTCGTTCATCTTGCTGCGTCTTCTCCTTTCTATGATAGAGTGCGCAGTCTTTCGTGCTATCTTTCGTCCTGCGGCGCTGGTTGCAGATGGCTGCTTGCGCTTTGTGCCGGCCGCTTGGGCGGGCTTCGCGGGAGTCACTGTAGATAAGGCCGGCTCAGATGATGAAGACGAAGTTGAGCCAGTCTTCGGCTTCATCTGGATGATTTTTCTGGCTCTGCTAGGTGGGGGAGGCAGATCAAACTGCATTGCATCTTCGCGCTTGTGTGAGCCAGAGAGCGTGCGTTTCCTGGGTGGACTCGACATCTTTGGATTGTGCCCAGGCGATACGGGCGGCGACATCCTTGCAGCGCCTCTCTGGTCCATCGCTGCTGGTGGCAGGACGAATGATTGTCCCACGTCAGTATAATCCTGTGCGATCAGATCAGTTGAAGCCGCCGGCGTTGGCGGCGCTTTAGGGCGAGGCATCTTTGGTACAGCCTGAGATGACAGTGAACAGAAACAGTGAGAAAACGATGCCAGCAGGAAGTGCTGCTGTTGAAGACATCTTCAGATATGAGGGTCAACAGTGAGTTGCAGGAAGAGCACGTGTCTAGCGAGAGATGAGGGACGAAAATGGCCCGTGAACTCGCCCGCGCCAGTCGAGTGTCGTGTGCTTCTTACCAGAGTCATGATAGGCTGAACGCGGCATGTTCGTTGACTTCGCCAAAAGATGAGACAAGCAAGCTTGTGTTATGCAGCAAAAGAGAGCACGATGTGAGGTGCTCAAATGCGATTGGCTACTTCTGTCGAGAGCTTTCGTGAAACCGGATGACACACGCTGGAGCCCTTCCAAACGACTGATGCTCGACTTAACTTCTCGACGACTCCGAGCTGGCTGCTACACCTGCAGACTTGAAGCGACTGTGCAACGCTCATGATACGCCTGCCCCAAGTGCTATGTGAATTGCAAGGTAGGTGTTTCGATCCCCAAGCAGACTTGTGTTCTGTCCGGGTCCCCGAACCCCGTTACCCCAGACAGACTCAGCGATATCGTTATTGGGCCATTCCTGCTTGCTCAATGCTCTCACATCTGGGACACGTCTGGTGTCGGAGTCTACCTGTGTACTTGAATTAGCGTGTGACTTCACCGATCGAAGCTATAACGACTGGTAGCACAGCAGCATAAAGCGACCACCTTCAATTCAGACCCATAGCATCACACGGCGTGCTTCATAGGAGCTCGACAGTCGCGGTCTTCAAAGAATCTAGCACCTGTAAAAATGTCGAAGACCACCACTACCCTCCCGCCCCTTCACACAGTCCTCACACCCACCCTCTCCATCGCCTACCACGACACGAACCCAGATGCCACCTCCGACACAACCTCCGCACCACCCATAATCCTCCTTCATGGCTTTCCCTATACCGCACACCAATACGCCCGTACTACCGCCCACCTCCTCAACGCCGATCCCTCACTGCGCATTATTATTCCCTACCTCCGCGGCTACCACCCCACACGCTACCTCCGTCCCACCACCCTCCGCTCCGGCCAGCAAGCCGTCCTCGCCCATGACCTCCTCCAATTCATGGATGCTCTTTCCCTCGAGAACGCCATCCTGGCAGGCTATGACTGGGGCGGACGCGCCGCATGTATCGTCGCCGCACTTCAACCCGAGCGGGTTGCTGGGCTGGTGAGTTGTGGCGGGTACGCGATTCAGGATGTCGCAAAGGATGCGGTCGCTGTGCCGAGCAGTGTTTCGGGGGCGAGCGGGAGTGTGGAGGCGTTGAGGAAGTTGTGGTACCAGTTCTACTTCAACACGCCGCAAGGGGAGACTGGGCTACGGGAGAATCGGGGCGCGATTTGTAGGTTCTTGTGGGAGACGTGGAGTCCGGATTGGCGGTTCACTGAGGATGAGTGGGCTGAGTCGCTGGAGGTGTTCGAGGGTGCTGGGGAGGACTTTGTGCGGACGGTGATACATAGCTATCGGGTCAGGTATGACAATGTGCCTGGAGATGACGATCCAACGGTGCAGGAGTGGGAGAGGAAGTGTGCAGAGCGGCCAAAGGTCAAGGTGCCCACGGTGAATTTCATGGGCAAAAGCGATGGGGTGCGGGCGTTTGAGGCAGAGGACAAGGGGAGGGATATGTTCACGGGGTGGTATGAAAGGGTTGATCTGGATGCCGTGGGTCACTGTCCGCCGGCTGAGGCGCCGAAGGAATTTGCGGATGGCATACTGAAGTTGCTGGATGTAATGCTGGGAAGGGATGGGTGAAAAGGTGGTGCCCTTCGAGTTTTACCATCACGCAGATAGTGCGCTCAAGCCTTCTGCTCGCTCTTCAAGAACTTCCTCAGCCCAGCATCGCCCTTCAAGAAAGCCGCCATCCCCTTCATAGCCTTCTGCCTCTCCTTCTCAAACGGCATCACCTCCCCAACTTTCCCATCATTGCCCACCGTGAACTCATCAGGCACCTCATCCCCGCCCAACGCGCCCATCATCGCCTCGATGAACGTGTCCAGCGGAATGCCGATCTGTCCACCGTTGACCAAGTCCGGCTGATGCTTCTCATCGTGCAGCTCAGTCTGTACTGCTGGCGGGAAGATCTCGATAATCTTGGGGACGTTGGCATTCTTGCCATCCTCTTTGGACCCGTTGAGCTGCTCGCGAAGGTTGAGAATGAAGGTATGCAGGGCGGACTTGCTGGCGTTGTAGTTGAGTGTGCGTAGGAGGCCAGGAACGAGGCCGAGCGTGGCGGAGATGTAGATGAGGTTTGTTGGGGTCTTGGACTTAAGGAGGAATGGCATGAATGCAGCCGTGAGATGCACGTAGGAGGTGTAGTTTGTGGTCATTTCTGTGTCGAGTGTCTGTAGGTCGTCCGAGCTCAGTCCATTGGAGTTGGTGAAGTCGAAGGGACGTTGAATTCCGGAGTTGAGAATCACACAGTCAAGGTCTGGGTTCCTTTCGATGATCTTGGTTGCGAACGAAGGAATCTCGCGGAGCTCTGTCGCGTCGAAGTGCTCGCTTTGAATGCTCCAACTGTCGTCGGTTCCGCCATGCTCCTTCCAGAACTCCTCGAGCTTATCGACGCGGCGACCGACAACAATGACATGCGTGCCCTGCTTGACAAGGGCGGATGCGATGCCCCAGCCGATGCCGGATGTAGCGCCCACGATGAGAACCTTCTTGTAGATGGGAGCCATTTCCTAACCTGAGATGTTAATACACAACTTTTAGCCACAGGTGGTGCGCGGTTTGTAGGAACGAGTCTTGTTGGATCCGGCAGAGAGACCGATGCAAATTGTGAAAGCGGTTCAGGAGGAGGGGAGATGTGAACATTTATATTCAAAAGTCGCGGGTTGACCTCTCTCAATGTCATTTATCAGCATTCATGCATCTTGCGGTGATACCAACTTTATCAGCATGCCTCGACGTACAGTAATCTATGATCACGCTCGTCGACACTGCAATTGAGAGTCAACCTAACGGCGACGACGAGGGAGGTAAGGTAAAGCGGGAGATAAGGTAGCTCAGCTCAGGAGATAGGTGGTAGGCTCTGAGCTGCTGGGCAAGGGTCTCCACTAGATCCCTACATACTAGAGCCTAAGATGACGACGACCTGTTTGCACTGTGACATATTTGATTCTGGCTCGGAAAGCTAACTTGTATCAGCACACAAGGCATCTGAACCCTCTCATGCTCACAAGGATGACTAGTGTTCGATGAACATTGCCTCCAGAATGAACACACCCGCCATGCTCTGGTCACGGCTGGTCATGCATTGACGAAACGTCCTTGTCTACAGACGGCTAGCCTTCGTCGCCATTGAACATTTCACACATACGCTCGTCCAAAAAGGGTTCTGCCGCTCTTGTTTCACCCTCATCCTTGGACAACGTCGTCCGAACCTCACAGCAGAATCACTGCGTTCCTTGATTATCATCACTGTTCCGCCGCGATTCAGCTTGGAGCCTACCTCGAACCGACGGCTAGCTGATCTTGAAGTCAACATCTGACCAAGCTCCGCTCTCCTTCTAGACGAGCTTCATTGGCCCTCGCTCGACACCCAGAAAACGCTCGATCTAGCAGCCAGGTCCGTCCATCGCATCGAGCTCATCCGCGGTCTCCTGCTGGAGAATGCCCAGGGTATTCCTGCATTCATGAGGCGACACTTCCAAGCACGCCTTCCCAAGGTCTCAGTACGAGCTTGCCCCTCAAGCTCTTATCAGGCTTGCTCTTCGTGTATGTGCCAGCGACCCACGACTCTACCTTCAACGGCAAATCGTACGTCTGCTCCTGTCCCGAGAAGTTAAGGACCACGATCCATTTCTGTTCCGGCTTCGTCGCACTTGTCCGGACGTATGCAAAGATGTTCTCATCATTTGGCGCGAGCTCTTCAAAATCACCGTATACAAAAGCCTCCTTGTTTTCCTTCCGAGCATGCAAGCCACGCTGCCAGAACTGCCAGACGCTTAACTCGTCCTCGGACTCTTGCTTCATCTGTGCTTCGGCGTTGATGGTGGTGTAGTCATCCATGATCCTCATCCAGGGCTTGGCGCCTTTCTCCGCGAAACCTGCATTGGGAGATGCGTCCCACTGCATTGGTGTTCGGCTGTGGTCACGAGCCTTCATGTGCACGATCTTCCTGCCATGAGCCAGCTTCTCCGGATCGTTGGCGTAGATCTTCTCGCACTTTTGCCAGTAGTTGACGGTTTCGATGTCTTTGTACTCAGTCATAGGCCAGTCTTTGGGCGCGTTGCGGATGCCAATTTCTTCACCTTGGTACACGAACAGCGTCCCTCCGAGCGTGGTCTGCATCAGTGCTAGTAGCTTCGCGCCTTTGTCACGCCACTGATCTGAGTCGTCGGTGTAGCGGGAAACAGAACGCGGGTTGTCGTGGTTTTCGATGAACACCGAATTCCATCCATCTCGCTCGATCATCACTCTCTGCCACTTGGAAATAATGCTCTTCATCTCCTTCACGTCCCACGGCTTCAGCGCCATCCGAACGTTTGGCTTATCGATGTCGACGAGGTCAAAGATGAAGATCATGCGCAGCTCTTCCGCTTTCGCTCCCACTGTGCGCAGGATTTCGTTCTCGTCCGACACGCCAGGCATCTCGCCGACTGTGATCGTGTCATGCTTCGAAAGCACTTCTCTGTACATTTCCTGTAGATAGTCGTGTAGCTTTGGACCGTTGGTGAAGAACTTCACGCCAGGTTGGTACTTGTGTGTTGCTGGATCGAGCACGATTGGCGCGTCAGGAAAGGTCGTGACCTTGGAAATCATATTGATGACGTCCATGCGGAAACCGCCAGCGCCTCTGTTCATCCAGAAGTTCATAACATCCCAGACTGCTGCCCTCACTTCAGGGTTCTCCCAGTTGAGGTCTGGCTGCTCTGGAGTGAAAACTGCAAGGTAGTACTCCTTGGTAACAGGATCGTAGTTCCAGGCAGAATTGGCATCTCCTAGAATTTGAGCCCAATTATTGGGTGGCTCGGGCGTGCCATCGGGAGAGATTGACTTGGGTGGCTTCCAGATGTACCAGTCGCGTTTTGGATTGTCTTTCGAGGAGCAGGATTCAAGGAACCAAGCGTGCATATTCGACGTGTGGTTGACAACGAGATCCATCATGACTTTCATGTTCCGCTTCTTGGCCTCTGAGATCAGCTCATCGACGTCCTCCAGGGTTCCGTACGCGGGATCGATATCCTTGTAGTCGGCAATGTCGTAGCCCATGTCTGCTTGTGGCGACTTGAAGATGGGACTGCTCCACACCACGTCGACGCCGAGCTCCTTTAGGTAGTCGAGCCGCGAAGTGATGCCTTTCACATCGCCCCAACCATCACCATTACTGTCCTGAAAGCTGGCTGGGTAAATTTGGTAGACAACGCTCTCTTTCCACCATTGTGGCGTTGAGAACGAGTTTTTGGTTCCGTTGACGGCCATAGTATGCGATGTCTATCAGCGAAAGCTCCGGACAAGCTCGGATCTACTTTTGAGCGGCCTGGGTCGTGGCTTCGACGAAGCTGGATTGATGATCAACGCCCGCTCCAATCGAGCTCGGTTATGCTTCTGAACGACCTTGAGTACGGCTTCGTCAATGCTTGCGTCAAGCTCACCGTTAGCTGGCTTGTCTGAAGGGACAGAGATCTAGAATGCGATGCTGTCGGATTGCACTCTCGTAGCATAGACCTGTATATATAGCCCAGGAGTGCTTCATCAATGTGGTACATTCATATCAGAGTGTATTCCGCTATCAGAAATGTACTGACGTTACAGACATTGACGGATGCCAATCCTGCGAAAGATTCTCCGGTATCCGTTCAAGGCGGGCTTACCTATTTGGGGAGGACAGCCGTCACTGGCATTGGGCAGTGGGCACTCAATTCGACTCAGACTACAATTTCGTTCGATCGTCTGAGTGTCGAATATCACTTCGCTCTCTGTAGCCAGAGGTTCGGCAGCATTGTAAACGCAAAGAGCTCCTCGGCCCCTGATTGCGGGCGGGCGCGAAGCTCAGATAGGCGCACATGCGACCAACCGCTTGATAGTCACACGCTGGCCTTGGACCACGTCATGACACGCGCCGATTTTACACGGGAGCGCTGTTGCGCGTTGTCAGATGCTTGGAACATGGAGTGCTCCTTAAGTACGAGCCTGGTGAGCCTGTGCGTCCCTGAGAGGAAATGATTAGGAGCAGCATCAACAAGGAAACCATCAAAATATTGCGATCTTCGGGAGTCCGCGTTGGCGCTTCAATTCCGCGTTTGCCAAGAACGGTCGCCTTGCAGGGGAAAGTACCACCGTGAATATCCGACCACCAGACTGGAGTTCTCGTATGAGTACTTGCATTGTTTCATGTTGGCAGCACGACTCCAGTCCATCCACAGGCAAATCATCAGAATGGCGACTTCATCGTGGCTATCGATACCGGCCTCAAGTCACTTCTCGCTGGCGAACATCCCATTTGGCATCATCTCTACATCGTCGGATCCGAGACCCAGGACAGCCATAGCAATAGGCGACCACTGTCTGGATCTCAAAGAGTTTGCAAGCGGTGGAGGCTTCAAGCCCATCGATGTCAACCCGATCGTCTTCGCCTCAATCTCTCTGAATGCATTCGCTGCATTGGGCAAGCCAACTCATCGCAAAGTGCGAACGTACCTCCAGGATGTCTTCTCAGAATCCACCAAGCATCCCGACATTCTCAAGGACAACGAGAGCCTTAGACAATCAGCCTTGCTAAGACTGAGCGATGTTCGTACGCACGTACCCATGGAGATTGGAGATTACACGGACTTCTACGCTGGCAAGAACCACGCCTTCAATCTAGGCTGTATCTTACGTGATCCCAAGAATGCTCTGCAGCCAAACTACACGCATCTGCCTGTTGGATACCATGGCCGAGCTTCATCTGTTGTTGTATCCGGCACACGGATCAAGCGACCAAACGGACAGATCCTCGAGAACCCTGCAGCTGACCCGAAGATACCTATCTTCAGCCCAAGCCGGCGACTTGATATCGAGGTGGAGCTCGGTGCCTTCTTGTGCAAGGACAATGAGATGGGATCGCCAGTACGGATACAAGATGCGGCCGAGCATATCTTTGGGTTCGTTCTGATGAACGACTGGTCAGCACGAGACATTCAGGCGTGGGAGTATGTGCCCTTAGGACCATTCAATGCGAAGAACTTTGGCACTACTATAAGCCCATGGGTTGTCCTGACGGATGCTCTGGAGCCCTTCAGGTCAAAAGGCATCGAGAATGACAGCCAGCTGTTGCCTTATCTGCAGGAGAAGGAACCGAAGAACGTTTACGACATCAGGCTTGGTGTCGACCTTGCTCGTAAGTGAATATCCTCCTCCAACCGGACGTAAGTAACAAGTCACAGCGGAAGGGCAGAAACCTGAACGCGTGTTGAACACGAACGGCAAGAATCTGCTATTCTCATTTGCGCAAATGCTTGCTCACCACTCCATCGGAGGCTGCCCCATGCGCGTCGGTGACCTCCTCGGATCCGGCACCATTAGTGGAACAGAGCAGGGCTCAGAGGGTGCCTTGATCGAGTACACGAAAGGCGGCAAGCAGGCAATGAAGTTGCAAAGCGGCGGCGAGCGTAAGTTTTTGCAAGACGGAGATACCGTGACCATAACAGGCGTGTGTGGCAGCGAGGAGAGTGGTCTCGTAGGGTTTGGAGAATGCTCCGGCCAGATCCTGCCAGCACCGAAGCTGTAGTCGAGAGAACTAGCGCGCTGGATCCGCGCAGTTGCCGCCCTCCGCTTGCAGAGCAGCAAACGCTTCACGAGTGAGTCTCATGCCATTTCGACGCCAATCAGAGCATAAGAGATGTCACAAGTCATCAAATGGCGATCCGTGATGGTGTTGGTAGTGAAATCTTACGGCGGTCTTACTCCAGGCCCGCCGCGGTATCAGATTCCGCACCCCACAAAGCTTCACTGGCTTCACTTCCAGGCTTCCCCTCTTTGGCAATACGTCGTCAGTAAAGAAAGTGCGAAGGAAACCGAGGGTCATCAGCAAGATGTGTCTGTCAAGTTTCCGTCGGCGGAAGGGAAACCTTTGCGTATAACCTTAGCATTCACATCAGCATAAAATATCTCTAACGAAGCAACGCCTCTACGCATCTTTTGTCCAGGCGACCTTCAGCAACGCGGATCGAGCGGAGGAGAGGACCCGGCACAACGTATCAAGACATCGACGCCGCCGCCGTCATGTTGGATAGAATTCTGGATCTCAGCTCTCCCGTCACCTTGACATTTCTGTTCCTCTCTCTGGCATACTTTGGCATCAGATACCTCAATCGCACCGACACACCCAAGATCAAGAATCTGCCGGAGATTCCAGGCGTGCCTCTCTTCGGCAACCTCCTCCAACTTGGCCAGGATCATGCTCGAGTCACAGGAGAGTGGGCGAAGAAGCATGGCTGGCCTGTCTTTCAGACCAGACTAGGAAACCGCCGCATTGTATTTGCGAACACGTTCGACTCGGTCAAGCATCTTTGGATCACGAACCAGTCGGCCTTGATCTCAAGGCCCACTCTGTACACGTTTCACAGTGTGGTGTCAACGTCCCAAGGCTTCACGATCGGAACATCGCCATGGGACGAGTCCTGCAAGCGGAGGAGAAAGGTGGCAGCCACGGCGCTGAACAGGCCAGCTGTGCAGAGCTATATGCCTTTCATTGATCTCGAAGCGACAGTGGCCATCAAAGACCTGTACAAGGACAGCAAAGGCGGCGAGCTTGAGCTCGATCCGCGCAAGTATTTTCACAGGTTTGCACTAAATACGAGCTTGACCTTGAACTACGGCATCCGGATCGATGGTGGTATTGATCAGGAACTCCTCCGCGAAGGTGTGTGGATATAAATCTTCCTTCGCTCTTTACTAATTCCCCATAGTCGTGCATGTCGAACGCGTTGTGTCCAACTTCCGGAGTACTTCCAACAATTGGCAAGACTACATTCCTCTACTCCGCCTGCCATTCATCTCACGCCAGAATAAGGATGCAGTCGCTTACCGCCAGCGGCGCGACAAGTATCTTACCACGTTCCTGAACATGCTGAAGGATCGGATCGCCAAGGGCACCGACAATCCGTGCATATCTGGGAACATCATCAAAGATCCAGAGGAAACTCTTAACGAAGCCGAGCTCAAGTCGATCTGTCTCACCATGGTGTCCGCTGGCATCGATACCGTACCTGGTAATATGATCATGGGTCTCGGCTATCTAGCAACGGAAGAAGGTCAGGAGATCCAAAAACGTGCTTATGAAGAGATCATGAAAGTCTACCCTACCGATGGGGAAGCCTGGGAAAAGTGCTTGGTCGAGGAGAAGGTGCCGTACATCACAGCATTGACGAAGGAGATTCTGCGCTTCTGGACCGTCATCCCCATCTGCCTGCCACGCACGTCGATCAAAGACATCAAGTACGAAGACGCCGTCATTCCCGCGGGTACGACGTTCTACATGAATGCTTGGGCCGCCGACTACGACGACACGCACTTCAAGAATCCGTACCACTTCAATCCAGATCGTTACCTGAACGACCAGGAGGGCTCTGGAACACCGCACTACGGCTATGGCGCCGGATCGCGGATGTGTATTGGCTCGCATCTGGCGAACAGAGAGATCTACACGGCATTTCTGCGAATGATTACAGCCTTCGAGTTCTACCCAGCGAAGGATCCCAATGATCGGCCGGTGATGGATGCGTTGGCATGTAACAGTATACCGACTGCCTTGACAACAGAGCCCAAGCCATTCAAGGTCGGCTTCAAGGTGAGGAATAAGGAGAGTCTGGAAAGGTGGATCAAGGAGAGTGATGAGCGGACGAAGAATCTATGAACACCACGGCCCGTGGGCCAGAGGCGTAGTGGATGGCCATGCATGCGGCGCTTGGAGTCTGCCACATAATCGAGTTCTGTTGGATAGTGACAGCATTTGAGAGCGCTAATGGCATTTGTGATTAGCAGCAGGCCAAAAGTAAGAACAAAACCACTACGATTCTTCATAATTCAACTACGTCGTACGTACACAAACCCACGAGCCGTCCGTGCCGCAGAACGAGTACTCAACCCATGCTGCAAGCATCCCACGCATCACGACAGCAAAGCCAATCGATGTCGTACTACGTAGGGTCCGCGCGATTCGGATTTCCCTGCAACCCGGGCTGGCCCCTCTTTGTTCGTGTCGCTGCTCGAGCTGCGGAGGGGCACTGAGACTGTGTGCTGATGTTGCCTGAAGAAGCAATCTTCCAGATCAGCATGGCGTCAGCTTCTATACTGTTGCCGCCTCTGCGCAAGATCAGCGCTGGCGCGGATATTCGGGATGGCGAGTGGGCAAATGCGTCTGTCTTGGTTTGCCGTGAACCATCGTCATAGCCCGGGAACACTTCTCTGGCTATCCAGTGTTTTGATCTGACTGGAACCATCTACTTGCACAAGCCCGGTGGTCATAGTCAGCCCAGCTTCGCCCAGGCGCACTCCAGAAGTCCCAAGATGAGGGGTACAGCTGAAGATGAGGGCGTGATCGGGTCTGCATCACGAAAATGCGGGATGAAGGAGACGTTTGACATCCTTTCTCAGGCCCTAATCATGCACTATTTCAATGGTGGCTTTGCTTCTCCCGCTCTCGCTTGTGACAGGCGTGCAGTGCGTCTCACTTTACTGGCGGAGGCCGAAGAAGACCCAAGCAGTTCTTCCGTACTGTCCAGCGTCTGCAAACCAGAAAACACCCTGGCGTCTAGGCTACGGACGAATCGCAGCATGGGCCTGTTGCGGGATGTGATTGCGTGTTGTGCAATTTGCTGCAGCAGCCCCAAACTCTGATATGGTTTTGGTGTGGGCGGACGGCTGGTCGGCACCTATCATGAGCACATTCGCCCTCAGCTCAGCACGTAAAATGAATGGTTGAGACGGTTCTTTTTGGTGAGCTGGCCCGTCGCCTGTCGCCCTGAAGATCGCGATGCGCCGAACGACCGTTGTCGGCCCTCGATAAGATCACGAAAACGGCACTCATCTAACCGACCACCCGTGAAACACGACTGAAGCTCAGATCTTGAAGTCAGCCCTGAAATAGCCGCGTTCCCGCACCCGGAACCAGTTCTCTTCTTCTACAGCACATCAATTCCGCACTCTCGAGTCTTGGGTCCCCCTCGAGTAACCGACGACAGCGCTCAGCATCACGCAAGGCAGCCAATATTACTAGCTGCGGAACCCATCAGACATCATGCCTGCCTTCAAAGGATTTCGAGAACGATTGCAGCAGAGAAGAGAAACGCGAGAGATCGGCGCGTGTGGTGCGAAGTACGGAATTCCCTTGACAGGTAAGATTTCTGGAAGCACTTCAACCCCGCTTCTCAGCATGATCTCCCCCAGAGTCTCAGTCTAGGCGTACCTCATACAAAGCAAGCACCCCTCACTAACGCATGATTCAGTCGGCAACATAACGCGTTTCTGCGACACGCAAGATATTCGCGATGCCTGTAACCCCGTTCAAAGTGACCGACAACTACAGATATCTGAATGGGTTCGGGGGATACAAGGAGTACGCTGCCGCTCCACACGTATCCTGTTCCCTTTCTAACGACTCTCCAGGAGTGAGGCAGTCGATGGCGCGCTGCCTCTAGCAGCCAACTCACCCCAAAAATGCCCGTACGGCTTGTACAACGAGAAACTCAGCGGCACAGCCTTCACAGCACCCCGCGATGAGAATAAACAGACATGGCTGTATCGCATACTGCCCAGCGCCAGCCACCAGAACTTCCAGCCGGTGCCTGCAGAGTCCTCACAGTCGCTCACATCGCCGACGCCCGAGTTTGGGAAGCATTTCAATGCTATCCCCAACCAGCTACGATGGGACCCCTTCGACTTCGACGAGAAATCAACGTGGATTCACTCGTTACACCTCGTCGCCGGCGCAGGTGATCCGCAGATGAAGCAGGGTCTGGGCATATACATCTATGCTGCTGGCACGTCGATGCCGGAGAAGTCTGCCTTCTACAGCGCAGACGGCGACTTCCTGATCGTTCCACAACACGGCACGCTCGACATACGAACGGAGCTGGGTCGCTTGCTCGTCCGACCAAACGAGATCGCTGTCATCCCACGTGGTATTCGCTATAATGTAAGCCATACCGAGCCAGTACGCGGATATATCCTGGAATTGTATCAAGGTGCCTTCCAGCTCCCTGAGCTCGGTCCGATCGGCAGCAATGGCCTCGCCAACGCTCGGGACTTTCAAACGCCCGTCGCAGACTTCATCGAGGACTTCTCTGGCGACAACACCTGGACATTATACGCCAAATTCGGCGGCAACCTCTTCTCCGCCCAACAGAACCACACTCCCTTCGACGTCGTTGCCTGGCACGGGACTTTCTACCCCTACAAGTACGACCTCGGCCGCTTTAATCCCGTGGGCAGCATCTCGTACGATCATCCTGACCCATCGATCTTCACCGTCCTCTCTGCTCCCTCACATGCTCACGGCCACGGTACGGCAGTCGCCGACTTCGTCATCTTCCCGCCACGCTGGCTCGTTGCCGAGAATACTTTCCGGCCGCCGTGGTACCACCGCAACACGATGTCCGAATTCATGGGCTTGATCGGAGGCTCCTACGATGCGAAAGGTGCTGGCAAAGGTGGCTTCCAGCCTGCAGGCGCAAGTCTACACAACACGATGAGCGGGCACGGACCAGATATGCAGACGTTCGAAAAGGCGAGCAATGGTGACTTGCCGCCTGCCAAAGTTGGAGAGGGTAGCATGGCTTTCATGTTCGAGAGCTGTCTGATGCTAGGGGTGACGGAATGGGGGTTGAAGACCTGTGCGAAGGTGCAGGAGAGTTATAATGAGCACAGCTGGGAGCCGTTGAAGGTGCATTGGAAGAGGCCGGAGAGTGAGAGGGGGTTGAGTGGGAGGGAGAAGAGGAATGGGGTTGGGGATGCGAGGGATGGGAGTAGTGTGCATGATATCAAGTAGTGCTGGCTGGCATCTAGGCCATAGTCGTATAGCAGTGTTGAAGAGGAGTGATATGACAAATTCTCTGCTTCCTTAAGATCGCCCCGTCAAGTAGCAGCAGATGCTAGCGTGGCGTGGCAATGAGCTGGCAGCATTTTTGCTGATTGTGAGGAGGAAAAGAGAAGTAGTCGGGGGCAAGTGCGATACTTATATCTCAACAACGGGGTGGAAACCGACGCGAACTGAGAGCGGTCGCTTCACTAACTTGGTCAGGAGGCCTTCACTGTGCATTGTCCGGCTGCCGCCTTGCGTCGTGAATTGAATGGACATATTGACGAAGTGGCATTCAGAGCAGGTCGAAGCGCAGGCGAAGTGTACAGCTTTGGCTGTCTGGAGGCCGCCTTGAATTGATTGACCACAGTCAAGCTAGGAAACCAGAAGGAACAAGTTGGGTCTTCGACACACATGCTTCACCTCTCTTCATCTCAGCTCAGCAGCGATACTAGCGACGATCTCATCGAGGTCCTCCTCGCCTAAGCCCAGCAGCTCCATTGCATAGCCCTCCTTCTTCCTCCAGTCCCCATCCTCCACGCCCAACGCGAATACCAAGTCCTCATTTGCCTGGTGATCGCCAGCGTCCGCCTCGACCTTCTTATCCTTGATGTATTTCTGCAAGTCATACCTCTTCAACTCCCAATTCGCCCCCGTTGCCTTCTCCAGACTAGTCACCAGCTCGTTCTGACTTACGCAAAAGCTTTGGACGAATAGCATCCGATTCGCCGTCTCGTCCTTGCCAGAGTCCTCCCTACCAGCTAACTCCAGCACAGCCACCACAGCCGTCGCATACTGCTTCAGCGTCGTAAGCGAGCTCCTGCCCTCCCCGTCATCAAAGACGTCCGTCACCCTATCCTTGAAATTCACATGCATGAAGCCCTCCCTGAGCCCCCAATCAAAGAAATGGCCTCCGACAATACTGGTCCATGTGAAGTCCGGAAATTTCTTGGTCATCTCCACGAGGTGCGCCCGAATCTCAACTTTCCGCCCAAACAACGGCACGACCTCCTGGCTCCGCGCCGCACTGGAGTCGACGCTGCCCCAGTCGGCGGGGAAGAAGCGCTGAACGCCCGCCTCAGCAGCTGCTGCGGCGAGAGCAGTGTGCGTGGCTACGTCCCGGACTGCGATGGAGATGACGACAACGTCCTGACCGGTGAGAGCGGAGACGAGGGCCTTGTGGGAGCCAGAGGCGGTGAGGTCATCTGGGATGGGGAGGACTTTGACGCGAGAATTGTCGGTGTGGGCGGGGGTGGATTTGGAGGATTTGCGCTGGAGGACAGTGATCTCGCATTGGGTGTTGGTGACGAGATGGTCGAGGAGGGGTGCGCCGAGGATGCCGTTTGCGCCGAGGAGGGCGATGCGCTTGAAGGGCGGCATGATGGTCGGCTTGGGCGATTGCGAGCAGAGCAGTGAGGACACAGCACCTACCTAGCAGTCCGGTGGGAAATGGGCCAGGGAGGACTCTGAATTATGGGTGAGGGTTCAGGTCAAGGCCGCAGCATCGTCTTGCAGTAACATCTTCTGCCTGCTTCCGTCCTCGTACTTCGCCTACACCGGCATCTCTGACGAGAACAATGATACGCCTTCTGACGCTGCTCCACTTCCGTTTGTCGCGCGAGACAGCAAGTGGCGCGGCAGTCAGTCACTGGGAGAGCGGCGCCGGTTGACAGCGAAAGTGCACTTCAAGTGATCTCAGATCACCGTAGCTATAGTCACGTGGTCGCGCTGTCGAATGCCAGTGCCAGTGGTACCTTGCCGAACGCGCAATCGAACATCACTGAAAACACGTGTATCATACCTAGGTGTCCAAGCTCACGCTGCGGCAAATTTACGACGTCGTTCGCTCCACATCACAAATCATCGATACTCTCCAGCCACGAACATGACCGAACCTACCATCAAGGACTGGTAGGACCAGGCTGCATCTGACTTCGAGCAACGATTTGCGAACCCTCCACGCATTGACAGTACAACCAGTAGCTCTCTCACCACTGCAGTCCCTTCTCCCGCCGCAAGAATGGTTGGCAAGAAGTCAGGGAAAGCCCTCCTCCGCGAGGAGGGCCTCGAGCGCACCGACAACAATATGGACTTGACGTCGTGGCCCGTCGTGCCTGCCATCAACCAGAAGAATTACTACACAGACTACCTCAAGCGCGATGAACAGATACTGGCCGTGCGGACGCAACAGGAGGAGGCTCGAGGGAAGATGGTCAAAGAGGCGAGGGAGAGGGATCGCGAGCGGGCTGGTGTGGGTCAGCAGGGCGAAGATGGGGATGTTGAGATGCGTGGTGAGGATGACGATGAAGAGGATGGCGAGGCTGAGGGAGATGTGGAGATGGATGGGACCAAGTGTATTGTGCTACATCTAGGTAGTCAGAATCTGAGAGTTGGGTTGGCGAGTAACGCGCTGCCAAAGACGGTGCCTATGGTCATCGCACGGCGAGCACCGCAAGCGGAGTCCGAGCTAGGAGATGGCGAACCGGCGCCGAAGCGTGTCAAGCTTGAGAATGGACTGTGGCCTAATGAGCCGGAGAAGCGGCTGGGAGAGGACTTTGCTAAGAAGTTTACTGGCATGAGCAATGATCTCAAAGTGAGGATGCGGGCGAATAAGCGGAAGGTGCTGCCTCAGAGCAGGGATATGGTCACCAGTCACAACCGGCGGCATACATACGACACAATCACGGAGATGAATGATACGATGAGGATCGACTGGACAGATGTGAGTGCGAAGCCTGAATACATTACGGGCATGGATGCTCTAAGAATACCGGACGAGTCGAAGCCACGGTACAGGCTTTTCTGGCCAATTCGGCATGGCTGGCTGAACGAAGCGGACTACAAGAACGCGAGATTCTTGTGGGAGGACATCAGAGTCATCCTTATGGAGGCCATCAAATCACAGATTGGCATCCAGCCGCGACAGTTCAACGAGTACAGCTGCGTGATTGCTGTGCCGGATTACTACGAACGAAACAACGTGACAGCCATGCTGGAGATGGCCTTGATCGAGTTCAACTTCTCCAAAGTCGCCTTCATCCAAGAAGGTCTTGCAGCCAGCTTTGGCGCCGGCGTCATGACAGCCTGTATTGTCGACATTGGCGACCAGAAGACGTCAATTTCCTGCATCGAAGACGGCATGATTGTCGAGAACTCCCGAGTCAACCTCAAAGTTGGCGGCAACGATATCACGAACCTCTTCGTCAAGATGATTCTGTACAATCACTTCCCATATGCAGACATCAACCTCAAGCGCCGTCACGATTACCTCCTAGCCGAAGAGCTCAAGCACAAATTGCTCACTGTCACCGAAGCTGACATATCTGTATCGATGTACGATTTCCATCTGCGCGCACCAGGGCAAGACACGAGAAAATACACCTGCAAGATCTACGATGAGGTTATCCTACCAGTGACGGCGCTCAATCGACCAGAAGTTTTCGATCATGACGGAAAGCTTACTGGCCGCAACACCCTCGTTGATCGATCTTACGACATCTACGATGGCAAGCCTAACGACCCTACAAGCTCGGCCCAGGCCGAGATCCTTAATGCAATCGCACCACCAGAAGTTCTGGCTGAGTACAAACCAAAAGCACCAGCCAACGGCATCACCAACGGCAACCTTCCCACGGTCGGTAACGACGTTGACGGTACCGACTCCCGCCGTCCATCAGTCGCTGCTCTTCCTGCCTGGAACCAGGACGGCGCCGACGCACCAACGCCACAACCTTCGCACGCCAGCTCACCCGTTCGTCAACTTGACCCGGTCAACGGCACCGGCACGCCTGCACCAGAAGACGCCTCAACCCCTCTACCAGCAGCCGAAACCGCTATCCCCTTCTTCAATAATATGGCCGTTCCCCGCCTCCCGACTCCAGAACCAGACGAGCCTCTCCCTCTCGAACGCCGCTCCGATCTCCTGCCGGTTTTCCCTCTCGTCAACGCAATCATGGTTTCGATCAATCACGCCGCCCGCGGCTCGCCTGGTCGTACGCGCGATTTCCTCGGCTCGATCTTGCTCATCGGCGGCGCGAGCACGACGGGTGGGCTAGCGACTTATATTGAGGAGCAGCTGCAAGGACAAATGGCTGGGTATAGCAAGGATGTGGTTGTTGGAAGGCCGCCAAGAGAGCTTGATGCGCAAGTGGTAGGATGGAAAGGGGCGAGCGTGTTTGCGAGGATGGGAAGGACGAATGATAGTTGGGTCACGGGAGCATTGTACGAGAGATTGGGCGAGAGGGTGTTGGGTGTGAAGTTGATGTGGCGTGGTGACGGATCAGACCAATTTTGCCACGACTGCAGCGAAGCCCAGTGCTGCTTCCACCTGCACGACCAAATACTTCCTATCCAGGAACACCTCCATCGCTGCTGCCATTTCAGAACCAATCCTCAATCCATCGAGTCTGTCAATAATCGCTTGTTTTTACGCTAACACTATTCATCCTAGCAAACAGCATCAGAGAACGAAGATCGCCTCAATGTCTTCTTTCACTCCCACGCCAACGCAAAAGCAAACAGCTCTTTGGCCATAACAAACATGATCTGCGCTGCAAAGGTATACAATCAACCATTTCATGGATTCTGCAAAAGTGCAGAGCTGTTGGCTTCTCAACACATTCATCAGCTTTGAGCTAAACACTTACTGTCGCTATGGCTGACCCGCCAGAGAAACCGAACTCGGCCCCAGATCCAGTCTTGCCTTCTCACGACACGTCTTCCAACAATACACCTACCCAAAATACGCTTGTTCACACCAGTGACCCGGCATATAACATTATCTCTGACACATGGATCGATGGCCATCGACAAGAGCATCCACGGCTCCGGCCATTTTCAGATCATGCCATTGAAAAAGCTATCCTTGCGGTTGACTTTGGGGAGCTGCAAGTTCCTGAGAGGTTCACGTTGGTGCTTCCTTCTCGAAATGTCGACATGAGCTAATATTACCCAATCAGAGATCTCGTCGAAGACACAGACCATGATGGAAATCCACGAGAACCAACCAACGCTGAGGTAGCTCAGCTGCAAGAAGCATTAGCTAGGGAGGTTCCTCACTTCAGGTACGAGAGTTTCTGGGCGTTGCTTGTGCTCTGGCAGGAGCTTCATCGAGCGAAGCGAGAACGTGGCCGTGATAGGGACTTCGGCAGTCCCTTCTCTGAAGACGAAATAGCCGACATGGAGGAGGGCAGTTCATGGCGTGCGTACTGGTCTGGCAATGCGGCTGGCTTCTGGCTGATTACATAGCCGGGTACGCGGGTACTTCAAGGACTCAGCACAGAGACGATGAAACCGACCCTGCTCACGACGCAGAGCCCTCCCAACCTCCTACACCTAGCCTACCTGCACACAACAGAACCGTCAACGATGGTCAGAACAGCAGCTCTCCTCCCTCCGGACTCGATGCGAACATCATCCCTGACGGCCAAATCACCTCCCTCCGCGCGCAGTATCCCCGCCTGCAGCAGTTCTCCGATTATGCCATCCAGGAGGTCATCAGGAGAGTTGATCTGGCTCATTTGGCTGTTCCGGCACAATTCAAGTACGTATTTCCTTCTCTTGAAGACTTAGCTTCCACGTCATGAGGCGCACGCTGACAAAATATTGCCAGCGATCTTGTTCTAGGCACAGACGCGAACGGCGCCTTCCATGAACCAACAGTCACCGAAGTATTCGAGCTTGAGGAGGCGCTCGCTGGTCAAGTCCCGGACTTTGGTCACGAGAGCTTTGGAGTGCTGATCGTGCTTTGGCAAGAGCGATCTCGAGCTCATCAATTGGTGCTGTTCCATCCCGTCGCAGATCCTCTCGACGCCACCACAACACCTCTATATGCCCCAACAACGCCACCCCAACAGCCGATCAACACACGTAATCCCGAACTCTCGCCTACTCCAACTCTCGTCAACTCTCCTGCACCCGCGGCCACCGCCACCGCCACCGCCACCGGCCACCGGACAGCCACTGCTCCTCCGCCGGGTCCAACTCGCAGCACCCGCGCCCTTAGCGGTGCCACTCTGAACAACGATCTCGTCGGTCGCGCCCGCAGCGTAGAGCCGGCTTCCACGGGTGTCTTTGCAGAGTCGGCAGCGCTTGCAACGTCGTTAAGGAGGAGACGAGCTGTCAGTGGGGAAGCAGCTATTGGTGGTAACGATGAGCACAGAACTAGGCGGAGACGACTCAGCGAGGACTTGGGACTCGGAGACGGCGGAGATGCTGCGAATGACGTCGATGATGGTGGGTCAGAGTCCGAAGGTGATGATGATAATGATGTGGCTGCTCAGGCGCGGGATACGGCTCCAGCTCCAGTCACACCCACCCATGCGCCATCCAACCTCAACACACCTACTGACATCGCACCCGCCTCGACCCCACCTACGCGCGACAGTACTTCCGACGACGCACACAGCAGCGGATCCTCCATACCCAGTATTCACACAGAGGATATTAGGGAGATCCCTGATGTTTGGATTTCGGGCAGTCGAGAGGGTTTTCCCCGTCTCCAGCGGTTTTCAGATGATGCGATCGGGGACGCCCTCGATGCCATTACCTTTGAGAGATTGGAAGTTCCTGAGGTGTTTAGGTATGTGCTCATTTTTCCGAAAATGACCATCAGGGAGGCCGCTGACGCAAATCAAACAGGGAGCTCATCGAAGGTACTGACGACAACGACGACTATCGAGACCCCACAGACGTCGAGGTAGCTCAGCTGCGAGAAGCACTAGCCGAACAACTGCCCAACTTCGATTTTGAGAGTGCCTCGGCATTGATTGTGCTTTGGCAGGAACGTCTTCGAGAGGACCGCGAACGTGAGCCTGAACGATTCAGATGGCGGAACCCGTTTGACCTGGTTGACGGTGGGTATGATGGACACGAGCACGATCGGGCGCGTTATCAGCGCTTTTATGATGCTTCGCCTGGCCCGACTTGGCGCGGTCCTTCTCCCGATGGGGAGCCCTCTGCACATACCCCTAGCACACTCGCCGATCCTCATACCCCGACAGACAACCTCTTCCAGACCCAGGATCCGAGTCCCAATGCCGACTACAGCGGTGCAACCCTCGTCGCCTCTCCCACCACTACTCCACCATTCGACCACACCGTGGCCCGTCCAGAAGATCCAGCCGATGATGCCACTTCCACCTCGCCACTCGACTACACGTTGTCCGATCTACCAAATCCGTTCGATGAGCTCACTGTTCCCAACGAGCTCGCGTTCAACAGTGACCTTGTCGGGCGCGCTGGCAGCGAAGAGCGACCTCCACCTCGCGAGACGAGGATGCTGCATGGGTATCGGCGGAGATGGCGGCTTGCAGCGGACTTTGTGGAAGTGCCCACCGTTGTCGGACCGAGATTTGAGCAGAGGAGGTACAGCAATTCGGATGAGTCATGGCTCCGAAGCGTACGGTACGGCGATGCTGCGAATGATGACGACGATGGGCCGGAGTCAGATGATGATGGTGATGTTGCTGGGGCGCTGGTCGGTCTTGGAATCTCTGGAGCTGGACTGGAAGCTATGGACACCCTGCAACCCCAGGTTGTTACCGAAGATCCTACGGTAAATGCCAGTGAATCCAGCTCTGGACCGAACATTACTGACTCATCACATGGTACGCCAACTCCTGACACTGTCATCCCTCGCAGTCCCGAGAGAAATCATCCTGCCGCTCTCTCATACGACAGCGAAGAGGAGGAGCAGCGTCAAGATCAGGACGCTGACGCAGGAACCCATCTCGAGGACCTGTGCCGACGAAATCCGGGCCTGAAGCGTCTGAAGGACTCCCTAGAACTGGAACTGGAACAGGCTGTCAAATTTACCAACCTCTTAGATGGCCGCGACTTGGATGCCGACACTTGGTCATCAGCTGTCGGACCGAGCGGACCTTCCGCCCATTATCTTGCCCTTCGAGATTTTCCCGACCTGTACAGCGGCGTCCGCGCCGAGCCGATACCAGAGGACGTCGACCGCTTTCGTCAGGTATACCGCACTTATCCTACTTCAAACGCAATTCTTCACATGTTTGATGACGCTATTGTTGCGACACTCAGGCTCTGGCAATGCTTAGAATTCGAGCGACGCGAGCATGTCACCTTCTTCATGCTTCACGCATTTCTCGAGCTTGGTTTTCCCACGTTCCGCCTTACAATTCTTGCGACTCGAGGGAAGCATCCTCGCCTCAACGAACTCGTCATCGAAGACTCGCACCTGCGACGAGCATTAGATTACACTATGGATCATAAGGCGAGATGGAAACGCCGGGCTGCTTGGAGTGGATCGAGGAGAGTTTTCGTGATCTTTTTCTGGACCTGAATACGAGGCCGCACGATGAACATGTTGACGTCTTTCGGAGAAGAGTCATTCTGCAGGGGATCTTTCGTCCAGAGACGAGCTCGGCTGGGCCCATAGACGATGGTGCGATCATCGCAACGCTGGTATACTGGCAGGAGCTGGTGAGAGAGTGCAGGGTGGGCCTCCAGCTCCGAGAGCTTCTTCAATACAGTCTGCTACAAACGAGCGTGCTGATGGCGACAACGACCCTCAGACTGCGGAGGCTGGTGGTGCGACTGTTGTTGATGCTGCGGACGAGGCTGACATTGTTGCTGGTCAAGCCATTTCTGGAGGCGGTACTTCTGACGTTGACCCAACTACCACCAATCCGCACCTTGGACAAGGCTTCGATGGCAGCGCTGATGCGCCAGATGACGATGAGAACAGCGACAGCTTTACCTTCGAGGAGGCCTTCAGGTGTGTTATGCTTGATCACAGCGATGTTGCGGACCTCGGTCGATCCAACACCTCGACAATTCAGGGCAGAAGCAATGAGGGCAACATCACGACTCGCTGGCCACAGCGGTTCGAGCCGAGCAGAACCAGCCTCCGAACCGACACAAATCCCGGTGTTGGTACTTCGAGTCGAACAAAGATGCGAAAGAGAAGAAGCATGGATCTTGGTCTGAGGATGGCGCATGGAGGCGATGCTGCAGCCGACGGGGACAATGATGCTCTTCTTAGCGCCAATGGCGCCGACGACGAACGCTTCTCGAACTTGTCCGCCGTCGCCACTGATGGAAGTGCCAACACGCCCAACACTGAGCCAGCACGACCAAACGCTGTCACCATGACTCCCCATGCCCTCGCGCTCCGGCGACGAGCATCCGGCACTACCGATCGACAAGGCCAGCAACACCGGCAAGGACAGGAACATCAACAAGAGGTCATCCTCCGTCAACAACGCCTCAACGATCATAGACACATGACTGGCCGCGAAATGCAAGTCGCTGACCGCACCCATCGGCAGATCGTCAACGGAAACCCCGGCGCGAGAGCAACACTACAACGTTCACCATTCAGCTTTCGAGAAGAATTTGGTCTCCCTTCCGGCATGCTCCGCGGGCTTGGCCACGGGCAGTTGATCAATGGAGCCCGACCTGATGGTGTGTCTCGCGACCAGGCTTCGGATGATCTTCCTCGTGCCTCGCACGGAGAGCCGCAGACTAGCGGTGGTGGAAGATCGGAGAGTGATGACATGCTTTGGTTGGAGCTCATTTCGCCTGTCGAGAATCCGGTCGTCGTTGGAAGCCGGCCAGGCGGGCTTCAAGATTCTGATGACGAGCAAATCATTTCAAACTCATCTGGAGGCGGTATGCCAGGACGTTGGCCAATGTCCGACGAGGAGGAGATCAGTCCACGTACGCGGCCTCGTCGAAATGCGCTCAGCTTGCAAGGACATCACAGTCAAGGCGATGCTGCACCCAACACGAATGGAGATGGAAGCACCGGCCGCAACAACCGACCTCGAGACGCGCAGCATTTGCCAAGAGCGACAGCTGATGGTCGCCCAGAGCCAACACAAGCTGAGATCACCTCTTTTCGACAACAAGCCGCGAGCATGCTCGAATCCGATGATCGAAGTGTTGCCAGTGTCATAATCTATCTGCGAGATCGCCGGGCGAGGCAGATGCGAGATGCGAGAATGGCTTGGGCTGCTGAAGAGCGAGAACGCCTTTCTGCCGAAACCAGAGACAGTGGAACCGCATCATCTGCTTCAGTTAAACTTGGAAGCCACTGGTACCCATCTGTGCCGGCACACGTGATCAGAGCGCGTATTGAAGTCTTGCGACAGATCCGGCGTCAAGATCCCACAGAGCCAAGTGCGCGGCGTGGCCCTACGACTGCAAGGATCGAAGAGCTGCAGTGGTTGCTGCGCAACGTCTGGCCTACTTTCTCGATCAGTCATCCACCCGTGGACCAACCGGTGCCTGTACGCACGATCGAACGCCGCATCCGAGCCCTGCGAAGCAGTCCCAATTACAACACCGAGCCCACAAGTCCGGACTCGCAGCAGTTGGCTATGCTACCGAGAATGGAAGAGCTGGAGCGGTTGTTGCAGTTTGCTGGGCATCGGGGTGGAGTGGGTGCTGCTTCTGTTCGTGAGGGTGGGCATGAGCAAGGTGAAACACAGAACATGGGGTCTGGGGCCTTGTTCGAGGAATTCGGCGAAGGTATGATGCGAGATTGAGGATTGACTTGGTGGATTCATGGCTGCTGTGTCAAACTCGGGCCGGGGAGGGCTTCGATACCAAATTGACGAAGTGAATGTAGTGAGGAAATGCTCAAGAGTGTCAATATGGTGAGCGATTATTACTGCGGCGAACTCACTCCCACTGCTCACAGCCCGCTCAGTCTGGATTGAAGCGGGGTGTATCTCGTTTCTCGTAAGCTTTTTACATACTGACGGGCCGACATGGTCTACTCGTTTCCCAGGGGCCCACTCAGCTCGAGCAACTACACTGCATCGCCCTCTGAAACCTCGGCACATCACCACAGAACCTCTTCTCCTCATCCGCATTCCAGCCCCAACCATCCTCAAACGGCTTATCGACCATAGTATGATCCCTCCAAGAATGTCCCGATCGCCCTGCTTCTCAACACGCTGAATCACCTCATCCAGAATCCATCCTCGAGGCACGAAGTTCGGATTGACTTTGTTCATTGCTTCTTGGCGCTCTGCATCAGCTGAAGTATGCTCACCCCAATCTTCTGCTATCCTCGCGCGCCATGACTCTAGCCATGAAGCGACCTTAGCTGACGCCGAGGCACGGTCCTCGTTGAGGCCAGTGACGCCTTCCGCGTGGAAGAAGCGTGTTGCCGTCTCTTTGCGCCTTTCTTCTGTGCTAACGTCCTCGAGTGAGACGGTTGAGAGGCGGCGGAAGAAGTGGTTGAAGTCGAGTTCCAATGCCTCCATCGTGTCTAGCAGGTTTGAGTACAGCTTCTCGAAATCTGATTCGCTTTGCGTTTTGAGGCCTAGCCGAGCGGCCATCAATCGCTTGTACTCGCTCATGAAGACTGCTTTGTACTCGTCGCCCGTCGAGTCGATGATGTGCTCGGCTCGCTTGATGAGGATGGGCGCAAAGTCCTCCTCGACGCCTTTCGTGACGAATGTCTCCTGGTCTGTCCGGTCACCTGCACCGAGTAGCTCGCCGAGTGCTTCGCCTAGCCTGACCAGATTCCACCAGATGATGCTTGGTTGCGAGCGGTAGCTGTACCGAAGCATGTGATCGTCGTGGTTGGGTGTATATGCTGGGTCGAAGTTGTCCATGAACGCGAACGGGCCGTAGTCGATAGACAGCCCGAAGATGGACGTGTTGTCAGTGTTGAGCACGCCATTCATGAAGCCGTAGGCGCCATGCCGCTACCGTTTTGGCGTTGCGTCGTGCTATCTCGCGGTATAGTCGAGCGAATCGATTTTCCTCTTGACCTTCCGGTCCTTGCAGCTCGTCATTCCGCACATTTCGGGGTGGGTCTATGTGGCTGATCCGCCTTCTTTGATCTCGACGCGTGCCGGGAGTTTGTCCCATCCACCAAAGGCTTGTTCCGCAACGTAAGTGGCAGTCCTCCGAATCAGACCGCGGTCGCCTCTCGACCGCATCAAATCAAACGTCCCGAACCTGAGCCACGACTGCGCGAAGCGGCAAACGATTGCGCCAGGTTCGACACGTTCACGAGAGACCTGAGACTTCGGACATAATGTGAGTGACAGAGCGCGCGTCGTGGGTATTCCCAACGCGTTGAGGTATTCTGAGACGACAAATTCCCGGATACTCGACCTCAACACTGCCTTGCCATCTGCGAAGCGGCTATACGGTGTCTTGCCCGCACCCTTCAGCTGCCATTCATACCGGACGCCAGTGTCTGGGTTTGTGCCTTCGAACAGGGAAATAGCACGGCCATCACCCAGTTGGCCAGCCCAGGACCCGAATTGGAAGCCGCCATAGCACTGCGCCCATGGATATACGCCGCCATTTTTCTCGTCCCAGAAGACCTTGTTGCCCGCAACGACCTCTTTGAGAAGGTCTGAGCTCGCTTCTGATTCAGAGAGGCCAAGATCCTTCAGCGCCCGCTTGCTGACAGCGAGCAGTTCTGGCTCTTCTGTAGGCTCGGGACGGACGTAGGTATACAATGCTTCCTTCACCATTCGCGGGCCCAGCCTCTCTCGCGGAGCAGCATGTGACGCTTCTGGGGTCGGGTATTGCGAGTCTGGTGGCAAGTTCGATGTGAAGACGTTCGACTTGGGGAGTTTGTCCAGCGTCGTGCCAGAGTGTATGCCATTACTGTGGCCATTGGCCATATGGTTCGCCATCTGGGATAAGCGCATGCGAGTTGGGGAATTCAGGGAACGGTTGAGGCGTGTCAAGAACATATAGATGAGAGAAAGAATCTATCAGGACTCGAACATTCTGTACGTCTATGTACTTCCATTTCTCCGCAGTGCGTGAGCGGCAAAGGCGAGTCGTTGTCTGCATAATCGTCGCATAACATGTCCGAGGAGGATGATGTAAATCTGACGCCATTGAAGGCATTTACGAGTCGGATCGACCGTATCGCTGCCGGATGCATTGCTTGCTTCCCGCTTCACCCTACTTATAGCGTGACTTCCTCCGTTTCGCATCGGTTGAGGAGAGTCCAATGTACCAGGTCTAGTCAGGACGCAAACTGTTTCAATGCTATGTGGTCCTCCGACCTAGAGGCTACCAGCAAGGTGGCCGACCTGGGACAGTATATCGAGCAATGCTACACCACTAGTCGGTATCCGAGCATTCAACGCGTGTTCGACTACGGGCACACTCACCACCGGCGACTGCTCAAGCAAGGTCAGACAAACCGGATTTTGCTATGCCCTGGCTCCTTCAATCCACCACATCTTGGCCACGAAGCACTCCTGCGCCAGGCTTATGAGACTGGTGAAGACATCAACATCATCGCCGCCATCGTGCTCCCCTTAGACGACGAATCTGTGGAACGAAAGTGCAGGGCTAGCGGCTTCGTCCTCTCCAAGAAGCAGAGAGTTCGCTTATGGCGAGGAGATCACGTCCCACACGACTGGCGGTGGGTGTATGATCGCACCTTGGATGATGAATGGCATGATTTCCGCCAACGTCTGACAGACGCTCTCGCAGAGGATGGATTCGACGTGGAATTCGTAGCCTTGTGCGGACCATTTCGAGCTACTCAAGCTCCAATACCGACAGTGCCATGTATCGTACAGCCGAACCTAGACATTTTCTTTCTGTTGTTCGTCTATTGTTAGGTGTTCTGATACGTACTTTGAATCCTCATTATCTGTATGTCTGGGAGCGTGAACATCGTCTTGGAGCCTAGCTGCAACGATTCCAGCTGCAACCTTGACTGGCGACAGACAGTTTTTGCTGTCGCGAAAGATCTGATCAACTTCCTCCAAGTGAAGATTGTTCGTTTCGGGGAAGAATAGGTAGACACCTGCGGTCACAAAAGGTTAGTGGGATTCGTGTACAGGGTTCAAGCCTGGTTGAACATACTGGGCAAGATCATAAACAGGTTTGTGCATGCATAAACAATGTAGTAGCGCCAGCCAATCGTTGCAAAAGCTACTGGTGTAATCTCCGCCACAAGAAAGCTGTAGTTCAGGTTAGCAAAATGTACATCCCGAGGCTGACGCACTCACTTGAAGATCCAGGCGCTACCTGTACTCATCGCGGTGATCGGGACTCGAGCCATTAGCGGGCTGATCTCGCTGGCGTAAAGGAAGGTCAAGCCGAGAAAGCCGACGGGGAAGAAGAGACTGAAGAGGAATATGAAAGCCACAGCAACACCGACACAAGCCACGTGGTCTTTTTGTGATGTAGTCCCGGCCACAATGGCCATACACGAACCCATGCCTAGTGCTGACACCATCATCAGCTTGCGCCTGCCAACTCTGTCTACCAAGAGGACGCCAATCGGTGCGCAACAGGTCTGGAAAGTAAAGACGCTAGCGCTCAGGATGCGCGCGATTGTGGCTCCTAGACCAAGATACCGCTTGTAGATGGTGGTCTGATAGAACGCGAGTGCGTTGATACCGCTCATCTGCTGGAAAAACTGGCCTGCGCAGCAGGATCGTCCGATTCAGCAGCCGCAGTTCGCCATGTCGAAAAAGATCCATAAAGTGGAATTTGCCGTCTCTTTCGAGAGAATCCGATATCTCGCGAAGGTCGATCTCAACTTGTGGATCTGCTATGCTGAGTCCGTCCAATATTGCAAGCACCTCACGGGCCTCCTCACTTCTTCCTCTGAGCACAAGCCAGCGAGGAGATTCTGGCAGTCTGGCTGATCCACAAATAACAAGTAGTGCCCAAAATGCACTCATGGCAAGAGGCATTCTCCAGCTGGCTGAACTTGTTACGAATGACATGCCGAGGTTTATCCATCCTGACAATGCAAGTCCGGCACTGATGAAGACGCTCTCAAGAATGACTGTGGCCCCACGATGACTGGACTTGGAACACTCACTCTGCCAATTAGGTGCAGTAGCTGAGAGCGCACCAAAGCCAAGTCCGGTAACCAGTCTACCAATTATCAATTGGCTAAGAGAGAAAGATGTAGCCTGGAGTGCTGTTCCAATGATATCGATCAATGCTCCTAGTTGAATACAACGGATGCGGCCCAGACGGTCTCCAAAGAAGATGCAGCCAAGAGCACCAAAAAAGGCGCCCAGCGTATATATGGCTACAACCGTTCCTTGAACAGTTGAATTGTCCGTGTGTTGTTGTCCAGTGGTGTTGACGGTATCAATCCTTGGGAAGGTACTCGTCCATGACGGAAGCTCAAGTAGAGGACCAGTTACGGCATTGTTCCAACCAAATAAGATGTATGCAGGTAGAATGACTGCCCATACTTGTGCTGAGCGCAGTGCATTTCCACTAAGGCCGAGGAGATATGATCGAGGCATCCCGAGGGCGATATTGTGCAAGTGATATAGGAGGATGGGCGTTGACGAGGATCCATGTCGGTTAATATACTAGAGGCCGCTGTATAGATCTGGCTGTGGATCCTGTCGGACTTGCCGATATGCCCATGTTAAGCTTCGATTGACGGAATTACCGACGCTTATCGCTTGAATCCGGTCTTTGCGAGGAGGATCATAAAGGTGAGGAAATGGCTTCAGTTGAAACCTGGAATCTTCTCGTCAGTCTCACCTAAAGCATGGCTACCAGAACGCTCGCACACTGGGCTGTTAGTCTCAACGATATACCGTGCTCAACACGGAGCGCAGCCGTGAAGTCACTGTACAACTACATTGGGTGCGCCATCGGTGGCTCCAACCACCCAACGACGAAGAAAGCGCGAGATGCATTGTCTCCGTTCTTTGGCAAACCGACGTCAACCTTGCTGGGGGCGCAGTCTCCTTGTTTCAGCAAGGCCGACCCACAACATGCCGCGTTACTGAATGGCATCGCTTCACATGTGCACGATTACGATGACACGCACCTCGCAACAATCATTCATCCAGCCGGACCCATTGCATCTGCGCTCCTAGCCTGGGCCGAGTGCCAAGGAGGAGTCAGTGGTCAAGCAATGATAGTTGCATTGGTGATAGGCATCGAGACAAGCTGCAAGCTGGGGCGAGCGATCTGGCCACACCATTACGACATTGGTTGGCATATTACTTCAACCACAGGAGCGATAGGAGCTGCAGTTGCTGTTGGGAAGCTCATGGAGCTGGATGACGAGCAAATGATGCACGCTATCGGTCTAGCGTCCGTACAAGTTGTGGGCCTTCGCGAAATGTTTGGCAGTGATACCAAATCGTTCCATCCTGGCCGCGCAGCTTCGAGTGGCTTGCTGGCGGCATTGCTGGCTCAAAAAGGCTACACCAGCTCCGAGAAAGCGCTCGAGGCCAAGCGTGGATGGGCTAACGTTGTTGCTGGTGGTGGTGTACCACGGTTGGATGACCTACTTGCAAGCTTAGGGCAGACATGGGAGGTTGAAGCGAACTCTTTCAAGCCTTTTCCTTGTGGAATTGTTTGTCACCCAGCTATCGACGCTGCAGTCCAGTGTCACCACGAACTGCGATCGAAAAGCCCCGCTTTGCCGCTAGAAAATATCGAAGCGGTCGAGCTGCGAGTCCATCCTCTCGTAGTAGAACTGACCTCAAAAGAAAACCCACAGGACGGTCTTGAGAGCAAGTTTTCTGTTTTTCATGGCTGCGCCGTCGGATTGCTGTCTGGAAAGGCGGGTCCAGCGCAGTACGCTGACGATGTGGTCACCAGCAGAGAAGTGATTGCGATGCGAGAGAAGGTCAAGATCATCTCGGATGATTCTCTTCTTGCAGATGAAGTGCATCTCTCGTTGAGACATCAGAGAGGGATGGTCATCGAGAAGCACGTAGCTCATGCCATCGGGTCGGCGCACGTGCCAATGACTGGACAGCAGCTGACGGATAAATTTGTGGATCAGACTTCACTGGTCCTTGGCGCTGATGGGGCGAAAGCAGCAAGTGATGCAGCGTGGACGATCGCCGAGGTGGACAGTGTCGAGACGGTCTTTCCGATGTTCCGAGGCCGCCCGCGGGGAACTGCCAGGTAGATAGACTTTGGTAAATATGGTGGTGCCATGGCGCAGTCGAGAGGGTGAAGAGGTTCGGATAGTTGCGTCGGCAAATCCGATAAACACGAGGCTGACCTTTCAAGTAGATTTGGTCCCTTCCTTTGATCAGAACGTCTACGAGGAGCTTCAACAAAGTTCCACCCTCCTGTAGCAGAATTTGGGCAGCATCCGACGAGTTTTGGGCGGTATGTCCGACCAGCCGCCTAAGAAGAAAGCTCGCAGTGCCACTGCATGTCAGAGATGCAAAGGACGCAAGCAACGTTGCGACAACGGTTTTCCAGCCTGTGCGAATTGTGTCTCTGCAGATTCTGATTGTTTCTACGAGCACAGTCTATACCCAGAGCACTACGTGCGAACATTGAGAGATCGACTCACTGCTCTCGAAGCTCAATCTCGAGACGGGCATACATGTGATGTGAGTGCTGCTGAGATTCCCCAACCTCAGTGGTCGGGCACTCAGTTGAACAGCGGTATAACGGAACCCTCTCCCGCCGCTTCTGGGGTGCGCGGGCAGGATACCGAGGCGGCATTTAGCATGCTGTCGGATAACCCGTCTTTCCTGGGAACAGCAAGTGGCTTTTCTTTGGCTCGAACAGTACGTGCTGCGATCGGCATAAGCGACAAAAATCAAAGCCATGCCCCGAATAGGGCGACTGGTGCCAAACCCGTCGAAACAGCTTCGCACTCGAATGTCCCTAAGTCAGAAAGCCTTGCAACCCTTGCAGGTTTTCTGAACGCATATCTGACCAAAATTCATCCAAAGCACTCGTTCTTGCCACCAATACGCCTTCAGCGCCTCCACGAGTCTTACATCGGAAGACGATCGGATACGTCGCTATCCAAGAACAGCCAGAATGACATCTCTGCTAGGTGCGATCAATTTGTTCTTCACATGGTATACGCCATTGGTGCCCGGTATCTTCAGCTATCACATGACCAAGATCAAGGCAGCTCTGAGGCGCATTATGCCACTGCTCTGCAAGACATCGACTGCCTCTTTCAGTCGCGCAGCTTGAGTTCCATCGAAGGCATGGTTCTGCTCATCATTTTTCAGCTGCGTTCACCCAGTCACCCCGGGGTATGGTCCATACTAGGCATGGCATTGCGACATGCGGTGGGTATGGGTTTGCACCGACACTACGTTGGACAAAGCCATCATATAGATCAGCGGAGGAGACGGATCTTCTGGACGTTGTACATGCTTGATCGTTCTATCGCACGCACACTCGGTCGTCCTGTCGGTATCTCGGATCGTGACATCGATGTCAAGCTTCCAGCAAACATTGACATCGATATAGAAGATGATGAAGAAATAGGGGCTGCACTACGACGAGATCCAGGAGCCACTCCAATGTCTGCTGCGATACACATCCTTCGCCTGTCTCAAATCGAATCCAAGATATACTGCACCATTTACCGGGTTGATCAACCACCCGCTGATCAGGCTGGTAGAAAGGTTCTCCAGTTGCGGCGCCTGCTCGACGAGTGGAAAGACGACATCGCCGCGATGGTTCCAAACACGAGCGAGGACGAAGACACACCAAACTACTACATCAAACGAAGTTACCACATCCTACAGTATCACAGAGCCATTCTGCTACTCTTGTTGCCTCAGCTACCGCAGCTATCCCCTGCGAGTCAGGACTTTCAGCTTTGCATGTCTTCGGCTGGAGCGGTTGGACAGCTTTATAAGAAGCTACACGATAGTCAGAGCCACCTATCATATTCCCTGATCGCGCTGCACGCCACCTTTGTTGCTGGCCTAACCCTCATCTACTGCTTCCTCGCCGATACCAGTGTCTACAACCTCAAGCTCAGTAGCGACATTCGTGCTTGCAGCACGATTCTCTATGTCATATCCGAGAGATGGTCAAGCGCAAGGGAGATACGTGATGCCTTCGAGCGCATCATCGCTAACACAATCGAAAAGTCTGTTGTCGACTTACCACTGTCGCCCTTGCATAACGACTCCATGGGCCAGGCACACGGAACCGAAGCCCTCAACGCATCGCTCCCAGATGATCAAGTATCGGATACAACCAAGGTTTTCTGGTCAGAACTAGCAACAATCGGTCATAGCCAGAAGGACATGCACCAGCTGCCTGCAGACTCGCTAGACACAAGTATGTCGATCAGTCAAACCGAAAATATCTGGAACTCGTTGGAGCCTTGGTTTGGCGAATATGAGGATCTTTGGTTAAGCAACTGCACGAACACGGACTTGGATTTTTTCTGAGGTAAATAGTGTCTTACCCACGTATACTACCTAAATTTAGAACAAGATATTTTGTGAAGTCGCAGTACAGTCGTTGGTGAGTGAATGGGACAGGCTGCGCAGACTTTAGTCTTTGGTCTGTTTGATGACTGTCTTATCTTTGATGCCCTGTCATCTCGTAGAAGGAGGCAGGGGTAGAGAGGCAAGTAGGTAAAGGTGACCTTATACTAAAAGCAAGTGAGTGTTATAAACCACTCTGTAACATCGGGTTCAAATGGGTTTAGCAGCTGAGGCATAGTAACAGACCAATGCAGCGGACCCGAGTAAACGAGTATAGTAGCAACTGTGGAATCACTGGTGTTACAGCACTATAGAGCAGTGCTGTTAACAAAGTAAAGTACAATAGTTCTATCTAGGGCCAGAACGAAGCGTTCCCGATATACTTGCAAGAGATCATAATTAAGGTACACCTTGAACTTTTCCTGAGCAGGAGGCAGCTGTCAATATGAACGAGGTGAAAGAAGACCATATCGGCTATACTGAGCCTACCACCCCTGCTGCCTCGGACATAAAGAACAGCGAGCTCGGAGCTGCACCCAAGCCATTGCCCAAACCCCTCCAGAAGTTACAGCATGCAGAGCTCATATCCCGATGATGTCCGCAAGAGGGTTGGCGGCATCAACGTCGTTATTGTCCTCATCATGCACTTACTCCCGCTTCTGGGTCTGGAAGACTCCCACTCGAAGTTCTTCCTCGTTCTCGACAAGCAGTGAGGTCGAGCACTGAAGCTGATAACCTGCGAAGAGGCCGACTCGCCTGTTCGCGATGCATTTTGCCCGGCAACGAGCGAAAACCCTTTCGGCCTTGGCATATTACTTGGGTCGCAATTGTACACATCGTTGGGATGCATGTGGACCGGACGTCTTCCGTCGCTTGGTTGTTTTGCAGTTCTCGAGCCCAACCCTCGTCCTACATTCTCGCGACCATTTCACTTGGCCATCCGCTGAAGCACTGGCTGCAGTGAACATGGATGATACTGATGCAGACAAATCGGTGATTGTGCCGCTCGAATTCACTGCTGACGACCATGATGAGATCTCGGACATCGTTGACCAGATGCAGGAGCTGGGCGTCAGTCGAACTGTCGACATAACACAAGTCGTCGTTCACAGCAACCGAAACTCCGGTAGGCAGTCCATCTCTCTTTCCAGACCCTGACTGATGGATGAAAGGGCAAAGCTCAACATTCATAACATCGCGGAGCAAAGATATACTCGACGAACTCCTTTAAAAGTACCCTTCCGAGATGATGTGCAGTAGTCGGCTAGAGAGCTACGTATCGGATCCCACGTCAGAAGCGGCATTGGGTCGCTTGCGCAGTATGAAGTCGGCACTGTCCAAAGCCATCATGAGGTCGGGCAAGTCACCTAAGCGCCGGAGCCTTCGTCACCTCGAAAAGGAAATCAGTGGGGAGATAGATAAGTCATGCTCAGCTGCGGAGGGTGGCCAAGATCGTGTGTTCGAGCTCGTCGACAGCTTCATCAAAGCAGGCGTGTGGGACACAGACGGTCTCCGTTGATTGAGACTGGGCTACACACTTGATGCGGGAGCATGAGATATGGAGCGCACAAAGAAGAACGGAATGCCAGTTCACGATTCTCCCGTCAACGAAGCTTGAAGTTTGGTATGCCACATGCCGTCCAACGCCAACGCTGACTGCAAATGCCCAATGCTAATGCTCACTCAAATCGTCTCTATGCTACCCTTCAAAGTTTTTCACACCACAACCAAATCCCTAGACCATGTCCTTCTCTTTCCAATCCGAGCTGCCACTTCCACTCACCGTCACAGATGGCACATTCGCATCTTTTGATTGCTCATTGACAATTCCAGTCTCTTTCTCCAGAGCACCGCCACCAGCCTCACTACTCGGCCTCGACTCCCCGTCCGTATCCTCTACGTCTTCCCTACCCTTCCCCTCTATCAACACCCTCCTCCTCTCTTCCCTTTCAATCCTCTCCAACGCCTTCTTCTTCTTCCTCTCCTGCCGCTCCTCCTCCTCCCTCATCTCCCTGATCAGCGTCGACTTCAATCTGAGCTTCCCTCCATACCTATAAAAGATAAACGGAATCGGCAGAATCAGTATCTCCAGCCCACCCAACAACGTCCCGGCCCAATTCGGCCCCAACGCCCTATACAGCGCCGGCCCCGCCAGCGGCAGCGTACCACCCATGAAACTCCTCACCACCGCATTGCCCGCCATCGCGCTCGCTGCATAGATCCCATACGAATGCACCAAATAGTTACTCGCATAGATAAACACCGCCCCATTCCCCGCCCCAAACGGTATCCCCGCAGCTATACTAGCATACGGACTAATACTAGTCGGATAGCACGTCCACGCGAACCACAGCTCCCCGACCGGGATCAACACAGCCGCGATGCAGACGACACTCATCATGCTTTCGGGCGGTACCTCGCCGGTAACAGGGTCTGGTTTGTGGCGCTCGATCATGAGACGGATGGGTTTGGCGCAGCAGATGGTGATCATGGTGCCGATGCCGATGCCGAGGAAGGAGAGGCCGGACATGCCGATTGACCAGCCGCGTTCTTGGACGAAGACGATTGGGTAGGCTACGAAGCAGAGGTAGAGGATTCCTGTGGGAGACAGTCAGCCACGGGCTCTATGGCAGCCGTACGGGTGTGAACGTGGCCAAAAAGTCTGCCGAGAGAAGTGAGCACTCACCATAAATGATCGCGATATACACGTTCCAGAAAATGCAAATCGGCTCCTTCACCGCCATGACGAAAGGTCGGCTCAAATTGACCCTCATCAGCTCTCCAAAGCCCACGCGCACGTCGTACCTGCTCCAATAGCTGTCGTCGCCTGTCTCTTTCCGCTTCTTCGCTGCCATCTTTTGCAGGAGAGTGGGCTTGTACGTCTCGGGAATGATGACCATCATTAGGAAGGCAGCGCCTCCGCCGATCATGACGACCCAGTTGGCCCAGCGCCAGCCTTTTTCTTGGGTTGTAAAGCCGCCGATTAGTGGGCTGAAGGAGCTTGTCAGCACGAGAAAAGCAAAGAGACTGATATTGCATACCCAAACACAGGCCCATTCATCGGCCCGATACTCCAAATACTGAACGCCGTCGCCCTATATTTATCGCTGATCACATCTCCAACCGTTCCCGGTGCATTCGCAATCATCGACGCTCCCGCACACGCCCCAAAGAACCGCACGACAATAATCGTCGTGATGTCCTTCGCCAATGCGCACGGAATGACCAGCACAACGAAGACGAACATCGCGATCGCATAGACTGGCTTCCTACCGTACGTCTCAGAGATAGGTGCGAGGACAAGGCTGCCGCAAGCCAGACCTATCAGGTAAGTCGTCACACCGAGCGTCGTGATAGCGTCATCGGTAATGTTGAACTCCTCGCTCATGGCGGCGATGGCGGCGGTGTAGGAGGTCGAGTAGAGCACGACGATTAGAGTGCTGTACGAGATCGAGAACATGACGAGGGCTTTGTACCATAATGCCCAATTTCGGGGATCTCGGGGATCGTCGACTTCGAAATCGATTTCGTATGCTGGATCGAGGGTCATGGTCGTGCCCGCTGTGGTGACTCGGGTCAATTGTCGGGATACGGGCGGCCGAGATACCCGTGACGACACTGGCGTGAGTGCCTTGGTGTCTGATGCAAAGGCATACTGTTCGTGGAGGGCGGAGGTGGGTGTGATGTCGCTTGAGGACGATGAGGAGTCGGATGAACGACGCCTGGGTACTGAGACGTGCGAATAGCACTTCTCAATGCCGGGAAAGTCCATGGTAGTGATGGCGGCGGTGGTGGTGCTATCGTATTGAGCACATTGGATGTTGTTGGTGGTCTATTTGCGAACCCGAGCAGAAGTCAATCGCGTCCCGTCGCCGCCGAATTGATGTTGTTGATGTCGTTGGTGTCAAAAAGTATGTCACTTGGCTCTGGATTCGGATGTGTGTTATACCGAGGTACCCAAGTCGATGATGCGACTCGACTGATCTGGCAGCAAATACGTGTGGAGTTGCGAACACGCTTATGACCTCGTGTGAATTGTCTCAGATGCTCCTGTGTATAAGTGGCCACTCTTCCGAATATACGGTGCACAATAGAAGGAGGGGTTCGAAAATGAAAAAGAACATCCTGTGAGGTCAGGATTGGCTTAAAGCCGAGAGTATAGCCTACTTTTCTTGCGGTGAAAATACTATCTTCCAATTGATGGGAAAGACGGGAGCCAAAGAACGGCTGCATGATCTTCTTAGCTAGCTGGCAAAGCATTTTCAAGGGACCAGGGCATTGTGGGGGGCGACCCGGAAGATGGTGCCGAGCGCGCAACATTGAATTTACAGCCGAGCGCCAGCTCGATGAACGAACGTGCTCATGCGGCGGCGATGAGCCAGCTCGGTGGAGCAGGAACAGTATTTCGACGGAGACCTGTCCATGGCGAGTGCGTAACCAGTAATGCGCAACATCGTCGCCATGTCGACGGAAGCACAGCAGCGGAAATGTTCCATCGTTGGAAGTTGAGTTTAGTGGGGTTCGTGACAGGGCGGCAGCACGGTGCACTGCGATTTCAATCTCGACCTGAAGAGCGACACGACCATAAAATGCCGCGTCTCTCGCAGAATGAACGAAATGGTTCGCAAGCCGCAAACGGCTCGTTCAGGCACCCTGCCCCTCGCTTCGACATTGTATCTAGGGTGCGGTGAACGACGCAATCGGTACCGAGGGCCTCTGCGCAGAAGTGCGTGTGTGGCTTAGGAAATTAATTAATGTTGGCGGTGCATTGCATCTCATTTTTGGATGGTCAAAGCATTGTTTGAACTGGACGCCAGCCGCGAACAAAATGCTCCATGGCCATGTGGCAAGTGTTTACGACGACGGCGGTGAGATGTCGTTGTTGTGGATGAGGTGAAAGAACCTCGCGATTGCCCGCTCGGAAGTTCCGTGTGGGGCTTCTCCTGGCGCCGCCGCGCGATAGTAGATCACGTGACTGATTCTGATATCGCACACGTAAGGTCTGCTGAAAGCATCCGAACAGCGATGAGCTTCAGACGATGCTTGGAGAGCTCTCGACAGCGTCGAATCGCTCGTAGGACATAGTCGAGCGACGGTTCTGTGGTCGCAACGGCTTCGCTGGCGGTTGCACGACCAGAGCACCTTTCCAGACAGCTAGGCCGCAACGGAGGAAAGCAACGCCGCAGCGTCCATGTGCGATGATTGTGCCATTTACCTTGGTCATTTCGAGTGAGCCAGTCGTCGTGTTTATCGGTGTCGGCGCTATGACAAGCTGTGCCGAGTGTCTTGCTTTTCGGTCCGGCACCATACATCAACTGCATTTAGGTAGTCGTGACATATCTTGGTGACCAGATGGCGCGATGTATGAAGCCAAAGCTTGATTGCTGTATGGATTCCTATGGCTCCTCATGTGCTATGACTCGGGTCTCGGCGGAGGCAAAAGATTCTGAAGCTGATCGCGATTCGAAGCCTTTCGCTTCAGCGAAGACGGTTATGCAGCAGATACAGTGGCACTTTAGTTTGTCGTAAGATTTTTGTCGAGGAAAACTATGACGCACCGGAACCTCCCCTCAACACTCCAATAAGCTCACTGGTCGATTGGCGCGTCTTCTGAACATCCTCCTTCCACTCCAACTTGCTATTCAATGCCTCAATCGCCCAACGATCCCGGAAACTTCCCATGATACCCAATTGAGCCAAAACTGTATCAGCCACCTGATCACCACCATCAAGATGGACTGCTCCAACGATCGCCTGCACAGTCCTCGCCATCCTCATCGCCGAGAGCGGTGGCGAGGTTTGCTGTGAAGTCAGCACGAACTGGTCTAATCCATTCGCGAACCCGACTTTGCTAAGTGGCGCTTCCGTAAGAAGTTGCTCATGCATTGGAGAGAGGAACCCTGTAGGACGACCCAAGGGAAACGTCAGCCTAATCTTTGCACTTGCGTCTTCGATCACATCATCTGGCAAACCGCTCCAGCATATCGACACATATTTACCGTGCATTCCTCGAGGGCCACTTACTCTTCGGTAACTTCGTGTCCCACCACCGACGCGCTACTCTGCATCGCATGAGACTATCCCCATAAGCAGCCAGCCTCTCATGCTCCGGCAGAAATTGGCCTTTGAATAATACCCGCTTTGCCACTGTACCATTCAGCGCCTCCGCAAGCAATCTGGGGTCCTTGAATTTGTATTTCAGCACCCGCCACGATTGACATTCATGAACGGCTGTTTCGAGATCGTGAAGGGCCTGGTTGAGAGATTTTTGAACCTCGCGTGTCAAAGGGCCGATGAAGGGGACCGGAGGGAGACCGCGCATTCCCTGGCTGCACGATGAGAGTACCGAAAGGACCTGTTGCACGCTGATGATGAATCAGATGTGGTATCTGTCGTCTGCTGCCCAGAAGTGGAAGCTAGGCCAATCGCGCGTACAATGAAAACACCCACCTATCTCCGGCACCTCAAGTGACGTAAATGCTTGGCGTTTGGCATCGCTAGATCTACTGCAGACATTGGCTCCTCTCGCACGACTACTGGCATGTGTAAGATGGCGCCGTTCAAATACGTCTGAGCAACTCAAGGACGTCAAAACCAAGCTCTTCTGCTTCTTCACAGCACGCTCTGCCAAGAACCCTCTACGCTCAGGTCGAGGCATACCATCAACTTTTCCCCTTCTGGCGCTCCACGTATTGGTTCAGCACGACCTTCAGAATATCTCTGCAAGTTCCACCATGATGATACACTGCCTTTCCCTTTTTGAGCTATGGCGAGCATTGTGGTCGAGTGGAATGGTGGTGAACGCGGCGCTGTCGTCAATTGCTGATTTGGCAAAATGCTAGACATATCCGGTGGCAAAGCTACTGGAGACATTTTGGGGTGATACCGTTCACCTCATTCTCTATACACCGGTCCATTCCTATTCCTGGGACAACAGCTTTGGCGCTACGTCCCACACTCAAGCCCGACGATGCACAGAAGATGTTAGCTTCCCTCTATCCAACACAAATTCATCCATGATTTCAGTGGCCTTGATCTTCCCCTGTGAAGATTTTGACAGCTTTGATGGTCGTCCACTCTGCTAACGCCTCTTCTCCACCGTCTCGACCGAACCCGCTCTGCTTGTACCCACCAAAGGGCATATTGGCACTAAGCAGCCCCCAGGCATTGACCTTACAACGTCAGCAATGACAGATTTCGTGCGGAAGGGCAAGCTTCTCACTGTGACCTGGCCGCTCTCCAGAGCACTTGCTACCTGGTGAGCGCGGGCGAGACTCGTGGTGAATATGGCTGCAGAGAGGCCATATTCAGTGTCATTGGCTTTATCGACGACTTCCTGCACAGTATGGAATCTGGCAATTGCCTGCGCATCGGTCAGAATCTTGGCAACTTCGGATCTGGAGGGTAGGCTCACCGCAACAGGCCCGAAAATCTCTTCCGTCATGATTGTGGCGGTCTCGGGCACGTCTGAGAAAGCTGTTGTGGTCACAGAGTTCTCGACACAATTCCCACCACGTAGCAGCGTGGCTTCTTTTCTTCCCTGCTCAATGTATGCCGCCACCTTTGCAAGCTGTGTAGAACTGATAATTGGTCCTTTTGTGGTCTTCTCCAGAAGCGGGTCCCCTAGCACAGCCTGACTCGTCTCCTTGACAAAGGCTTCACAGAACGCATCGTAGACTTTGTCTTGAACATATATCCGCGATCCAGCCAGGCAGACCTACGGGACAACATCAGCGGCCTTCAATCTGCGGTTATCTTACCGGGTTAAAACCTACCTGTCCTTCAACGGCGGTAATTCCCCTTGCTGCCCATATGGCCGTCTGATTCACGTCTGCATCATCGAAGACTATTGTTGGACTTTTGCCTCCCAGCTCCAGTGCGACTTTCTTCAGGTTGGAAGACGCAGCATCGTGCAAGATTTGTCGTCCTACCGCGGTAGATCCTGTAAACGAGATTTTGCGTACATGAGCGTGCTGTGCCAGGGCTTTGCCTGCTATGTTTCCAATTCCAGGCACCACATTGAGGACTCCGTTGGGGAATCCGGCCTCCCGCGCGAGCTTTCCAAGATACATTGGCCCTAGGGGCGCAAGTTCTGCTGGCTTGAGTATCAAAGTATTCCCCGTAGTCAGCGCTTGCGCAACTTTCCAGGTTGAGATCAAGCTATCCCAAGTCAGCCGATAGAGTCCGTAAAGCAGCATCGCATACAGCGACTAAGGCTTACAGGGGCGAGTTCCATGGAGTGATTGCCGCTGTCACGCCCAGAGGCTCCCTCCGAGTGTAGGCCATTCCAGCCACCTTACCACCTTCCACAACCGCCGTTGATCGGCCATCCAGCTTATCAGCCCAGCCAGCGAAGTAGCGAAGCCACTCAACAGCAAGCGGCACAGTGAAATACTTTCCAGCGGTGTAGAGCGCCCCAACGTCCAGCGACTCGATGCTGGCAAGGATGTCTGTGTCCCTGACCATGAGATCTGCAAGTCGATTGAGAAGATCACGACGCGTGGCCGGCGCAGTGTCCCTCCAAGTGGCTTTGTATGCTTGCAAAGACGATTGTACCGCCGCGTCTATGTCGGCTGAGGATGCGCTCGCGATCTGTCCAAGTGGCTGGTTGGTGTTTGGATTGATCACCTCAAGCAGGGAGCCCGTGACAGAAGGTATGAATTGATTGTCAATGAACAACCCTGTCGGGACTTCCATCTCCAATCCGTTGGCGCCGACCAACGAGATGCACGGGGCTGTATCCTCAGTATCCATTGTGCTGGTGAGCGACTATAATGACCTTCACGTGGCTGATGATGAGCGAGGCACGGCGAGAACTACCTGTAGAACTTCAGCACTGTTCAGGAGATGTTAGCTACCCTTAGCGTATCCGTAAGCAGTCACGACGCGCTCAGATGAACAGCCGACGAGCATCGATTCTCAATGGTTAGAAAAAATGCCAGGGTTGTACGACAAATTCGTGGTTCATAGTCGACTTAGCAAATGAGAGCCCAGGCGATCGTACGAGCCTATCGCGCGAGGAACTCGGGGAATAGATTGTGCACTTCATCTCACAGTAGTGCAGTGCGCCTGGCGGCGACTGATCGATCACACCGAAGTCGCTGCATGCGGTGGGAACTCGCGATAAGCTCCGTGTCATACCTAGGTAAGCCATCTCAGCACAAGGCAGAAGGGGAAGGCGCGCTGGAGGGCAGGTCCCACACGGAACCCGATATGACTACGTACGAACATGAATGATGCGTTGCGTAGTCGGTCGAGGATGGTAGAATACGAAGGATTGTATTTGCGCACCGTGCTCTGCACGATTTCGACATCTACTGTAGTGGAGTTAAGTGGAGTTACCTGAATCACGCTAGATGGTGGCGGTGGACCACACACCTTGCAGGTGTATACTTTCCACCTCTAGGTTCCGATGATCATCGCCTGAGTTATCTTGGTGTATTCGACAGATTCACGTTCCACCATGCCCCGAGTCGCGTCGCCCTGCTCTTTCAGATCTCTGAAGGCTTCATGCCGCGACATCGTCAAGGCAGACAGAGGCCTCGACGCGTATCTCGCTAGCACTAGCAATTGTTTCACCAATCTGGCCGGACTGCAGCTGCCGCGATGAGGATTGCTGCCACATGATGGGATGCTGCTGAGCTGACCCGTCTCGAAATCGTTTGGTCAATACTGACCGCAATCGGGTTTCCACCCCTAAACGTGCCGAAGGCATCCAGGGACCGGAGCCAGGGACTGCTTCAAACTCGTGGTCTACGTTAGTCAAGCAACGCGATATCGCAAACGATATCTGGGCCTGGAGTCCAGATGAAGGACTGTGCGAAATTCCCATGGTCGTCAACTCAGAATAATGTTCTTCTGGGGCGTCTTCTCGCGCCTGTCGCCGTACTCCGATATGGAACGCTGCCTCACTTTGATCAGACAAACGAAGGTTTGTTTCGAGGCCATATTCCCCAGACCAAAGCTATACTGGATGAAACAGACTTGGGGAAGTCCCTGGACCATTGCAGGGCATCATAATAACCCATCAGAACTGAATTGCCTTGTACAGCCGGGCCGGTTCTCATAAACGCTATGGGTTTATGATATATCATTCATGTAAGTATACGGCTCTGATATGACTACAGCTGCTACTTGAACTTTTCCAATCACGCCCTTTTGTTCTCCTTCAGCCGATAGTTGGGTGAAATACACTGATGCCGGAGATGAGAGTCCATCACAGCAAGAAGCACTCGTTGCCCTTCTTCGAGCAGGAGCCCGCAGGTCCAACTGTGCGACGCACGTCTGGCCGTCCGAAATGTGAATTGAACAAGACTGAACTCGACGAGGTCGTTGACGTGCAGCACGTTGACATGCCAGTGAACTTCACTCAATGTTTCGGTAACTACATTTGCGACCTAGATGGACAAGTCCTACTGGACGTATATGCTCAGATTGCATCAATCGCTGTCGGCTACAACAATCCATCTCTTGATCATTCGGCAAGATCCGACGAGATGGTGTCTGCTCTCATCAATAGGCCAGCCATGGGTAATTTTCCGCAACATAATTGGCGGGAGATACTCACTTCCGGCATCCTGAAGGTCGCTCCAAAGGGGCTCAATCAGGTTCAAATGGCATCAGCTGGAGCAGACGCCAACGAAATGGCGTTCAAAGCGGCGTTCATTTGGAAGAGACAGCAGGAACGCGGCGGCTACCATGTCGACTTTACTGCTACTGAACTTGAGTCCGCGATGGACAACTCTACCCCGGGATCGCCTCAGTACTCGATAATGTCCTTCAAGAAAGGCTTCCATGGTCGGCTCTTTGCCAGTCTGTCAACAACACGCAGTAAAGCCCTGCATAAGATCGACATACCTGCGTTTGACTGGCCACAAGCACCTTTCCCGTCCTTGAGATATCCCTTGGACGAACACACAGAGTACAATCGGTGTGAGGAAAGTAGATGTCTTCAGGCGGCGGAGGACATTATCAAGACATACCACAATCCAGTAGCTGCAATAATTGTGGAGCCTATCCTGTCAGAAGGAGGCGATATACACGCCTCGCCAGCATTCTTCAGAAGACTCCGACAGATCACGAAGGAGAACAATATTCTCATGATAGTCGACGAAATTCAGACAGGCGTCGGGGCGACTGGAAAGTTTTGGGCACACGAGTATTGGGATCTAGACTTTCCACCCGACATGGTCACATTTTCCAAAAAGGCTCAAGCAGCAGGCTACTACTATGGAGAGAAAACGATACGTCCAAACAAGCCATACCGCCAGTTCAACACATGGATGGGTGATGCGTCCAAGGCAATTCTCTTCCGTGCGATCGTTGACGAGATAGAGCGCCTGGACTTGGTGAGAAATGTGGAATCTACGGGCAAGTACTTAAGAGCCCAGCTTTTCGAACTATCGCAGAGATCTCCGAATCTGTTTATGAACTTGCGCGGACAGGGGACCTTCATTGCATTCGACAGCACGGATAGAGATCTATTCATTGCGAAGGCTAAAGAGCTCGGGGTCTTGATTGGGGGTTGTGGTGAAAGGACTGTCAGGTTGCGACCGATGCTGATATTTCAGGAGCACCACTGCGACATTTTGATCGATGTTCTCACCCGGGTCGCTCGGGATATGCAGTGTTCTTGAGACATAGATTCCAATATGACTTTTTACAGAGCCTCCATCTTTGGCTCCACATTGCTTCGATCTCCAATCTTCGTGCCCAGCTGCGCCAAAGGCAGCTTATAAGTCCTGGGGAGGACTGCCTATGTGCGTCGGCCTGCATCGATAGGAGAATCGAGTATGAATTTAGCAACTCTAGAAAGTCAACATTCCAGACCGGTCTCCTGCTGCAGCGGGCGAGTCTCGGCGTGAGAGGACCAAAGACATGGCACTCAGACACATGCCTACACCAAGTGAGGGATGCTCCGCGCTGAGTAATGCAACAACCACTGAAGCACTTATATTGATTATCTTCATTACGCATATACACTGACGGCGTCATATTCCACAATGAGCGCAATGCACCTATCTGAGACTACACCTATCTGAGACTAATCGAAGCCTGTAGCAGTGCTATGTTGAAGCAAACAGCCACATCCTCGGCTACCTCCCAGCATAATGCATCTCAATAGGACGTGCAGCCAGATACACAACTGCACTGATTGCAGCGCTCATGTACAAGCCCACATCGCCGCCATACGGTCCAAAGTACGCAGCGACAGGTCCAACAAACCAAGTCTGTGCCATACCTGGTAGCCCGCCACAGAGATAGCCTGCCAGCAGAGCAAATACGGCGGCAACGCCCCACGGCAGCCTACTAGGAGTATTCCAGTCGTCCACGACATAGCCCCGGCGGCGACGGAAGACCTGGTCTTCGAGCAGCAGGATTACCGCAAATGGAACGATCCAGTAGCCAACTATGGAGATCAGACTTGTGACAAATGACGACAGGTCATTGCGTCCGGCAACAGCGATGATGGTGGTGACGAGTACCCACAGGAAACTCCAGATGAATCGAGGCACTGCCCGAGAATAGCTACTGAGCAATTGCAATGAGAGCCCAGATGAGTAGCTGAGAGCCGCCCCACCAGCAACGGTGGAGAATGAGAGAAGGACCATAGCGGTTTTCGCCCATCCCACTGGATGGTACAGCTCCAAGAGCAGTCCACCGATGCCGTGGCTGGCATAGGCTGCCGCAAAGCTAGAGTTGGGATTCGCAAAAGCAATGTTGCCAATCAGCGCGCCAACGATCGTAGGGAAGCTAGTGAAGACAACGATGCCGGCATAATTGATGAAGTAGATCTTCCACGACGGCGTGCTGGCATGATAATGGATCATGTAGTCCGAGGCCATGGTCGACCAACCAACACCGACTGAGGCATTGACGGCAAAGATCGTCAAGAATGTGCCGGCGATGGCCAAACTGTCAGTGCCGTAGGTCGGTATCGAAGCATCAACGTATGAAGCTGACTGGCCGATGAGGACAAACATCAGTATGGCGGTGAAGATCCAGTAGTACTTCTCAACTTGATGGATGACGCGAAAGCCAAAGAAAGAAACGACGTATGCAAGAATGGCAACCAGAATTATGCCAAGCTCGATGCCGATTGTGTAGTTGGATACAGCGTCCAGAATACCGCCCGTGACTATGGAGCCAATGATCGAGAATCCGCCAAGTACTATAACATTCAATACGGCACAGAGCCGGGCGCCCCATATGCCGAATGAGAATCGAGACGAGACGATTTGGCGGAGGCCAAGCTGCAGTTCACAATTAGCCAGAGAGTCAACGGTGTGGTTAGACGGCTATGATCATACCTTTGGCCCCAGCGTAGCGCAAAACGCAGACAAGAGCGCGCCAGCGGCAATGCCACCAATGATAGCCGCAAGATTCCAGCCCAAAGATAAACCAAATTCTGCGCCAACCAGTCCGATAGGAACCTGTCCGAAATGGACGTTGAGACTGCTCCAGATGAGAAAAGCATTCCATAAAGATGGCGGCCGTTTGTCGCTTTCCCGAAGAAGCTCAATGCCCTGCTGTTCGATGCCAAGTTTGTTGTTCAGCCAGAGCTCTGCATGCTGTAATTTCTGGAGGGATTTGGGCAGTGGTTTGGCTGCAGCACCGAGCTCGCCATCCCTCATATCTGAGACAGCAGGGGTGGTAGGCTCAACATAGCCGATATGGTCTTCTTTCACCTCGTTCATATCGACAGCGGCCTCCTGATCAGGCTTTGTCGACATTGGATGCACTTGGCCAACAGATTGGGGAGTCCTCTGTGCACAGCAGACTCAACCACGTGGGAAGTAGACTTATACTTCAAGGCTCAGGTCGTGGGAAGCAATGTATGTCAACTGAAGACCGTCGAGATAGATAGGCGGCTTGGACAGTGATGTGCGAAATATATGTGCAAGGGTTGGCTGCCACCATTCATATATACAAGAGTGAGTTTCTCCTACCCCGGACATTCCGTTCCAGACCGGCGAGAGTCCAGAAGGCTCTTCTGCTGGTGTACCAATGAAGGGATGGCTTCAAGCAGCTGCGCCATCGATATCAGAGCGTTATCTCGGACACCCCCGATGGTGTATACCTACGCATGATACATACCCTCGGCACAGTCAAGGATAATAGTCAGCGACTTGATTGTGCTGAAAGTAAGTGGTCCAGAATGTGTGGTGCTGGATGCTTGATTTGCGGTGACCAATAAGGAACTTTGGAAGTCTGTCTTGCTTTGGAACGAGTGGGCGGGCGTCTTGTCATTCAGATCAAGCCGCTCGTCGTGGCGAATCCCAAAGGTGTGCCCGGTATACGGCTAGACTGCGAGGTGTCATGAATCTCGTTGCCGTCCATTATCTGGCCGCGTCCCTAAGCGGGCGGTTGCCACAAAGTATGTAGATCCCTTGATTGAGCGACCGAGCGATGAGCGACGAAAGCGACGCGACGTTGATACAATCTGGAGGCTAGACCGCTTTGAGATAGCATTTCCACACTAAGCTTTCGGGAAGGAAAGCAAGAACGACGAGGAGTCCAGGAGCTCAATTGGCTTTGGCTTGACATCCGTGGACCACGTTGCCACGCTCTCCACCTGCGCAGTCAGACTTATGCGATTGGCTGAGCTCAGCAGCCAATTCTTGCAAGAAAGCATCCAGGGCTCGAAGGCTTGTACGCAATGTTGAACACGGCCGCCAGATCTGTCAGTTGTCGTTATTCTGCACATCTGTCAGAAGCGGCGGAAAGCGGAGATCTGGGATCCGACAACGGACGTTGATCAGCTGTGGGTGAAGTCGAGATCCGTGTTCGGGAGTTGCGCCAAGTCGCGCATGTACCTCTGCAGGTTCTCGTGGCTCACATTCTTGCCAGTGACGCCAATCTGGTGCTCTGAAGTCGTGGTCGTCTGGGGCGATACAATTAGAAAGCTCACTGTCCCAGTCGCGCAAGACCGCCTTGCCTAGACATGGAAATCGAAGCATTCATCACAAACTTGCCGAAAGTCGAGCTACATATCCATATAGAGGGCACCCTCACTCCAGAGCTCCGCTGGCAGCTAGGTCACAAGAATGGCATCGCACTGCCCTTCGATTCTTTCGAGGAGCTTGAAGCTTCCTACAGGCCAGACCCTGACGACGAGAGAATCGGCGCAGATGGCCTGGCTAGATTCCTTAAGCAATACTTCGGAGGATTGGAAGTCTTGCGTACAGCCTCGGACTTCTATGAATTGGGCATGAGGTACTTCCGTTCGGCGGCTGCGATGAATGTTCGCCATGCGGAGGTCTTTTTCGATCCGCAGGCCCACACCGAGCGTGGTGTGCCTATAGCTGAAGTCATGCAAGGACTGCAAGATGCGCAAGGACAAGCGAAGCAAGAACTTGGCATGACTTGCGACTATATATTGTGCTTTCTTCGCTCAATGAGTGCTGAGTCGGCAGAGGAGATCTATGACTTATGTCAGCCATACCGTCACACTATGTTCTGCGGCGTCGGTAAGTTGGATGGCAGAAGAGGTTCTTGTCTGTTTGTAGCGTCAGAATACCGGCTAACAACGATGACTTGCCAGGTCTGGACGGAGCTGAGGCTGGCCGTCCACCACTCCTCTTCCGCAGCATCTTCGAGAGAGCAGCTCGTGATGGCCTCAAGGTTACCAGCCATTGTGATTTTGCGCAGCCGAATACCCACGAGCACATCAAGCAGTGCGCCAGTACGATATGTGGCACGGGTCTCGATCGTATTGATCATGGCCTCAGCGCCGCGGACAGCCGCGAGCTCATTGAGATGATCAAGAACAACGACATTGGAATGACGCTTTGTCCAAACGCATACAATCGCCGCTGGAGTGACCATGAGGTCTACCCTCTGATACGCAGGCTGTTTGATGCAGACATCAAAATTACCATCAATTCGGACGACCCGACCTATATGAATGACAAGTGGATCGTTCATAACATGCAGATGGTCCGTGACCGGTGTCCATTCTCGGACGTGGAGATGATACAGCTGGCGAAGAACGCCATTGATATCTGCTGGGCTTCTCCAGCGAGAAAGAAGCAGTTGATGGATGAGCTCTTCAGATACCAGGATCGCATGATATCCGGCAAGACTCCGGCGTGTAAGGTCGTCGAGATAAGCGGACTTGTTCCGTTGCCGAGTCTTACATAAAACTTGCTCTCGATTAGTACACTTGGCGGGTGAATATTAAACGCGAGATAAGTCTTCATGATATCCATTGTCGACTTAAGAGAATGACCTCATGGCACCACAGGGTGCGCTCTGCCCCCTTTCCTATGTCGAGATCGTGGGCTGTGATCGTCCTTCTGCTGTGGCTACCAACACAGGATGGGCTTGACTGTAGCCCCAGACCGCATTTCGCGCAATGCAGACTCAAAGTCGATAGCTGCGAAGGTTTTACATAGTTGATCGATGGGCAGAAGCCCCTTGCGATACCACTCAATGAGCTGAGGGATGTATTCACGTGCTCGAACCTGTCCTTCGACCACGCTCAACAGCTGTTTGCCGCTGAACAGCCACGAGAACGAATCGAAGTTGATCCTATGCCCTGCTTCTGGAGAGCCCTGGATGTCTTCAGCATATATTAATCTCGAAGCCGCACAGAGCGGCTTTGGAAAGCAACTCACCACCTGGACGTATTTCCCTTTCGGTCGTGTATATGCGATGCCAGCGTCGATGAGTGACCCAACGCCTGTTGTATCAACAGTGATACTAGGTCCAATACCATCAGAGACCTCATTCACAGCTTGCTGGAGTGTCTTGCCATCGAGATTGGCAGTATCGACGATGTCCGTGACGCCGAGTCGCTTTGCGATCTGGAATCTACTTCGCACGCGATCGATGCCAATGATCCTCCGACATCCTTGAATCTTGGCGCCCATGACTGCCGCGAGCCCCACCGCCCCGAGTCCTTGAATACAGATGATATCGTCAGACTTGGCCTCGATGGTGCTCGTCACAGTACCTGTCCCGGTCTGAATGGCACATCCCAACGGAGCGAGCAGTTGCAGCTCGTCCCGACCCGTGATCAAGCCTTTGACATTCACGACAGAGTGCTCACTAACAATCGTGGTGCTGGCGAAAGCAGACTGGCCAAAGAAAGCCCCCGAGATGAATGTGTCTTCCGTCCCGCTATGTGCACTCTTGAAGACGTCTGCTCCGTTTCGTGTACCGCTGTTTGCTGTGAAAAAGTTGACACAGTGGCTTGGACAGCCGTCCTTGCAGAGCTGACAGTCGTCGCAGAAGTTGTATGAGCATAGCACTGGGTCGCCTGGCTGTGCGATTGTGACGTCTTCGCCGACTTGGAGCACGTAACCACTTCCTTGAACCTTCGCCTCAGCCTGATACTACACACAGAGTCTCATAGGGAAGAGTGGACGTACCTTCGTGACCGAGAATTCGGGGATAGAAAGATCCATGTACGCCCGTCGGCGCGCTCCCAGCTGCTATATCAGTCTGACAGATACCACATGCCACCATTTGCACAAGCAACTCCCGAGCCTTTGGTGACCGGACCATGACATCCTCCATCTGCCAGCCGCGGAAGTCTTCGCCGAGTGCTTCGCGACTCACGATCGCTCTGGCGGGGTGTGACATCTCCAGCAATGATCGGTAGCATAGCTAGGTCAATCAAAATTAGTTCGTTTGGGCATTTTGGTCCTATGATGGTCAAGGAAGGTTGTCTCGGGGTCCTCGCGGCTTCTCTTTTCGCCGGCCCGCAAAGCGCTTGCGGAGTGATGTCGCTCATAGCGCCGCAGTCGGCTTGAGGCGTGTATCAATAGGTAGTAGTCAGCGCAGTGGGACCAGGAAAGCCAAGAATGTGGGGTCGAATTGGCGTCGTACCTCCCCTCTTGAACCTTGAATCTTGGAAACCCTGAACATGAATGAACTCAACTCAAATGCGGCTTCGCGCTCCATTCTTGGGATAGTCTCAACGCGTCAACGTCAGCCAGTCAAGAGGTAGAGCTGAATACTCTGTGTTTCGATCCACTGGCATTCCTGCCAACCGATAAGAGAGACGAATAGCGCGCTCTCTGCTTATCTGTCTAGGTCGATCCGCTGCCGCAGTCTGGTGTCTTTGACCCCAGAGTATTCGCTGGCCTATCCGCAGGCGACCTCATTGCTGAGTTGTCATGGCCAGAGCATAGGCGGCTCAAATTGCATGGCCACTAGGCAATCAAACGAGCGTGAGCTGCCCCTGAAGCAATGTCGGCGGCGGCGAGGTTCGATCGTGGCCACCACCATTAGCCCAGAACGCACGCAAGACATGCAAACCATTCGTAGCATGTTGACATCCACTTAAGCTGTTGCGTTGCTGAAAGAACTGTTCAACGTGCTTCGCTGATTCGCAGCCTTCCTAACTATCAAGGCCGACCTAATAGAGCGGCCAGAGGAGGAAGTTCTGCTTTGGGTCAATGGAGGTTAGTGCGTCGACATGCCTGAGAATGATGTCAATGGCCTCCTTAGTCTCTTCAGAGCGCGATGGACGTTCGAACAACCCATTGATGAAGAGGAGTGCTCCATTGCGATAGCACTCAGTGAGGCTCTTTTCTTTCTGGCTTACGGTTTGAGGCACAACGTAGTACCTCAACGTTCGACAGAATTCGTAAGCTTTGAGCAACGACGCGGCTTTGTCGTCGTTGCTACCGACATGCGACTTGTGGTAATGTATGGCAGAGGCTAGCGTAACAAAGATTTCTGATGAGCAAGGAAACGCCAAAGAAGGCGACTTTTGCAATCCTGCCCGCGTCAAATATTCGATGGTTTCTTCCAGATCAAAGGCTGGACGCCGCGAGCTGGTTGTCGAGCTCATGAGATCGAGCCTGGGCAATATTCAGTGCGCTGTAGTGCCTATGGACTTTGTTCTCACCAGATGAGTCGCTGCTCCACAAAGCCGATTTGTGCTGGACGCTCCCAGTACAGCCGCATGAGATCCCTGGCGGCGCGCAGATGAATATCAAATTCTGTACAGTGTCCAGTACACATCTGCGTTCAGGTCAGTAGAGTATTTCGTAAGCAGTGACATACCCACGTCAAGTTGAGCAAGCACCAACATCGCGGCTAACGAGCCCATCTTGTCTTGTGGACGATTGAATTGCAACCGCTCTCGTAGTAGCCTGGTCGCTTTTCCACGTAGCTGGAAGCTCTGTACGACCAGATGGGGAGCATGCGCCGTGCTTGCGAGATGAAAAGAAGCTGAAGACGCTAAAGCAAAGCGTATGGGAGCCACGTCCCTGGCGATTCGAATGATGTTCGTGAAATATGGATTTTCCTCAGGTGTGCGTGCTTGGAAGAATGTTGGTCCCAATTGCCGAGCGTCGTAATTGACCAGATGTCCGAGACCATCTGGGAAATCTTCTGGCCCAATATCATAGCCTCGCGTTGAATCATCTAGCAACGCAATGGCTGCCTGGGAATCGAGACCGTCGTCATCTGCAATCTCGCTGCCAGGCTGCACGACAGATCTGGTTTTCGGCAACTTGGGCTTCTGTCTTCGAAGTCGAGATGGATCCGCACTCGCTTGACCGGCCCAGCGTAGCACGTATCCTTCGCAATACAATCCCCGGCTTCCGCATGCTTGACAAGAGGGAAGTCTCTTATTGCAGCTACGCTTCCGACGGTGACAAGTTATACATGCGGTCCCATGGCATTGATTTGTTGCAAGATGATCAACAGAGAGAGACGTGTCAAAAGACTCCATGCTCTAGGCATGCCCAGTTGATCATTCTGTTGTTGCGAGAACTCAGGGGTGCCAGTGATCGTTCAGGCTGTGGTTACAAGGACTAGGCGTCCTCAGCAAGTGCTAAGCGCTTTCCAGGTCCTTGGGGTTAGGAAGGGTCTTGAAGTCCTGGTGTTAATCCGCTGATCGAGTGGCCAATTTTGATATGAGCCTCACTTGAGCGTCAGTCGGCAGAAAGATCTTTCATGAGCCGCCCGACCAGGGAGGACGCTGTGGAAAGTCGACGCAGTAGCTGAACACTGTGGCGCGCAAGTGACCGATGGATTTGGAATACACACGCAAAAGGACTCGCTGGTGGAAGCTACGTAAACCAATGGCATCATGGCGGAGTTGGCTTTATCTCCGCCCTCGTGCAGTTTACCTGCGCAGAATTTTTGTATTCCTCAACTGTTCAGTGAACAGTGATATAATTTAAATGTTGTAGCTTTTCCTTCGCAATCGACCACAGGGTGTGGAAAATAAGCCTTCCCGTCCGCTCAGGCAATTCAAGCCACATGCCGAACGGTTAGTAGTTAAGTGGGTGACTATTAGCGAATCCCGTTTGTTGATTGTTTTTGCTATTTGTGGGATGTTGGCTTTCCTTACGTCCTTTATCTTTTGTCTCTAGCATCTTTCATGACTGATTTGTTGTTAGTATAATTCATTTATCACTTTCCTATACAGAATAGCGGTGCATTTCAATACACTTTTTTGTGAGAGTATGGGCTATCCCATAGCTTCAACACGATATATGCCCAGCGCTGTCCAGCGTGATATTACTAAGGACACTCACCCCTAAGTAGGCTTAGCTGGCATTTACACTCCACTCCCAGTCTATTTCATGGAATTCTCTAGTGTGTATAATTAAGGCAATATGCTTAGGTAGCAGTCCGTGTAATAGAAAGCTAAACTTCCATGATGCATCCTGTGTCACACAAAGTAGCACAGTAGGTGCTTTCGGATTGACCCCTGAAATGGGAGGTGGAGCATTACATCCAAAAACTCTGGGGCATCCAGATTCTTTCCTTTAGACAGCGACCTTATTTCTCATCACCTCAGCAATTTTCATCTAGCAGACGGGAGACGTCATCCACAACAACTGCACCACTCTGCAATGCTCTCTCAATAGATCCAGGGTAGAGTACCACAAGATCACTTCCTACAAAATAAATCTGACTGTAGGGTTTTCTTATCTCTTATGTGGCCCCTGTGAAATTCCTAGGCCAATGCATCATCCATCCGCCCCTTATGAACTCTTCTGCCGACTAGTCAGTACATTCTATGGCAATAACCTCTAGCCCAGGTATGAAATCCTGCAAGGCTTTTTAGACTTACTCCGGGTAGTATCTGTCCATACCAGCCACATTTCCACAGAGTACCATAAGCACAGTGTCCCCTGAGTCTAGTCTATAGGACATCTTGGCCACATTAAATTAATGCTGGCCTAGTGGGGCAAAGGCAATGAAGTCCTCTATAGGTCCTCTAACACATACCCAAATTTTCGCAGGCATAATGGGGTTTTTCGCCACTAGCATCAAAGTAACACTTCAAGAAAGACAGGGCTGAAAGTCAATGTTGCTGATTATGTTGAATAGGACAGTGATAATAACTATATGAGCATGCACCTGCTCCTCCAACCTTATCATGATCATGGTCCAGATTCCGTTATCAGAAATCGATTTAACAGGGTTCAATAGGCGCAATTCAGCCATTAATTCAGACATAATACAATGCATCAGCTTCTCAGTTCCCCCTTCAAGACTCCATGCACCAGCAGTCTCATATCAGTCTTGAAAGTAACCAAAAAACCCAGCCACAACATAGAGTAGCTGTGCAATTCCCTATTCTTCACATGATCTGATAATACTAGCTATGCTACATAAGAGACTGTCCCATTTGAACATTAATAGCTTCAGCACTTCTACTCAATCTTTCACTATCTCCTTCTCAACCTTACTTATGAGCATCACATCAAGCTTTAAAGGGTTTAGAAAAACCATTCAGGAATCCACAAACAATTAGTCTAGAAGAGATTTCATAGTGACATTATACTGTGCTCTTATTACTATATACACTGCACTATCAGCAAGCCAGTATACTTTGCTGCTTAAAGATGTCCTAAGAGGGATTAGATTTATTAGTCCATGGCACTACAACTCATGCTATACATTTAGCTGTGTCTAGTGAACATATGCTCCTCCAAGGTCCAGGCATCTTCTAAAGACATTCTTTATATGTGTCTAGCCACTAATATAGTCATGAGCTTCAAGAAGAATGACTAATCGTTTACTGCTCTGGCTTAGGTTGTGGACAGTAATGAGCCCTATCATACCGGCACTAACCACTGCTACATCATACGTTTGCTTCATTTTGACGTCGGCTGTCTGGAGCAACAAGAGCAACTATATAAGTATTGTTTATCCTAAATAGCTTTCAGATGTATTGAATGGACAGTGTGTAGAAGGTCATGTTCAAGTCTTAAGATGTGTCTCTTAACCTAGCCTTGGCTTCGTACAAGCAGATATTCTATGGCAGACTATGAGAGCCACAGAATAAGTGGAAGGCATACAGAGCATATTGCTTATATCTTCTACAACATGCTGGATACTTCTAGTACAATCATCAGTTCCACTTTCATTTACTCCAAGAATTATGACAGACCTCGGCCAGTATTAGCTGGGGAATTATTCAACTTCTATTACATCATCAGACGAACACTCATAGACGTAATCTGCTCTAAAGCCCTACCTGATAGCAGTCTCTAATATGAGTAAGTCTTAATAATCTTATGCCTTAGTATTCCCACATCTATAAGCACTTTATAGAACACTTCTGGTTCCACCCAGTCTTCAGGTGCAAACACACCCACTTTTGTCTCCATTAGTATTAGGGCTAGGACCATGAACACAGCACACAAAGTTCCAGTCATAGTAGCCATACTTCTCATAAAATATGAGTTAGTCCCTAGTGCAGGCAAGCATTTAATAACCACAGCTAGATGTCCATTCTAAGAACCAACAGCTCACACCAGGAAACCACCTACAGTCTCCTCTCAGTCAACTTCTGTCGCAGAAGTAATGAAATCTCGCACTTCTTCCTTAGTACACTCTTAATAAATGATTTAGTTAACTATGCCTTTAACGGCATATTTAATTATAGTAGAAGGTTTACCAGTCTGTTTAAGTAGAGTCTTATAGCTGAATACATCAACATCCAGCATGTGCGCGACAAACTCACAGAGAAAGGCCCCACAGAGGCTTATTAGTATATCACCATGACGTACACTAAGTTAAAAGTCAACCACATGATCAATGCCCAGCCTACCATAACGGACTATAATAGCTAGCTCTTAGGCCACTCCAAATCATGCTAATAGATAGAGGCCACCAAAACATCAAATACTATTGGTGTTGGGAAACACTTATAGAAGAGTTACCAGCTCCAGGTGTGCAGTCTTATGGAGAAGCATATCTCCTGTCTCTAGAACAGGCAAATATGCAGTCTCTACAAAAGATTCTTTAATCTTCACCTTACTAGTCTCTCATATTAAACATGATCCTATGGCAATATACATGAGATGATGATATATGGCTCTTCTAGCACCAGAATTCTCTGCTCCTACCAACTATCCAATATTGATGGAGGTAACACTATCTAGCTACCTCATAGCATCAATAGCCAATACATTAGTGAACCCTAGTGAAGCACCACAGTTAATATAAAATAGAACACCAGCCTCACGAGCTTTTCCATATAAGTCAAGTGCAGCCTGTGTGCTCTCCACATTATCATCAAAGTCAAGGTATGACACCTTAGCTTCAAGGCATGCTGACATGACAGGTTTTGACGTGCATATATATGGCCTAGCACCTAGAACAACAAGATTTACACCTGTGATAGCTGCCAAAAGTGCTTCATAATCAAAAAGATCAAGTTTCAGTATAGTTACACAGCCTTCTAGTAGTGCAGAGCACAATTTTTTAATTAGCTCAATCATAATATCAGCAAGAATAAGAGGAGCATGGTTTGCCTTTACAAAACAGTGTGCAACCATTTAGCACATATTGCTAGAAGCACTAATAAGCACGACTATCCTCAGTTACTGCATTTTGCTTAGGCTAACAGTTTTCCTATTTTCTGAGGTATTTAGATATAGTTAGTAGATATTGCAAGCACCAAATCACTATTACAGGTTGTCTTGAACTTACAACTACACAGCATACTAGCTACCTTTTATGTATTTCAATCTTGAAATTAATGGTAATAACCTCTCCTAAGTAGCTATAATTCCTGATTAGGAATCATGGCAAATTTGACTTTAGCATAACTAAACTGTGATTGAGTTTGTATAGCCC